GTACGTCAGACCGGCCTGACCTTGATTAGCAAAGGCTCTTGCTTCTGTTGACATAACAGCTGCTATTTCATGATACAATGTCCTTTAGATAAAGAGAGAGGTAATTAGAGGGAGAGAGGGAGGGGAGAGGATACTTGTTAAAGGAAGATGCGGTTGTTATGACTTGAGGGAAGGAGGTAGCATTATGAAACTAGAGAGGGAGAGAGAGAGAGAGAGAGAGAGAGAGAGAGAGAGAGAGATTGAAAGTAAAGTGCCCGCTTATGTACACATGTACATACCATTCCATTGAAATGAACACCGGGTGAATCAGCAACACCATGAAGTCCTTCAGACCACCTAATAATAATACATTATGAATGAACATATCATGAATAATCACAGTATTGATAACCCATGTAATCCCAATTCACATCACAAATGGTAATAAAAACTAAACCAACGTAATGATAACCCCGCCAACTCTGAGAGATACAAATAAAGCAAGAACGACAATAATAATAATAACAATAATAATAATAAGTAAAATGGAAGTTACCATTGATAGGCTGGGATATCAAGTCTATCTATAGAGCCAGCTGTATTTCCTAGTTGTGTTATTTTCTCTGCTAATGTCATACGAGACAGCAAATCTACATATATATTTACAGGATTTAAAAAGGTTTTAGATAAGAATAATCATTTACCTTTGACACGATCGCTTATCGGTAGAGAATAGTTACTACAGAAAGATGGGTACAAAGTCAGTCGGTGGCTAATAATACTTACCAGTACGAGAAAGACTGAAACTTAGTCTTCTCACAATATTCAGCTAGGCAAATCCCCAGCAAAGTGGTGGCAAGAAAGACCAAGATAGTTAAACTTCTCGCCATATCTTCTGAAATGATGATACGATCAATGAACTTTCAACTTGGGGGAGTGTAGAAGGAGTGATCAAGGCTGATCATATTAACATTAATATGCGTGGGAAGTAGCTAGATGAAGCTATAGTAACTGACCTTGAACCGTCTTGGAAATGTCTCATGAAAAGAAATCCGTTCTTGCTAATGAAAGCTATCCACATGAAGTAAACAATGACCCAGTAAGTGAACTGGTTTGTAAGACTAATTTCAAAATTGCCCAGTTTGTCAAAATTGCCCAAAATGCAGCTCATGTCCAAATTTTTTGATGCAAAGATAATATTATGAGAACTTTTTCTTATTTTACCCAATCACAGGTCACATCTGACTATTCTTTACTACCTACCAGTAATGAGACTGAAATTGAATTGTCTTCTCCACCAGCTTATGATGCTCATGATGATTTCAACATCTATCATTCAACCAGTTTATCCTGATGCTCCAGATACTCAGAGTCTACTGCCAGTGGTTCAAGACCAGCCAGTCTTGATCAGCACAGATTATAATGAACAAGAGGTATCTAAATTATAAGTGGTACTGGAAACAAAACAGATAAATAGAGGATTCATTCCAAACACACAAAAGCTCCAGTGTATGGCTGTGTTTGTAACATGTGTTAGTCTCGTCCTGACCTGTGGTATAACTATTCCAATTGCTGCTTTAATTTTTTCTGTTTGTATAAGGTGAGAACATTCTTTGCAATACTAATAGAAATTAGAATCCCTATTACTGTATGTAATGTTATGTTATGTTGTCTGTTATAGGGAACTAATGCTAAAACTGTAGGCTGGAGGAAGCTTTTTATAAGACTAGGATTCCTTTGCAGTTGTTTGCATTTAATACTCCTTGTGCTTATAATTATGTTCTCTTATTTAATAATAACAAATTTAAAATAATTTGAAGCATGAAACTTTAATGTAACTAGGATTCCTTTGTAGTTTATTTATTACATAGTTATATAATTGTCTCCATTCATATGATTAAAAGAATTATTAAAGCCCTTATTTTAGTACTAAAATAAAATTTAAAATAAAAGTCACCTATGCATGCAGTGCAGCAAGTTCAATATAAAACCTAATCTAAACACACCCTAGATAGACTATATATAGCTGAAGCAAATGCAGCAAAAGATAGCATATATAGCAAGCAGTCTTTATACTTTATTCTCTTATAAATACTGTATGCTTCAGATCACTGGTGTCACCAATGGTAATCTTATAAGTACCAGGTCTTATCTTCCTTTCACCCTATTACAACACAATGAAAAACATCATTAATATAATACTGCATCATGCATATCCAAACTCTTACATGTTTGTCAACAGTTGTGAAAACCTTAGGTTCAGCTACAAATGAAAGTGTCATTGACTGCTCCGGTTTTAAGTAAATCTTTTGAAAACCAAACAATTCTTTCATAGGAGCACCAGGGACCTGCAATGATAATAGGTAGCATTATCAATGAGTTACTTAGCATGTTGCTGCTTACAGTTGATGTTATGTATGCCAATACAGAAACACTTCCAGACCTTTTACCAGCATTAGTGACAACAACTTCATAGTTGACATCAACATCATGAGTTGTCTTTAAATGTGTCACATTAGGTGGATTTTTCCTTTAAGACAAAATAAATAAATAAGTAAGTAATAATTTATACCATTTCATTTCAAAAGTTGTATAGCTAAGTCCGAATCCAAATGGAAAGACAGGAGTTCCAGTGTAGAACTTGTATGATCGTCCTGGTGGTACCCTCATACTCATGTTAGTGTATGGTATCTCATTAATGTAACTAGCAGGATACTGAGAAACATTACTATTGATACCATTTACTGTCACTGTTCCTTACAAAGGTCACTGGTAGTCGTCCTGATGGATTCACTTTACCATAAATTACTTCAGCAATAGCTTGACCTCCAGATTGACCAGGATACCCAGCCCACAATATAGCATCTGCAATGTCCTATTATCATATAACAATAGAACATTATATATTAATCACTTTTGAGTTACCTTTACTCCTGAAAGATCTACAGGTCCTCCTGACATAACAACTACAATAAAAGGAATGCCAGGAACAGCTTTCTTCTTTATATCTTCCAGTAGCTGCACTTGTTGGCCAGGCAGAGTAAGGCTTGTCCTGTCATGCCCTTCACTGCATATAATAATAATCATAAATATGTTATGATAATTTATATTGATAGCATTCACCTCTCCTGTGACTCATCAAGCCCAATGACAGCTATAATAGCTTCAATACTGTGCTCTTCAACTAATTTTGTGACTTCGCTGAAGCCAGCTATGGTAGGACAAGCAACTTGAGTACATCCTGCAGCAAAAGTGACACTAAGTCCAAGATCTTGCAGCCCTTGCATTGGACTAATCAAATAAGGAGCTGTCCCCTATATTATTATAATAAGTCTTTTAATGATCATGTTTCTTTACCTTATAGTTTCCTTGCATTGCTCCTTGGGCCTGTCCATGTGGGCCAACAAGTGCGATTTTACGATGTGTAGTCAAACTCAATGGAAGTATATCTAAGAAGAGAAGATAAATGAAGTAATAATGAGATAAAGATCTAACCTTTATTATTTTGAAGGAGAACAATGCTTTCTCTTGAAGCATCTAGAGCCAAAGCCTATTATAGTATAATTTGATTTATAGCAAAGCAATTCAGTATACTATAGCTGCTGACCTCATGCTGTTTTGTGTCTACTTTATCATTTGTGTAATCTCTGAATGGCTGCATGCTTGGAGGATCAAACATACCTAATCGCATTCTAAAAGAAAACAGTATAGCATCAATTAATACATAGATAAAATACACACTATATTCTTCACCTGTATGTGAAGAGTCTAGTCATAGCACGATCAATGTCATCATCTGTAATAGCTCCATTATCATAAGCAGCCTAAATGAGCATTATCTTAACACATTCCATTACACAATAGCTGCAATACTTGTGCATGATCAGAATAGAAATGACCACAGTTGAGGTCACAGCCTCCTCTAAGACCAGCTGCTACAGTATCATCGGTATTTGACGTATACCTGCACTCATTACATAGCACATACATTTCTACTCATTAATTTACTTGTGTGAATTTATAATGTCACTGATAGCTCCACAGTCACTTACCTTTATTAAATATTTAAATTATTTTTATCATGTTTTTCATACTAATTAATTTTACTTACAACATATCCTTCAAAGCCCCATTTGCCTCTAGCAACTTCGTTATTAATGAAATCATTGGCACAACTTGGTACACCATTAACTGCATTATAACTGCACATGATACTTCCAACTTTGCCTTCCTCCACACAAGATCTGAATGCTGGGAAGTATGTCTGTCAAAAAAATTATTGTAAATTTAATAAATAAACGTAAAACTTGCCTCTTCAAAGTCTTGATCAGATACAATAGCATTGAAAGTATGTCGAGAGAGATTGAGATAATTTTCAAGATCTATATAAAACATCAAATCATTGAACATGTCTATGATGCATGTATGCTACCATAAGCTGCATAATGCTTGCAAGTTGCAATTGTTTTCAAATATCTATAAAGTATTGAAAGACATGCATAAAATACACACTGACCTTGTATCATCAGCCCCTTCTTGCATTCCTTTCACAAAGTTAGCAGCATATTGTGAAGAGAGGTAAGGATCTATTGAAGAATAAAGCTATTAACACTGCAATAGCTTATAGTGTGTACCTTCTCCTGGTGTTTCTTGACCTCTGCCCCATCGTGGATCCCTTTCAGTATATTATAAAATTGTATTCATTTAGCTTGTTTTAATTTACCTGAATATATTAATGTTTGGTGCAAAGTAAGTCAGTCCAGCTTGTCCACCATTTGCAAAAGCTCTTGCTTCGGTTGATATTACTTGAGCCATTGCCAACACTAGAGACCTAATAATCACAGTTATGTAAATAGAACTTGGCATGGCTGTTTTTGATTTGTGCCAGCTTTACATGTTAAAAGTAGCTCCAAGGCCAATAACTTGAGGAAATGATGTTGCATTGGGAAACTACACATTAAAAAATAAACAGAACTTATTAATATATACTAGTTGCATTTAGAAACTAACATTGCCTCCAAAATGAACTCCAGGTGAGCCAGCTACGCCATGGAGCCCCTCAGACCACCTAAAGTGTAATGTACATAAACTTTATTCATAGAGTGATCTCTGCAGTACCATTGATATGCAGGAATGTCAAGGCTTGGTATAGCTGGGGCAGAAGTTATCAATTGTGGTATTTTGTCAAGAATTGTCATACGACTAAGAAGATCTGGATATCAAAGCAGATTGAAAGAGCATGTACACATAGTAATGAACATCTTACCATTTACTCTCTCAGGTATGCTCTGAGTGTAATCACTGTACAAAAGTAAAGAGATAGGTCAATTAGAATTATGTAGCACATGTACTAAATGAGCTATAATAAATACTATGCTTGGTTCTTCATGATCATAAGTTGCATATGAATCTCTTACCAGTACTTGTAGGTGTTAAAGGGTGCCTTTTCACAGTAGTCAGCAACAGATGAGGCGAAAAGGAAGACTAAAAGGACAGTAAACTTCATCTCCATTTTCAATCAAAAAAGGTCAATTTTAGCTGCAGCCTTGCAATAGGGTTGGGCTGACAAAAGCTAATGAGCTAGGCTAGCCCATGCCACCAGCATGAATACAATTATCAAATCAAGTATGAATTAAGTTAAGCTGATCATGTAGTGCATTCTAAAGTGCATTATTTGCATTCTACTCTAACATAGCAGACTATAAATTACCCCTAATAAATAATAGCTGCTTGCAGCAAGATTGTTTATAAAGCAGATTCTCAAGCACTTATAAATACATTGTGCTTAATGTGATGATCATCATCTCCAATGATAATCTTGTATGCACCAGGTCTTATCTTTCTAATTCCCTATATATAATAGCAAATAATGGCACATCAAACAATTCAGTATGTGTACAAAAGCTCACATATATGTCCACAGTTGTGAACACTTTAGGCTCTGCAACAAATGAGACATCAACTGACTCGGTCGGCTCTAAATAAATCTTTTTGAAAGCAAAGAGTTCTTTCATAGGGGCACCAGGCACCTGTAGAAAATGCATACATTATACAAGGATATAGTTCATTTAGACTAACGCTAGATGTGATGAATGCTAATACTGATACACTGCCAGGCCTGCTACCACTATTTGTCACTGTAGCTTCATAATTGACGACTTCATCATGAGTTGTTTTTAAGTAATAATCTTTAGCAGTACTAGTATCCTTCCTATGTGCAACTTAAATGTCATAATATTATGCTTTAATATGTTTACCATTTTATTTCAAAAGTTGTGTAGCTAAGTCCAAATCCAAATGGAAAGACAGGAGTTCCAGTGTAGAACTTGTATGATCGTCCTGGTGGTACCCTCATACTCATGTTAGTGTATGGTATCTCATTAATGTAACTAGCAGGATACTGAGAAACATTACTATTGATACTATTTACTGTCAATGTTCCTTACAAAGGTCACTGGTAGTCGTCCTGATGGATTCACTTTACCATAAATTACTTCAGCAATAGCTTGACCTCCAGACTGACCAGGATACCCAGCCCACAATATAGCATCTGCAATGTCCTATTATCATATAACAATAGAACATTATATATTAATCACTTATTGAGTTACCTTTACTCCTGTAAGATCCACAGATCCTCCTGACATAACAACCACAATAAGAGGTGTACCTTTAGCTGCGTTCTTTTTCAGTTCTAATAACAAATCTTCTTGATGACCTGGTAATGCAATGCTTGTCCTATCATGTGACTCGCTATATTAGAGTATTTTACACATTAATATTTTATATCAATACTATATTAAACCAACCCTTCTTGTGTATTGTTTAGTCCAATGACAGCAATGACTGCATCAACTCCTTGCACTGCTTTTACAGCATCAGGGAAACCTTCAGTATCATTGCATGCAACAGGACAGCCAATCTGATAAGTTGCATTTATACCAAGATTGCTGAATCCTTGCAATGGGCTAATCAAATATGGAGCTATTCCCTGCATATGGGCATGAGTTAATTGTAATTTTAATCAAAGCATTGCATTACATGATAGTTTCCTTGCATTATATGTGTTGCATCAGCATTGGGTCCAATAGCAGCAATGTTGCTGTGCTTAACAATGTCCAAAGGCAATACACTACCTGTTAGAATATGCAATGAAGCTATTTATTAATTTTTACCTTTATTTTGAAGTAGGACAATCCCCTCCCTTGCTGCATTTAATGCCAAATCCTTTTATAGAGACACAAAGATAAAACTCTTAGTTTGCATGTAATGTTTCTTACCTGAGCTTCAGGAGTATTGACATCTTTAACACTGTACTGTCTAAATGGCTGTATTTCAGGAGGATCAAACATACCTAGTCTCATCCTATGAAACAAATGATGCATAAAACAAGAAACAATACTGTATGAAGCATTATATATTGCTATTACCTAGATGTGAATAGTCTAGTTAGTGATTTATCAATATCCTCTTCAGTGATTGTGCTATTATCAAATGCATCCTAACATTCTTGTATAATGCAATGGTCTCATGTGCCTATGTGACTTACTTCCATGTACTTTTCATAAAAGTGGCCACAGTTAAGATCACAGCCTCCTTTAAGAGCATCAGCAACTGTTATGTTGGTATCTGATGTATAGCTGTACAAATCAGCAAAGAATTAAAATAAATTAAGTAGTACATATCTACTTGTGTTTATACTGTATATCAAGTATAGCACCACAGTCACTAACCTGTGAAACAACATGCATAACATACAAACTATGGATATGCAATACTTACAATGTAGCCTTCAAATCCCCACGTATCACGAGCAATTTTATTATTGATGAAGTCATTGGCACAATTAGGTACTCCATTGATTGCATTGTAGCTGCACATGATGCTACCAACTTGACCTTCCTGAACACAGGCTTTGAATGCAGGTAAGTATGTCTAAATAATTGGGAGAATTAAATATCAAATGTTATATTTAATGTTGTATATAGTACTTCTTCCAGGTCTTGATCAGATACGATTGCATTGAAGTTTACTCGTCTTACATCTAAGTATCTCTCCAAATCTATAAATAATTTTTAACAATTTAATAGGTTTCTGTCATACTGTATGCTGCATAGTGCTTGCAAGTAGCAATTGCCTTCAAATATCTATTCACAAATGAAGCACAAATTGCAAACTAAGAAGATCTACCTCCTGTCCTCACTCCCTTCCTGTATCCCTTTAACAAAGTTAGCAGCATATTGTGAAGTGAGGTAAGGATCTATTGAAGAATAAAGCAACTGAAACTACAATAGCTTATAGTGTGTACCTTCTCCTGGTGTCTCTTGACCTCTGCCCCATCGGGGATCTCTTTTAGTTTATTATAAATTTGTATTTTTCTTCAAATTTTCTATACCTGTATATATTAATGTTTGGTGCAAAGAAGGTCAGTCCAGATTGGCCATTGTTAGCAAAAGCTCTTGCTTCGGTTGATATTACTTGACCCATTGCCAATACTAGAGACCTAATAATAATAATAATAATAATAATAATAATACAAAGTTAATCATAGCAGCTGTAGCTATACTCACATGTTAAAGGTAGCTCCAAGTCCAATAACTTGAGGAAATGAAGTTGCAGAGGTAAGCTATGATGAAAAATGGAATGCTCTAATTTATTCATGACAACTAACGTCGTTTTCAAAGAAAACTCCAGGAGACTGTGCTAGGCCATGAAGACATTCGGACCACCTTAAGAGTGTAAAAGTAGTAATTAAACTATATTTGTTGCATTGAGGTACCAATCATAAGCAGGGATATCAAGTCTTTCGATGGCAGATGCGTTTGTGGCAGTTTGTGACATCTTTTCAAGGACTGTAAGACGACTGAGCAAATCTAAGAAATATTGAGAAATCAGAAAAACAAAATGAAGTATATATATTTTTATGCTGTGTAGAAAGTTTGGGCCAATACTGACTTCAATTTTTCAAGTTATGGCCATTTTAAAAAAATGGGCCAATTAAAAAAATTCCCTGTACTATAGCCCATGGTTTTTTCCAAAAAATGGCTCCAAAATGACCCACCATTTTTATTACATTTTCTGATACAAATTGATGTACTTATGCTATGTAGAAAGTTTGAGCCGATTCCGACTTCAATTTTTCAAGTTATGGCCATTTAAAGAAATGGGCTAATTTTTGAAAATTTCCCTGTACTATAGCCCATGCTTTTCTTCAAAAAATGGCTAGGAAATGACCCCCAATTTTTATTACATTTTCTGATACATAAAAATGTCCTTATGCTATGTAGAAGTATGAGCCAATTCCGACTTCAATTTTTCAAGTTACGGCCATTTTAAGAATTAAAAATGCCATATTTTTGCATGCTATGCATTGATGTTCTAATTAATTAATGCTATCCTTTATTTATTAAAAATCAAAAATTTGAGAATAAATCATTACCTTTTACTCTCTCAGTTATGCTTGCACTATAATTGCTGTAAAATAAAAAGGAGATTGTCAGTTTGCAAAATTTTGTATAATTAACAAAAAGTTTAAGATTTCAATGTTTTCTTAGTAGATCTAGTCTTACCAGTACAAATAGGCGTTGAAAGGAGGTTTTTCACAATAATCAGCCCGAGATGCAACCAAGAAGAGAAGAAACACTGCAATAGCAGAACGTCCTAGTAGCTCCATGACTTTTAAAAGGTCAACTAACTTCATTGTTGCATGAATTTCACATTTACCAGTAGATCCATACAGTGACATCATACACCATCAGCTCAGTGGGCGGGGCTGGGCAGACAGCAATATTAAGCCACACCCTAGTGCATCTCTGTTGCTGTCTGACTTTCTCTGTCTCTCTGTCTCCCTCTCTCTCTCTCTTGTCCTGTGCAGGTAAAGGAAACAAAGACAACAAGGTGAGTTACAATTGTTGTATCAACTAGAAGATGCCCTTGTAAATAATGCGGCACCAAGACTTGCAATATATTGTCATACTGTTTTGATAAGTACACTGTACAAGATGATAAGTACAAGATCTACGACTTTACAAGAGTTAGTGGTGTCCCTGTTACACGTTATAACAAGTGGGCATACACAATTAGAGCTTGTTTTAGGCCCTTCCTGTGCTTTGTGTTTGTTCTTGTATAAAATATTTCTTCCTCTTTCCTTAATAATTGTCCCTATTGATTTGATTAGATAAAGTTATAGTTTATAAAGGCTAGTACTTTCCCTTGATTTTTTGACATCATGGAAAAAGTTTCAAGTAAAAAAAAAAGAATTAAATTATAGTGTCAGCCTCTCACAATCTGAATAACACTGAATGCAAACACTTCTTTACATGTCTCACTACCAGTAAACATAGCATACCTTGTTTGTATAACAAACTGATAACACTGACACTCAACAACCAGTTATCTATCCATCTGTGACTTGGTTGATAGCTTGGCTTAGCATATAATGCAATGATTGTAAACATTATGGAGTATAAATGTCCACTCTTCCTCTTTATGTAAGGAAGTGTCCCCTTTAACTTCTCTTTCTATAAATACCTGTTCATGTACATAGAGATAAACAGGAACAGTTGTGTTTTGTCTATTTGTTTGTGTTCCTTGACATAAACAAACTATTCCAATCAAACTCTGCCTCCTGTGTAAACTTCAACAGTTCAAGGGAAGGGAATGCATTGCTCCACCAGCAGCACATTTTTTAGATGGTGACAGTACAAGATTGGGAACTCCTTTTCCTTTCACATGCATCATCCCACATATACAGAGGAAATATTTATGCTCCCTCTTTGTTTTAATGCACATGTATACAAGGGCTAATAAGCAAGCAGCTCAGAGACAGCATGTTGTGAAAAATTATGTTTGGTAATACATATTAGTAGTCATAGCATGACAATGAGTGAATAGCTATAATGCATTATTATTGCTCTACACTCCCATTTTTAACGAAAATTGGATTTGTAGTACTGAAGTTGATGCATGTATAAAATACATTATTTTTTTGGTGTCTGTTCTAACCACAGTGTCAATAATTTACTATAGTGTCATAAGGGTAATGCCAACAAACTCTCTTTCTAAGTCTTCTCTTTATTACTCACTCATAATCCCACTGAGAAATAAGGAGATACAGATATTTATCTATCTACTACTGTATCATTATCACTTGTTAAGCTTAAATGGTAGGGAAATCCTTCTTAGCCTCCTCAGCTATTGTAATATCATTTTCTATAATCAACAGTAAATTAGTGTCCAGTCTTGTGACTGTGATTTACTACAGAATAAGTCACGACTATCCATATTATTATAGCACAAGTCACGAGTAGGTGCATGGTTATGCCTTGAAATAGTGTTGTTTTTAGTGAAGCCAGGATTATAAGTTTATAGTGTACTTGTATTTGAGCTAGACAGAAGGAGTTGCTATATACTCTTATTAATTTATCTTTAATTATGGAGTAGTAAGAGGAAATAGGTATTGAATTGATTATATAAAGGAAAAAGAGCACTCAATTTAATGTTTTCAGTGTACAAAGGTCATGCATGTAGCAGACTATTGGACTGTACTCTTCTTAATCATTTATTATTGAACATGTTTTGGGAGGGGGTTTCTAGACTAAATTGGTTCACAAAAGAAGCCACAAACCATTTGTATAATCTATAAATAATGCACTGTTTACTGTCAATAGCTCAATAAGTAGCAGATATCTCACGTAATAAGTAGCAGATATCTCACGTTAGCACTGTATGATAACATTTTGTCCAGATGTGTCCCATTGCCTTTTTACACTTGTGTATTCAATGGGTATATGTACATGATATGATATTATTTGTCAATGTATCTTGTATCTTAATGAATAATCTCAATGGCTCCCAATGGAGTTATATCATTACCTTACTTGTGCAGGAGCTCTCATTGCAGCAATATGCTAATAAGTATGAATCTAATTTACCTCTTTTTCCCTTTTCTGTAGGGTGACAGCATGCAGGTTCATGCTCCAATCACTCTAACAGTTTTGATATGGCTACTCCTGATAGAATGTTGCTCAGGTAAATATGCTCACCTTTGTCCTTCTTTATTCTACATCATTTATATATACATGTATATACATGTGACATCTTATAGTTTTTTTAAGAGTATATTTTATGTCTTTTATATACATAACATATAAGGTTTTATTTACTCTTCTTACCTCTCCCCCTCTCCTCCCCCCCTTACCCCTCTCCCCTCCTCCTCTCTTCCAGCTAATCTCACTGCTATTGCAACAGTATCACAAAGAGGAGTTACAGGAACTATCATTTTCACTCAAAACACACCCACCTCAGAGACAAACATCAGACTTACCCTAACTGGTCTTCCGCCCGATGAACTATACCAATGGCACGTCCACCAGTATCCGTTTGCCAGTGCCCTCCCATCGCCGTGCTCCCCTCCGAACACTGGTGGTCACTTTGATCCTCTTGGCGCATTCAATCAAGCAAATTACTCAACTAATTGTAATAAAAATAATCCAGCTGCTTGTGAGATTGGGGATCTCAGTGGAAAGTTTGGTCTATTAAATGTGTCTGACTTACCCTTCTCAGAAGGAGATGACACCATCTCCTTATACGGTCGTCATAGTATAATCGGTCGTTCGATAGTATTTCATTTTAGTAATGGAACTCGGTTTGTTTGTGCTAACATTCTTATCAACTCGTCTCAAGACGTCATATCAAGAGCTTATTCTCCATTTCGTCGCTCGAGTATTGTCGGTAATATTTACTTTACTCAGTACTCGTTCAACCTCACAACTGTCTTTGTTGATCTCCTTTCTCCCTTGGCTACTCAGGATCACAACTGGCATGTTCACGAGGATCCAGTCACGGGCGGAGACAATGCTTGCTCTTCTACAGCTGGACATTATAATCCGCGGAATGTAAATGTTACTAATAACGACTATCTTAATAACTGTAACGAGTCAAACCCGTTTGAATGTGAGGTTGGGGATTTATCGAATAAAGGAGGAACGATATCGTTTAGCAGTACCAGTAATCAAGGAAGATTGTTCTACTCTGATATTGATCTTCCTCTATTGATAGACAGTGAAGGACACTATATAGAGAACAGATCCATTGTGATTCATCAAGAGAACAGAGGTGCTCCTAGAGTAGCTTGCGGTAATTTAACAGCATTGAAACCAAGAGAAGCAGTATCTGTTTTTAACGGTGAAGAAGGAGTTTATGGCTCTATCAAATTCAAACAAGACTCTCCTTTTGATCCTACAACAGTTCTCGTTAATATTACCGGACTCAATGAAATGGCTGGTGGGTATCATGTCCATGAGACTCCAGTTGGTGAGGGAGTTACTGATCGGAGCCGATGTGGTCCGTCATACACTGGGGGACATTGGAACCCAAGAAATGCACCATATCCCCTACCACCAGGCCTGACCAGTGACCAGTATGAGGTCGGAGATTTAAGCGGTAAATTTGAATTACTAGATGGACTTAATGAGTCAGCTGCAGAGTATTCCGATCCTAATATTCCTTTGTTTGGGGTTGATAGTATCATTGGCCGATCAGTCGTAATACATTTAGCTGAGCCTGGAGCACCAAGGTGGGTCTGTGCTAATATTAATTATGCTCGGCCAACTGTCCAAGTGTCAGCTGCTTTTTCATTTTCAAATAATCAGAGCTTTGAAGTCGTGTTTGTCCAACCTGATGATGATCCTTACTCTGATACTACCATTTTTATTAGGAACAATTCTTTCATAGAACCACCTTCACCTTCTCCCTCTCCTTCTCCTTCAGTCACTAGCCCGACTTCACTCTCTTCTTTGCCTCAAACTTCATTGATTTCTTCTCTAGAATTTGCAATGTCTTCCTCTCTTTCTCCTTCTCCCTCTCCCTCGCTCCTCCTTGGTTCGGGTGATGGCGACATGATGCTACGAAAGAAAAGATTCTCAGATAGCGACATAATGAATGAGTTATTGGAAGCTGACGATGTTTACATGTATGAGGAAAATGACGAAATGAATGATCAGTTCGTCAACGAAAAAGAGGCGGAGCATCCAATAATGGTTGCTAAGAGACAGATCATGGACTTGTCACCAATATCGTGGAGTGTGAGCAATTTACCGGCTCAACAAGGAGGAGGCGTGGCCTGTGATTTATTTATGCCAATCCTCTCAAACAGCAAGTGAGAATTTGATATAAAACATAATTTCTTATTTGTGAATTTAGCCATAATATTGCTTTGCTTGCTTAGGCAAAATATATAAAATTAACGATCTTTTTATTTTTTTTAGTGATACATTGTGTATGAATGGGGTACAGTTAGGATGCTCTGGTGGAGATCTTACAGCTAAACACGGTCCACTTACTGTGAATAGCAATGGAATGATAAGGACTGTATATACTGATCCATATCTACCACTCTCTGGAGATAATTCTGGTAATTAATAGCAGCATAATATTTGTTATTGTTGTTGTTATTTTTATTGTTATTGTTGTTGTTGTTATTTATAGTAGATGCTGTTCATTTGTGTTCACATTTTTCATTTTAAAGTATCTTCTTGTTTGTTTATAGATATTATAATTAGACCTTCACTGTCTTTGTTATTTTTCCATTTACTTCCATTATTAATATCATTATTGTGTTACCAATTCTGCATGCAATTCTTAATCACATGAAACATAACCTCATAACCTTTTCCTCTCTCTCTTTCCCCCCTCTCTCTCTCAGTATTAGGTAAAGGATTACTAGTACAATCTGACGGTGAAGGACAATTGGCTGCTATTCAACCATCAGACATGCCAGCACTCACAAATGCCACTAGTTGTATAGTATCTACCTCATCAACTTCATCAATTTCTTCAACCACTTCTACAGCTGCCATTACTCTTACTAACACTATAAGCACATCGCAAGTTACTACAACTTCTACTCTCAGTACTACAAGCACTAGTGCTGGCCCATCTATTTCTGTTGTAACAGAAACACCTAGCGGAGGTAAGTAAATACAGAGAATGAGAGACAGAAATAGGAAGAAAAGGACTGGTTGATATCTTGATTCTTTTTATTTTATTTTTAGTGTTGCCGTTTTCAAACACGATTTTAATAATTATTTGTGCTGGAGGAGGTGGAGTCCTTCTTCTCCTCCTCATCCTCTTCCTTGCTTTGTGCATCATATGTTGCAAATGTAGAAGATCCAATCGCTACGACAAGTACATGAAGGATCACATTCGATCGGCTGGTAACATTGAGCTCGGAAAATATAAGAGAACTAATCCTATTAGTGGAGGTACTGTATATAATAATAATGATATTTGTAGGTGTAAGAACTTTTATTTAATATTTTCTGGTGCATATTGATGTACTTATACTATGTAGAAAGTTTGAGCTGATTCCGATTTTAATTTTTCAAGTTACAGATACTTTAAGAAATTGGCTGATTTTTGAAAAAATCCCTTACTGTACTATAGCCCATGGTTTTTTCCAAAAAATGGCTCCGAAATCACCCCCAATTTTTATTACATTTTCTGATACATATTGATGCCCTTATGCTGTGTAGCAAGTTTGAGCTGATTCCGACTTCAATTTTTCAAGTTACAGCCATTTTAAGAAAACGTCAAAAATCTGAAAAATACCCAAGGCTATAGCCCATGGTTTTTTCTTAAAAAATGGCTCCGAAATCACCCCCAATTTTTATTACATTTTCTGATACATATTGATGTACTTATGCTGCGTAGAAAGTTTGAGCTGATTCCGACTTCAATTTCTTGAGTTATATGGCCATTGCCAGTACTCAAAGAATTACGAGCATAGAACCATGTGCTTAGATTTATAATTTCTATTCCACACAGTTTCCTGTTATCGGGTCTTGTATGACTACGATCCACAACAAGACGGAGACCTTGAACTCAAAGAAGGAGAAATGGTGACATTGCTTGAGTCTCCTTTGGACGGCGACTGGTGGTGCGGAAAACTGGAGAATGAGAAGCAGGGCTGGTTCCCTAAATCATATGTTGAATACGTCGACATTGTTGGGGAAAATAAGAAACGGCAAGAAGGTAGATATTTATTTATTTATTATATAATTATTTATAATTATTTTTAGATAGTTTTGCTGTTGCAGCAGCAACGATAAGAGTTGCTTCAATGGCCTTCACGTCACCAAACACACCCTCAACAAATAGCAAGCTCCATAAAGACTTGAAAGAAGAGGAATCAACGTTCATAATACCAAACCTTCACACTGGGACTCCTCAAGCCAGCCCTCAGATAGCAAGAGCTCACACGCCAATAAAGAGAGCTCCGTCCGAAGCCACACCCTCTCCTCCACCTTCTTACGAGTCTCCAATTCCACCAGAAGACATTTACATTGCAAAGTTTGACTATTCACCTCAGAGTGATTCTGAGTTAAAGATGGCACAAGGAGATCGTGTCATTATCATAGAAAGAGCTGATGGGGGCTGGTGGCATGGTGTGATAGGAGAGGAGCACGGCTGGTTTCCCGAGACTTTTGTCGAACCCGAGGAAAGTTCCCCCCCAATGTATGACGAGGACAAGAAAGAAGAGACAAAGAAAGAGGAAGAGGAGGAACCTTTTAGGCCACGAGGGATGACAGAGTTTCATAAAGAAACATCAGATGAGGTCGAAGCTTCAGGTAAACACTTACTAAAATTAGCATTCAAATTTTAAACGTGTCATTTATTTTTAGAATATAAAGCTGTATATACTTATACGTCAGATACTGACGGTGATTTGAAGTTCCAGGAAGGCGATACGATCCTAGTGTATTGGGCGAATCCTAATGGCTGGTGGTTTGGTTCTGTTGATGGTAGACAAGGGTATTTCCCTGGGAGCTATGTGGAGGTAAATTAGAAATGATGGTTTTAAAATGTGACATTTAATGTGTAATTATTTGTCTGAAAATATTACATTAAAATGATTTTAAAAATAAAGCAATATACAAGCACAATTAATACTGATGCATTTTTGTGATATTTTTATGAATAATCATTCTTTTTAAAGGCTGTGATGGAGCATACTGCATCACCAAATCTCTCAGGAGAAGGACTAGGAGTAATAAAAGAAGAATCTCCTCCCAGTGAGGCCGGAGGGACTAGCTTTAGTGATGAGATTTCCAATGCTTTCAAGAAAAGGAAAGAAGCTGCAGAAACAGGAGGAGAGAGAGCAGCAATATCTCCTGTTCCCAGCAGCAGCGGTAGTCTAAGTGATGAAATAGCAAATGCTTTCAAGAGAAGAGAAGAGAGAAAGCCGGGAGCAACAGACTCTCAAAAATCTTCTCCAGCTCTAGCTCGTGGTGGTACCAGTGGTAGCCTTGAAGATCAACTAGCAGCTGCTATTAAGAAACGCAGTACCAGCCCACCACAAGAACCGCCAGTGGTTAGCAGTGGAGGAGCAACTGGAGGAGGCGGTAGTCTTGAGGATCAACTTGCAGCTGCTCTTAAGAAACGGAGCTCAAGTCCACCAGCACATGCGATAAAAGAAAAGGAGCAAGTTGACGAGAAGGAGAAGGAAGAAGAGAAAAGGGAGGCCTCTGGTTCCCTTGGTAACATTCAAACTGAGATAATGTCTATGCTGACATCGTTTGGTGGGTCGAGTGAGAGTAGTACAGTAGGAACTGATAAAGAAAAACTGATAAAAGACGAAGAACCACAGGCCACTGGTAAGTATGAAATGGTATATAGCCATTCCAGATATATATACATGCACATATAAATTGTACATAATTATTTGCTACCAATTTACATGCCTTTAATTATCTGTGCTTTAATTATTATTTTAGATAAAAAGCCAGTTAAAAGACGACAAGCTCCGCCTCCTCCTAAATCAAAAAGTGTTACATCAAAATCACCGACTCCAGCATCGCCAGAACCACCTTTACAAACCACACCCACTCCCACACCTTCTAACGAGACTCCTAAATCACCAGATGATACGCAGGCCACTGCAATCCCTCCCGTTGTCAAGGCAACAGATCAAACCACACCCACTGGAAGAAGAAAACCACCAGTTGTTCCCTTAGTAGTGGACAAGCCAGTTGAGGCAACGCCCACAAATATATCAAAAACTCCGCCCATTGAACAAAAAGTAAAGACCGAGGAACCGAAAAAACAGTCAAGAACTTTACCTCCAAAAGTAGTCAAGCAGTTGACGGCTTCTCCAGGGACTAAGGCACGTAGAGCTCCTCCCCCTCCGCCGTCGTCATTGGCAACACACACAAAAACAGCTTCAGTCTCATCTGATGATGACAAATCAGGTCAGCCTCAAAATAAAAACAAGCCAATCGCTTTAGAAGCTGCAAAACCAACAAGTACAAGTAGCGATAGCGCTAGCGAAAAAATACTTTCATCTGAGACTCAAGAACCTAAGGCAATAGTACAGAAAGGGTCTGGATGGAAGCCACAGACTAGAAAAGGAAAGAAACAAGCTCCTCGTAGGAACCCACCCCTTCCTCCACCCACTGCCACGCCTACTACTGTTGCGGCAAGTACTCAATCAAAAAATAAACCAAAAGTGCAAATTGTTCGGAGACCAACTGCGAGAAATATACCACCGCCTCCTAATATTCCTTTACCAGCTCCACCAAAGAAATCACCGAGCAACATTCCACCTCCCCCTTCTACTTCTCTCCCTCCTCCTCCTTCCTCTCCCCTCCCTCCTCCCCCAACTTCTTCCCTTTCTCCTCCCCCAACCTCTTTCCTTTCTCCTCCTCCTTCTTCTCCTCTTCCTCCTCCTCCCTCTTCTCCTCTTCCTCCTCCTCCCAAACAGAAATCAAGCGACTCAGATAACTCTGAAAGAAAGAAGAGTGTCACAAGGCCTTCTCGCCCTCCACTAGCAAAACAAAAGAGTACAGACAATAGCGGAGACCCTCCTTCAGTTCCTTCTCACGACAGCGATTACGAAAAACCAATCTCTACGCCTTCAAAGAAAGCATCAGCAGACTATGAAGAACCTTTACCAAAGCCCTTGCATGGTTACGAAAAAATAGATCCATCAAAACTTGTTGAACGTGGAAGCTACGACAAGCCAGTGCCGCCAAAAGAAACTAAACCAGCAGGTAATGAGTACGAGGAGCCATTACCCAAACCAAGAGTAAGAACATCTGCCACTAAGCCTCCTCAAATAGCAAATCAATATGAAGAAGTAAAATCACCTACTAAAGATGATGATGGTAATAACGATTATGAGCCGGTCAGACCTCCAACTGTTGCTGAGCTTGCAGTTACTACGAATCCAGCTCCTCCTGTTGCTAGTAGGGACTCTAATCTCAAACCTTCTGAGCCGTCAAATCCTTTGACTGGTCCTTCCCCTAAACCTAAAGTAAAACCCAAACCAGCGAAACTCTTAAAACCCAAACCTCCCGTGGCTAAGAAACCAGCCTCACTCAGTCCTAGTGTCAATAAGAAAGAAGAGAATGAGTCTGCCGAGGGTACCGCCCCCAAACCAAAGCCTCGCCCTCCCAAACCATCCCCACCCCCAAGAGTAAGTAGTCTGCCGTCAACTCCTCAAGGGTCTCCGTCTCCCACGGCAAAACGAAAACATTCGCCAGTTCCAAGTCCTTTAGCTACGAGATCCTTTCCAGTTCCTCCAAAAAGCCCTTCGTCACCACTCCCACCCACTCAACCATCGACCACGCCTTCTTCTGCCCCACCCACTAAAGCCGAACGAAAGTCTAGTCTTCCTCCTCCACGTCCCAAACCTCCTCCGATACGGAAACTGAGTGCAGCATCAGCGGAACAGACTGACGCTGGTAATAACAAGGTCACCAGTCCATTAAGTAATGGGCCCATTATTTCTAATGGAGTCAAACCAGACAAACTGGATCAACCTGTTCCCAAGGCCAGGAGGACTAGTGGAGAAGGCTCTACAAAAGCTTCAATTCCTGCGAGACCTCCTCCTCCTAGATCGATCAAAAAAGAAAAGAAAGATGACGACGATGGAGGGCAGGCTCAGAAGTATTACAAAGCGCTGAAGAGTTATACCAGTGGAGGAGGTAATGGCGATCACCTTAGTTTTAGTAAGGGGGATATACTTGTAGTCCTGGATGATGGCGGAGCAGGTAAAGAAGGCTGGGTTCATGGCATGTTGGACGATGGGACAACGGGTCTCTTCCCTCTATCTCATGTAACAGATTTTCAACCAAACCAATGATAATGCATAGATATACATACATACACGTGTACATAATCGCTGAATGTAACTTGTTTTTATAACAATCACTTACACACGATAAGCACATTATTGTTGTTGTTGTTGTTGTTGTTGTTATTTACTAGTAGCTGCTCATTGTGGTATTTTATGCATATTTATTTCCTTACAAACTTTTTGTTTAATTTTTTTTCTTTTTATGTCAGACGGGGCTGGACTCTTCTCCTCTGAATGTTGGTTGATTTGATCTTCCTTGTACTTTTTATTTAATACTTATTTTACTTTCCTTGTTTGTAATATGTCACTGTTAATATATAGTTACTCTTCCTTTCTTTATACTTTTAAGAACTTCTTAATACTAATAATTATCAAAACATAATGCATACCTTTGGGGCAACTTTAAAATTTGTAAAAAATCCAATTTTGATTGGAATCAGCTCAAACTTTCTGCACAACATAAGTACATGTATATGCGTCAGAAAATGTAATAAAATTGAGGAATTTTCTACTTGTCAATTTTGGTGAAATTAGTCAAAAATTCCTGTACTATAGTACAGGGACTTTTGTCCGATTTTGGAGCAACTTTAAAAAATCATAAAAAATCCAAACTTGATTAGAATCAGCTCAAACTTTCTACACAACATAAGTACATGTATATGCATTAGATAAAATTATAAAACTGGTAAAATTTTTTATTTTCATTTTTGGCAAAATTTGGCCCGTGACCTTGTACAGGGACTTTTACTTGATTTTGGAGCAACTTAAAAAATTCGTAAAAAATCCAAACTTGATTGGAATGAGTTCAAACTTTCTATGCAACATAAATACATGTATATGCATCAAATAAAATTATAAAAATGGTAAAATCTTTCCTTTTTATTTTTGGCAAAATATTTTGAAGGAACTTTAAAAATAAACATCCAACTTTGATCTGAATAATCTCACACTTTATATACAAAATAAGTGCACATATATGCATCAAAAATTGTAAAATAAATTTCTCCTTTGTTCTTCATTAAATAATAATAATTTTATTATAAACATAACACCACAAATCAACAAAGAGAGGAAGGAAGAAAGAAAGTGTGCAATGATTTAATGTGCCAACAAAAGCACCAACCATAGTATCCACAAGCTACAAGAAACATTAAGTGAGAGGTTGTGAAATAATGTATTAAAAAAAGCATATACACCTGTATATGAAGAGAATGCACATCTCTTCTCTGTATTAAAATAAAAAAATAATAACATGTTCATCCAAATGTTACACTATTACACCACAGTCTGTATGTACCCACCACTCGTGGTCGACTGGGTATCCCACAACACCTGACACTGCCCTTTTAATAATCCATGATGTCCCTCCATTTCTGTTCCATTGCGCCTCGGGCTCAGAGAAAGAGGAGTCTTTATCGAAACAAAGGATTGCTTTGATGGACTTGAGTCAATTTCCTTCCCTCCATTGCTTATCTGGATTGATATAGAGTGACTGAGAGGAGCTTGAGTCACATAATGGATGGGTGAGGGACCTCCCTGATCGCTACCTATCAAAGAAAGATACGAAGGTTCTCGTTGCCCTTTTTTGGAAGTCACTCCATCATCAACTTTTAAAAAGTTTCCAGCATTAGCACTAGGAGTCGCTAAGTACCGACAGGATCGACAGAAAGAGTACTTCCCAAATCTGATATTACGAGGTTTGAGGTTTTTAGAATCTCCACCTTTTTCTCCACCAAGTCTTGTGTAGATCTTAACACTACCAGTAGAGTCTTCGCTGCTACAAGAAGTCTCTGAACTCACTGATATATAATTGCAGTAATAAGTATTGAGGCAGCGTCTCTGACAATCGAGACACAGCTTATGGAGCTCTTCCGCCAGCTCTGGGTCACAGCTCATCAGGGCGGAGTACATTTCATGGATGCTGGGAAGCTCCTGGTGACCGGAGTCCAGACTGTCATTGTGCAGCTGGCACAGCGGGGGATTAGGAGAGACAGGAGAGGGTGAATTGGTGTCGTTGGAAGTTGAGACACCCTCGTCAATATCTACTGGTTCAATGTAGCTCTGTGGGGGAGAGATAAAAGAGATTATCTAAAGCTGGTGTGGTCTTATGAATAACATAGAAATGATAATATTGATAGTTTAGCTTGTCATGGCAGATCTTTATTACATACACAGCAAAAGGAAGTACACAGGCTTATAAACAACTTCAGGGTATATTCTATATTAATAATGGTACTATTGAATTACATTTTTATTTTTTGACAATATAGAAGCTTAGAACTTGCATATACAATTACAGAAATAAATGTAGCATAGATATATATCTAAAGCCTCATTAAGCCTGTATTATTAAGCTAAAAGTTGCATGTATATGTTAAACAATCTAAAGGAAAATTGAATCAGTTAAGTAACACTTATAAGTAATGCTAGTTCCCTTTCCTTCTTTATACTAAAACTCTAGGTAATCTGTTTGAGAAAACAAGCACATTGCTAGCAGACAAACAACAAACATGTTTTGCAGGTTATCATGTATGGGTGTTTGATGTCTGGAGTCTTTGTGGATACTTACGGGCGATTCCGGCCGATAGTCTGCCAAGAATTGCTCGAGGATTGTTATCAGTTCGTGGAACGAGGGACGGAGTTTAGGATCGAACTGCCAACACTGTCTCATTATGTCGTAACTATAGACAAGGAAAAGGAGAATTGTGAGCAAAGAAGTGACGGGAGATAGAGGGAAGGAAGAAAAGGTGGAAATTAAGAAAGAGAGAGAGAGAGGGTGGAAATTTGAAGTATAATGGGGCAAGGTCGTTTGAGATTAGGATCTAATCTTTAGCTTACACTTTGATGGGGCACGACTGAGGTTTGGTCATGGTTTTCTTGCTTCTCAAACACTCAATAACTTCATCAACAGTTTTACCAGGATACGGTGTCTGGCCTGTATTGAAAGAGAGAGAGAGAGAAGGAGAAGAGAGATAGTATGTCGATAAAATTGTTTATTGTTTTATTATAAAATTCACGATAAAATTTGCTGCACAAGAAGACATAAAAAGGTTTTAGGTCATGCTTATTATGTGTCTATACAAAATGTTGCATAAGACATAGCCATGAGGCTTTAGCTATAATGGGGTTTTGGACCACAGAAGCACCAGAAGACATACATCCACGTGTGGAGAATGAGGACAGACATTCATTAAAGGATGTGGTGAAGGGAGGGGAGGGAGAGTGTATGGAGGGAGGGAGGGAGGAGGAGAGAAGGAGACACATCAAAGGAGTCTCAAAGACCTTACCTAATGTAATAATTTCCATTAGAAGGACACCAAAGGACCACCTAAAGAAGGCAGAAATGAATAGCATTATACACACAATGTTATACAGTGCAGGATGGAGTGCAGTATGTAGTACTAATGTCATATAGGACAGTACTAATGCGTGTATAGTCATTTATTTTATATTGGACTTACACATCGCTCTTGGTTGTGTAGATTTTGTCAAAAATGCTTTCAGGAGACATCCACTTAAAAGGAATCTTTCCCTAAAGAGAGAGAATGAAGTAATAATCAATAGAAATGAGACTTAATTGATAAGTAGCTTCAATCGCAGCATATTAAGCACATCATACAACATCACTATTAGAAATGGTAGAAATTTTAGAGGCATGCTTAAAAATTTTAGCTTCACGTATTTCAAATCTTTGTCAATAAGTATAAATGACACATTAAAATAGCTTAAGCTACCATAGGACAAATCATAATATTATCCTTTCTCACTGCCCTAGTACTGTTAATGTAATTTCCTGAGCGCATCCTACAGTTTAGAGGCAAGACTACAAAATATCATAAACAATGTCATAAACAGTGCAAAGGGTCGCCACCTAACTATAACAGTTACCGACAAAATTAATGGAGGATGTACAGTACGGACAGGCATACAGACATGTCTATACAGAAATTCGAAGAAAGGAAAGACTTCTGAGAATAGCAAGTGAAGAGGAAAGTAGATATATGTACATGCATGTACATGTATATGCTCAGACTCGTTATAAAGCTGAAATTAAAAATAATTTCTTGATATATAGTCATAACTAATCGCTTATAATGCTGAAATTAAAAATAATTTCTTGATATATAGTCATAACTAAGCGCTAGGCCGAGCCCATAGACTAAAGTACATGTGAAATATTTTGTATCAATATTTATTTAAGTGGATGTTAAAATAACATGAGATTGGGTTATCAGTGGAGGCTCTTGCCAGCAACAACATAAACCACTTAATGAATAAGGAAACAACAATATGGGGAGGACACAAGGAGAGAGAGGGAGGGAAGGAGGAGAGAGAGAGAGAGAGTAATAGAGTGATGTATAGCTTAAAGAAAATAAATGAGTGTTTGTGGATATAATTACTTTTGATGTTTTGGTATATATCGAATAAAGTGTCTCCCTTGCTAGTCCAAAATCAGCAACTTTGAGAGTTCCTTCATGATCTAGAAGTATATTACGAGCAGCCAAATCCCTATGAACACACTAAGAGAAAACAAGAAAATTAGTTATACTCTATTCTGTTTTCCTCACTTTTTGTGTTGATAGGAATGCCATCCCACGAGATACTTGAAGAGCCATTTTTATTTGTTTAAGAGTCGTCAAAGGATCAAGAGAGTCTTGCCTCTTCTTCCTCAAATGCTGCAAAAGGTTACCTCCAGAGCAATACTCCACTATGACCAACAACTGACCTAATGGGGAGGATATCCATACATAGACATGCGTGTACTATTAGAGATTAATCGGGATATCATGTTTCTCATGAAATAATAACTAACACTGCATTAACTTAATAGTACATTCCCTATCACTTGCTTTATAAGGAAGTGTAGCTTTACAACAAGTGAAATGATCAGTTACTGACACAATTGTGCTTAAAGCTATCAGGTACAAGTAAAACTGGAGACTGTATAACATGAACTTTCTGTGTTGGATAACTAGTATAGTGTTATACTTAATACACATTTATCTCATAAGCCCCGAACCAGTTTGGATCAAAGCGGTTCAGAAACCAGCTTAATTGTGTCCACACTAACTATGGTTGAATCAGTTTACAATGCTACATTGCATACATAATACAGCTGCTTCAGTACTTAAACCGGTTTGATTATCTCAAACCACCTCCTTTCACACTTATTTCTAAACCGGTTCCAAACCGCTTTAAGGGCATAGTGTAAACGCTTTAAGTGGCTTTAAGTGCATGGTGTAAACGGGGCTATGTTCATCTAGCTTAGGTTTAAGGTCTACATGTAATAACTAACTGTACATATATTTTTACTAATGCATGAATGGTATGTGTATATTGTACAGTTTCAGGAACTTATAATCTATTTACTGACTGCTGGATCATGTGTAGCTATTGTAACATGAAAGAAATGTCAACTAATATGGCCTGCTGATAACATATTTGCCTTCATTATTGTTTCATGTGTGATGTGCTAATTCAATTTAGCATCTTTCCTTGCTTCCTTATTTGAGCATAAATTTTTTTCACAGATTTCCCCATTTCCTCCTATAACCTACCATTGTGTTCAGAAGCTCCTAGAAGCCCAACTATATTGTCATGTCTTCCAACATGCTTCAGTATATTGAACTCAGTGATGATGTCCCGCATGTCTTCTTCTGAAGGCAAGCCTATATATGACAAGACTCATAATAGCACTAAAATATATATTAGAATTTGGCTTACATTTAAGCATTTTGACTGCCACAACCTTTTCGTTTGTATCTCCTTTTATTCCGGCTACTCTCGCTTTCTTGACGGTACCAAAAGCCCCCGATCCAAGCTCGCCCTCAAACGAGAGCTTGTGATAAGGAACATACCAATCACTGCTATGCAACTCTTGAAGACACTGAAGGAGAGAGAGAGGGGGAGGGAGAGGGGGGGTGAAAGTAAGAAGACATATACAAGTTGTACAAATTGAAATATTTGCCTATTAGCTCAATATTAAGTTACAAATTGTTATCATCATACAATGTATAACTATCATACTTCATTGTAAACATAAAACTAGAGTATTTATGCTAAAGGGAGAGAAGAGATGAGATAAGGACTAAGGAGTAGTAAATTAGCTAGTTCTTATCAGTTCTCTCCTCTCCCTTTCTCTATCACTCTCCACATCCCATATCAAAGGTAATATTATATCAATCATTACATCAATACTTGGAATGCTAAATATGAGCATTCCAAAGGCTACCATAGCAAACTTAATGAGCACTAACTGATCAGTGTATAGTATCACATTTCATTATTAATAATGAGTTATTATTTATTTGTTCACAAGAACACAGTTAGTGGTCTAATGAGTGCAAGCAGTAGTATTGAAATTCAATAGCTACCTCTTAGACTGTCTGTTACACTAATTATAGACATGAGACACAATAATAATAATAGCAACAAAAATAGTAATAATAATAACAACAGCAATAATAATAATAATAATAACAACGAAATGTTATGACTATGCACTGCTTACTGAAAACTTTTTACATACAAATTTTAAATATAATAAAGACATAACCATCTCTCTCTCTCTCTCTCTCTCTCTCTCTCTCTCTCTCTCTCTCTCTCTCTCTCTCCCTCTCTCTCTTACCTCTGCCATCATTCTTGATATCATGCTTGGCCTCAACTGATTCAAGAGGCTAGGCGAAGCTGATGCTAGTGATATAGACACAGACTCCATATCGTTCGCTTTCAAACTGTTCAAAAGAGCCTCGTCAAATCCCGTGAGACTCTGCTGGAAGGTGAACAACGGACGAGCAGGAATCTCAATCGGACCGTCTCTTACACTTTCTCTTCTCTTACGCCTTTTTCTTTTAGAGCAAGTTTTAGAAAGAAATATAAGACCAAACCCAGAGAGTATCAAAACTACTAAGAGGAAGGCTAGGGAGAGAGAGACTGAGAGAAGTGTTGTGTTGTTGACTTGAGAGCCATTAGTTCCGGAGGTTGGATTAACATAAGATATAATGCCGGTACTGGAGGATGTACTGAGAATGACTGGAGTAGTACTAATGTCATTACTACTTGATGAAGCTATTATTGTCGATGATAGGAGTGGAGGAGAAATTGTTGATGAATACTCTACAAAACAAAAAATATTTCTATAAATATTATACATACATAATTAACAGAAGTATTGCAGTCATTCCAACTATTACGAAATAACTGCTGCCCACTAATGAATATGAAAACAGCGTTTGATTACATCACATCGGGGGAAAAATACACCATAACACAACAGACTTTTATTCTATTACATAAACGCATACATTGCTATCTGATATAACTAGGGAGTACTAAGGATCAACTTACCAATCTCCAGGACTGATACAGGAATGGTATCAATGACACCGCTGAAGTTACAAGAATAGTTCCCATCGCTCGTTAAACGGAGAGCGTTATCAATAGTGTAGGAGCATACCCTTGTTTGATGGAGACCATCACACGAGGAAAGTGGAAAGTTATCGAGTTCAGTGTATAGACCATCGTCTGTTGTGTGTATGATGTGTAGGTTGACATCAGGTTCTATGTCGTATTGAATGGTGCACTGTATTGTGAAGCTGGAGCCTGGGAGAAATGGAGAGGGAGGAGTGACTGATGCTGTGACACACACAGAGGGAATAGGGGCAGTATCTAATGGCAGAAAATAAAGATGTAAGTCAAAGGCTTTCTTTCCCCCTATATGCATATACTAACTGGATTCTTCAAAGTCAACTTTGTATCTTTCACTAGTTACAGTTTCCCAAACAGTCTCAACTCTGCAATTAAGATCCAAGCTCTCAAGAATCAAATTGCTTCCTTCATTAGGTATTAAATTGATTCTCCACAGATCCTCTCCTAGTGGGCCACTTTTGCTATAGATACGATTCAGACCTCCTACAACAGCCTCCCCACTTCTAAAGACTATTCGAAACGATTGCAGAGGTATTGGAGAGTAGACGGCACACAGGGTTGGAGGAGAAGTGGAACCAACAGAAAAAGGAAGGACGATTTTTTCAGGTATAGGAGGAAATACAAATTGAATCGGCTCATAATCTAATGAACAAGAGAATTAATATGGCAGCCATTGTCCCTGCTCATACCTTCAATGACAACATAGTGTATCTCCACTACAGTCCCAGCTTTAATGCATACAAACTTCCCTTGATGACCAGGAGAGGAGACAATAAAAGTATTAGTAACCTCCTCTAGTACACCACCACTTTCTCTTGCTAGGACAGAACCAGATTGATTGCATATTATACTGACACTTTGACCAGGAGCAGATACATAATGTGTAGCAATAGTAGGGGCAAAATCTGAAGGGGAAAGCATGAAAAATATAATAAGAAGATATTATGATGGGAATGAGTATAATGGTTAAATCACCTAATTAGATTTTATCAGGCATGAACAAATCTTATTTAAACATGCACTTATGTACTATAGTGATCTAATTAAGGTGTGATTTATAAGAATACTAGATCAACATGATAATGAATGGTTTCTTTCTCTGACCTGTGTCAGGGATTGCTACAGTAGTGTTGAGATTGCTGCAGTGTTGGATGAATGAATCCACAGTAGCTATCAGTTTACTGAGTGAATTGTGTGTATGATTGTGCCTATTGTGACACTGGCAACCATATTCACCATACTGTAGTCCATCAGTTACATTGTATATTGTTAATAGAGAGCTGGTATTAGTTTGCTGTACTGTCATGTTGTAAGATTTGCCCTGTATCTCTATTCCTCCTTCAGTCCAGACCAGCTCTTGTCCAGGCTGTAAAGTATCTCCATCAGTGACAGCACAACTGAGAGAAAGGATACTACCATCATCAGAGAAACTGGCAGCAGCTTCTACAGCATAACTCTCTGTAAGGAGAGTTGTATAACACGAGCTAATTCAGTCATGAGGGGAGTCTTACCAGTGAATGTGGACAAACTGACTTCCTCGTTGCATTCTGTACCGGCTACCACAACAGAGAAGACGCTGTACAAACTGAGAAAAAGGTACACTCCTCTTGAAAATACATTCATGACTCGAGCTGCTCTGTTGCTACTACAGTTGACAATTTTGAGTCACAGAGAATATGATTCCCTCTATTTAATATCAGCTCTGGACTAATTAAATTAATAATAGATCTACGTTGTGCAGATATTTGCAGTAGAGATTGGAGGACTTCCCCGCAGTATCATAACTCAGACAAGAAGTGGTTAATATCTCTTAGAAGGACAAGCCCACTCTTTATGTGTGGTCTTCCTTTATGGTGGTGACATTGGTATTTTTATTACAAGACTGAATGTTTTTATTATCAAAAATATACATCTAAATCTACACAATACGTCTCTACATTTAAATGATTCCTGCTATAGCACAAAAAGAACATAGAAAAAGTACATTACATGTGTCTTTAATGTACGATGAGTGTTTTAGTCCTGTGATCTTTGCATCTTCATGGAAGGGTGATCGTTGATATAATCATTCTCTTTTGCTCTCCTTCCTTGGGGGTGAGTGAGAGATGGAGGCAAGTCAATCGAAATCTCAATCTTCTTAGAAGAGCAATTTTGCCACATCAAAATAAAAAATGCGACCCCAATGGCGACTGATACAATAAATATTAAACTGAGGCCAACAGCAAGGACAATAATCATTTCAATGCTAAGAGAACTTCCAGGAGTATTACTACCAGGTATACTAGTTGCACTGATACTTGGAGTTTCAGAATAGTCTGTACTAGTAGATCTTGTACTTGAAATGCTTGGAAATAACACTGTAAAAGTGTTTTGATACACAGGAAAGGAGTACATAGATGAAGCATGAGTGACTTTGCTTGTTGAAGTAGGTGGTATGATAATATTTAGAGCTACAACATTTTTGATTTTTGCTGTATAACCATAAACAGAGACGGAGCAAGTGTAATTCCCACTGTCTTTCTCCCTACTGACATTGGTGAGATTCAGGTAATAGACATTACTACTGCTGTCATAAAGTGGTGCATATTCGTAGAGCGATCCATTGCTTCCTTCATGTATTATGGTAATGTTGATTGGTGACTCAATATCATACTCTACAGTGCAAGTGATGAGTACAGAAGATCCTGATATGACAACAGAAGAAGGAGTGAGACTAGTACTCACACAAACGGCAGGTACCAGTCCGTTATCTTAAAATGATAAAATAAATAAAAGTGGAATATGATCTCTTTATACTAACCGGATTCTTCAAAGTCAACTTTGTATCTTTCACTAGTTACAGTTTCCCAAACAGTCTGAACTCTGCAGTTAAGATCCAAGCTCTCAAGAATATCATTGTTTCCTTTATTAGGTACTAAACTGGCTCTCCACAGATCCTCTCCTAGTGGGCCACTACTGCTATAGATAAAGCTCAGACCTCCTACAACGGCCTCCCCACTTCTAAAGACCATTCGAAACGATTGCAGAGGTATTGGAGAGTAAATGCCACACAGGGTTGGAGGAGAAGTGGAACCAACAGAAAAAGGAAGGAGAAGTGTCCCAACTCCAGTAGTAGGAAATATTAATCGTATTGGCCGATAACCTGGTATGAAAATTACAAAATAAAATATAAACTCAAGTATCATACCTTCAATGACAACATAGTGTATCTCCACTACAGTCCCAGCTTTAATGCATACAAACTTCCCTTGATGACCAGGAGATGAGACACTAAAAGTATTAGTAACCTCCTCTAGTATACCACCACTTTCTCTTGCTAGGACAGAGCCAGATTGATTGCATATTATACTGACACTTTGACCAGGAACAGATACATAATGTGTAGTAATAGTAGGACTACTAGCTACAAAATGGAAAATAGGATAATTAAATATAAACAGTAATGCAATCATTGCTGTCTAACCTGTGTCAGGTATTGCTACAGTAGTGTTGAGATTGCTGCAGTGTTGGATGAATGAACCAGTGGCTATCAGTTTACTGAGTGAATTGTGAGTATAATTGTGCCTATTGTGACACTGGCAACCATATTCACCATACTGTAGTCCATCAGTTATACTTATTGTCAAGAGAGAGCTGGTAGTACTCTGATGTACTGAATATCCTATAGTCCCATCTTGTATCTCTATTCCTCCTTCAGTCCAGACCAGCTCTTGTCCAGGTTGTAAAGAAGCTCCATTAGTGACAGTACAACTGAGAGAAAGGACACTACCATCACTAGAGAAGCTGGCAGTCACATTTAGGCTGTAATCCTTTGCCATATTGTACCCTATAACAATCAACAATACAACCAATTTTCTAGTATATGATTGTCTTACTGGTGATATTGAACTCTCCTTGGCAACTTCCTTCAGCCTCTTGTATCACTAAAACCAAAAGTGAAAGAGCAACAGCTCCTAGACTAGCTCTCATCTTACTCCTTGTGGCTGAATGCTTACAAGTGCTAAAGAGGCAATGCCAAAATGCCCAACATTGATATCATCGTAAGGTACACATAATTTGATATTTTTAAATATTTTAATCACTGAGATGAGGAAATGTTGACATTCTGATGTACAGAGTAGGGATTCATCAATTGACAATGAAATTAAAACAGCGCATGCATCGAATGCTAAGAGTCTCCTTTGGCTTCAGATATTTTGCTTGTCAGTGCATCTGTTTCTTCTCTCGCCCTTTTAAGGATCTCCCTAGCTCCTTCCTTGATCAATTCTTGTGCTAATGCCTCACCGACCTTCGCACCAAAAGAGGAGCAGGAATCAAAAGATGGCGGAGTACCCAAAGAAGGCAAAGACTCTTTCTTGCTGCCACTTATAACCTCATGGCCGTCAAGACTAAACACAGCACCTCTCAGCGTGTAGTGACCATCTTTTAATATCGACTCAACTCCAATGGGGACACTGCAACCTCCTCCTAGACTTTTTAAAAATTGTCTCTCAGCAGAGCAGGCAATGAGTGTATTCGGGTCATTAAGACACTGGACTATACTGTTAGTTTGGGTGTCATCTTCTCTTGTTTCTATAGCAAGTGCTCCCTGACCTACAGCATACATGCAGAGCGAGGGGCTAAGCTCTTGTGCTATGCGTGAAGTCCATCCCATTCTAACAAGACCAGCTGTAGCTAGTATAAGAGCATCATATCCTCCTTTATTAGAGTCTCCCTCATTATCACTTGCTGCATCTAACTTAGCCAGTCTGGTATTAAGATTACCACGAACACTCTTGTACTCCAACTCAGGGAAAGCTCGTTTTAATTGCGCAATCCGACGCAGTGAGCTTGTCCCGACGACACTCCCTGGTGGGAGTGTCTCTAAACTCCTCCCACTTTGACGTGGGGACAAGAGTAGAGCATCAGTGGGTGAGTCCCTCTTGTAAATGACGGCTAGTTTCATCCCGGGGGGTAGGGTAGTAGGGAGGTCCTTTAAAGAGTGTACGATGAGGTCTATCGAACCGGCAGCCAGTGCTGTCTCTAGCTCTTTGGTGAATAGGTTGGTCTGGCCTATGTTTGGAAGAGGTTTGTCCAGGACGTTATCTCCAATAGTTTTCATCGTCTCCACTCGGAACTTGACATCAGGATGAGCTTCAGAGAGAGCTTGGACGATAGTCGTCGTCTGTATCATTGCCAGTTGGCTAGAACGCGAGCCTACGATGACGACCTTCTCTGATTTAGCCTCTGATGAAGAAGACGGAGTTGCCATTTTTTGGAGAGCCCTACTCACTAAAGTCACTATGACTCCACGTGGGCAGGAAGCAGTAAAACTAGGTGTGGCCTATTGTTAAATAGGCGTGGTCGACGCAAATTGTTTCTCCATTTTTTATAGCTCTCTTATTTAACTATCAGTAGCCACTTACTCTGGTATAACACTGCCCTGGGAGATAAACTGAAGTGCTCCAGACCTCTATTATTATATTTTCCTTGTACCTTATATCTAAAGAGAGATACGCCGGCTCTGTGACTCCTAACTCAAGACTGGCTCTTCATTTTCATTAATCCAGCTCCACTACTCCTCACTGAGTTGACAAATTGAAAAAGGCTCATTAATAACAGCACTGTAACGATAAAATGGCTACCCCATCTTTAGGAAGAAAGGTGAGAGAAAAACTAAGGGAATACTGAATTTTAAGATCAGCAAAAGCTCAGACATTTAGTTTACATTGTTATTGATACAGATTAGACCAGTATACATAATATTTCTGTATGTACACTACTACTTATTCATTAGCACAATGTATTTCTTAATGCTTTTATAGCTAAAGTATATATCTATTTTAAATATTCTATATGGTCATGTATGCATGTACAGTATTGCTATTAAAAGTGTCCCCATAGGAACACTGTAGCTTACAAATCGATAATAATCTCCACTCTATGTTTTGAAAGTTTTCAAGTACATATACATATACACATAATTATGCATGTTCAATGTGAATATATTTTCACTTGGGATGAAAGACCACCTGCTTACATAACAGTATCCCTCCCTTCCCCCTCTCCTCCTTTCTCCCACACAAACTTTATGAATTGTATGTTCATTTGACAGCTGGTCATTTTGTCTTCAATCCTTGTTTGTATTCATATCACTGGAGAGCATCATGTATACATAATATGTATTAGCTTACAAGACATGCTATAGTGATAGCCAAATTGATCTTGTTACCAGTACTCAAAAATGGATTATGCTTGAAAATGAAACTCCATTGTAGTTTTTGTAAAGCGTATAAGCTCCATTGCTTTCATTGCAAGCTACTGTTTGATGTTGTGTGTCTTTGATAAGCAAAAGTTGAAATGAGTAATACAATTTTAAGGCGTAATAAAGATATCACGTCTGTGTTATTACTTTAGTGGCAAACAAACTTAAGTGCTAATTCCATTTAAAAATAACACTAATAAATTACCAATATAATAGGTGGGCGTGTGTTTGTCCATACATGCATAGTATTAAATTAATGTTTATACCTAAGGAGGGAAAGAGAGAGAGAATGAAACAGAAAGAGAGAGAGAGATTATGACAAAGTGAAGTGAAAGCTGTTTAAGGATAGTGTTGATGAACTTTAAAGTTCTCACTCATCAACAGGGCACAAGGAAATTGACACTAGACATGCTGCAAGCAAAGACCTGTACATGTAGTAGTGTTATGATTTCCTTTGTCATGTCTGTCTATGTTTACTTCAGTTATCTGTCCCTTTTCTATGAAGTACAGTGTCCTTTCCCACAGGACATGATCAATTTACATGTAAATGTGTACATCAATGTCTCTTGTTTCCACTAATAAAGTATTCACACTAAAATAAGTGTAATTTGGTACACACTTATGTAAATATACAGTATGTACAAATTACATCATTATTATTATTATTATTTATTTATTTATTTATTTACTATAATTTTGTTTGCTCTGTAGTAGTATATGTACATAATTTTGACATTACTGTTGTCTCCCCCCCTCTCTCTCTCCCCCCTCTCCCTCCCCCCTCTCTCTCTCCTCTCTCTCTCACCCCCCTCTCTCTCACTCTCTCTCTCACCCCCCTCTCTCTCTCCCTCTCTCTCTCTCCCTCCTCTCTCTCCCTCCTCTCTCTCTCCCTCTCTCCCTCTCTCCCCCCTCTCTCTTCTAAAGGAGAGATTAGGCACATCAGTTAGAAGTGCACTCAATGAGCAGCTGAATAAGATACAATGGAAGCACACGATGGAACTAGAACTGATTGATGATGTTAGGTTGGTATGTACATGTACACACAAACTTGCAGAATGTACAAGCACAAGTATTGATATGTACAGTACCAGTATTGATATGTACAAGCTTAAGTATTGATATGTACATTGTACATTTGTGTTTACAAGTACATGTACATGTACATACCAGACGTGATTCACGAGACATGTACTCTGTACTTTCATGTACATGTGCATAATACATGCATATCACATGCATGATACATGCATGTCACATGCATGTCACATGTATGTCACATGTCAAATGATTATGTGTAATAGTGCATTGCTGTATGTTATATTCCAATGGTGTTGCACTGGCCCATTGTGTTGTGTGATATTGATATTATGGGAGATGCTAATCGTCTTGTTTGTTAGGAGTTTCCTAAAACAGAGGTCTCAAATTGAAAAGGACTATTCTCAAGTGGGTAACAATGATACAATATTAATACCCAACACTATTACTTTAAATGTACAATAATATAATATTAATACTCAATCCTATTGCTATGTACATCTACATGTGCAATAATTATGTTACGCTTGTTAGGCTATACAGAAGCTTGTGTCTCAGTTTTCTTCAAAGCGTGATTTCAAAAACCCACCAACCGTACCTAACTTTGATCGACTAGAAAACAGGTATGTGTAGTATGTAATGTTACTAATAGTAGCACCTTGTTTACTACTACTACCGTTACTATTAATAGAATGTTGTCACTATTATAAAAGCAATGCTTCTATAAATAGGACTAACTTCATTATTAATTAATAATTAGATGCTGTTACTATTAATAGAAGCAGTGTTTCTATTTATAGTATCTTGTTATCATCCTTTAGAGGTATATTAGAAATGTGGAAGTCCTTGCTTGATAAAACTGACGAAATGGGAAAGAGAAAAGGTAACGTGGGCGACCTGCTTTGTGGGAGCCTCAGCGAAGAACTTAAGAAGCTCAAGAGGGTTAAAGAACATAATTTCAAGAGACAAGCAGAAATATTCCAATTAATGATCAGCGAAGTTTTGGAGAGCGTTAAGGAGCTGACCAACGTGAGCAAGAATTTGATTTGAGGGAGGGCGGATTTTGTTTTTAAAATTTAAAGTATTGTTTGTTGATTTTAAATTTTGTGTTGTTCATGTACATGTAGGCCAAGAAGCTGTATCATGAGAAATGGAAAATGTGCGAAGATTCGAGACAGAAATATCGTGATGTGGATGACAGGTGGGAAAGAGAGAGAGAGAGAGAACACTACATGTACATGTACATGTATTACAATTTTTTTCTAATAAAGGCTACGCAGCTGCAACTTAAAAATGTTTGAATCAAAGTCAACTCTTGAGAAAACGCACAAAAAAGTAAAGACACAGAACAAAAACAACCAAACTCCATTATAATCCTCTTTATTTTGCACTGTTTCATTTCTTTCCTTCTCTTTTTTCAGAACACTGATAAGTTGAAGCAGGCACAGAAACAGTTAGTGGTACAACGGAATGAGTATTTATTGACGGTAGCAGAAACTAACACTCACCTTGACAAGCACTTCGAAACCGACCTCACAGAAATGCTTAAGGTATTGTACAGGAAAGATATATTTAAAATTTGAAGACAATTTTTTTACACTTTTTCAAGATTGTTGATGGCGAGTTGTATGATATAATGAGAAACTCGTACACACTTTTCGCTCAAATTGAAATGGACAGCTGCAACGCCATTAGGGCAGAGTTTGAAGACCTCAGGGAACAAGTAGCACTCGTAAGAAAGAGGGAAGGGCAATGGGCGTGGCTCAATTAATAATTAATTTTTATTATTATCAATTTGTTTTTCTTAGTTAAATAGAGAATATGTTCTAGAGTGTTTTATGGTTGAAAACCCGATACTACGAGACAAGATTTCTTACACATTTGAGGCATCAAGTAACGATAAAGTGACAAGCCTTAGTAAAGACCACGAGGCAGAGCTATACCTTAACAAGGTATGTAATCATTTGATTAGTGGGCGGGGTCAAGTGGACACGCCCTTTTTTGTAGGAAGCAAGAAAGTGCGCACAACAGTTGACGAAACTTCATCAAAAGATAGCGGAGAAGAGCAAAGCCATAAAAGGACTGCAGACCGTCACGAAAGCATATCATGTCGTGAGTGGGTGTGGTTAGCATCTCCGTGGTTACACTGTGTTTTTAACCCTTAGAATCCTGAGTTTGGTACGAGCGATGCAGTTTCAGAGGCCGAGCAAAGTCTACACCATATTCAAGAAGAGATTAGACAGATTGAGGTGACTACTACTAAGGCTAATGCACGTTTGGACCTTCTCAAAGATTGTGGAGGTAAGTACTAAGAAATTTATAATTATAAAAAAGGAGGAAAATGGAGGCAGAAGGCAAAAGAGATGAAGGATTAGTAATATTATGGAGAAATGCATGTACTGGTGTTGGAGCAGAGATACTGGTGTAAATATACTACTTAACAATTAATACAAATGTGATACTGTTATTATGTTTGTATCAATTGTCATGTAGTTGATGTATCCAAGTGGTTACAACAAGCAGCTCATACCGAGTATGAACACACGCCCGGGGAACAGAGAAAGCTAGACAAGCAACAGCTGCAACCCGATCTTGTTGACCTTACCACAAGTAAGAGAAACAAAATGTTCTTCTTTTTTTTGACTTTTATCTACCGTCTCTTCCATTAAGCCTTGCGTAAACAGACTCTAAGCGCTAGTCAGTCGTCATTGAGAGGTGGTGACAGTGATACTGTCTCCATGAAGTCTGATGTGCTGAGTCTCAATTCGTATCAAAGCGAGCAGACGCCGACAATGTGTAAAGTGTTGTACTCGTATGAGGTAAAGGAATGTACATATGTACATGTACTCTGTACTATAGCCCATGTTTTTTTCCAAAAAATGGCTCCAAAATGACCCCAAATTTTTATTACATTTTTTGATGCATATTGATATCCTTGTGCTGTGTAGAAAGTTTGAGTCGATTCCGACTTCAATTTTTCAAGTTACGGCCATTTTAAGAAAACGTCAAAAATCTGAAAAATACCCAAGGCTATAGCCCATGGTTTTTCCCGAAAAATGGCTCCGAAATCACCCCCAATTTTTATTACATTTTCTGATACATATTGATGTACTTATGCTGTGTAGAAAGTTTGAGTCGATTCCGACTTCAATTTTTTGAGTTATGACCATTTGAAAAAACGGGCCAAAATCTGAAAAAATCCCTGTACTATAGCCCATGGTTTTTTTCGAAAAATGGCTCCGAAATGACCCCCAATTTTTATTACATTTTTTGATACATATTGATGTACTTATGCTCTGTAGAAAGTTTGAGCCAATTCCAACTTTGATTTTTCGAGTTATGGCCATTTGAAAAAACGAGCCAAAATCTGAAAAAATCCCTGTACTATAGTCCATGGTTTTTTTTCGAAAAATGGCTCTGAAATGACCCCCAATTTTTATTACATTTTTTGATGCATATTGATGTCCTTGTGCTGTGTAGAAAGTTTGAGTCGATTCTGACTTCAATTTTTTGAGCTATGGACATTTGAAAAAACGGGCCAAAATCTGAAAAAATCCCTGTACTATAGTATAGCCCATGGTTTTTTTTCGAAAAATGGCTCTGAAATGACCCCCAATTTTTATTACATTTTTTGATACATATTGATGTACTTATGCTGTGTAGAAAGTTTGAGTCGATTCCAACTTCAATTTTTCAAGTTACGGCCATCAAATATATTTTTTCTCACTATTACAATATAGTCACAAAGGTCGGACGAGTTAGACATTCAAACTGATGAAGAACTTGATGTCATTGAATGGGACGATGGCGACGGATGGTGCAAGGGCCGAAACAAAAACTCTCAAGAAGGGTACTTCCCTCAGAGCTACGTACAAGCAATCACTGCACCGACTACGCCTCCAAAAGTAGGCGGAGCTTCTAATGATGTGACATTTAAACTCGTCGTCAGTGAAGAAGGTAAATAATGAATTTAATAAAGTTTAAGATTATAATAGCAGTTAATGTAATGTACATATGTACATGTACATATACATTAAATTTAAATGTACATTGTATTTAAAATACATGTACATGTACTAGCTTGTACCCATTTTCTGATAACATGTACATGTACATGTTTTTTTGCTAACATTTCAGTAGTAAATGCACATTATGTATAATGTACAATGTACATGTACATGTACATCCTTTTCTTTTAGTAACGATGCTAAGAGCACTGTTTGAATACACGGCACAAGAAGACGAGGAGCTTTCCTTCCCAGAAGGTGCCATTATAAGGTTACTAAGGACAGACGATAATGGGATTGATGACGGCTGGTGGGAGGGGTCTTACGAAGGAAAGAAAGGAGTGTTCCCATCCATAGTTGTTGAGATAATTACCAACGACAATAATCCAGTAAGATTACCTAAAAATACACTACTTTATATTCATTTTTTATCGTATAAAATTATCAATTATTTTACAACCGATTGTCACGTGACTTTTCATTACCATAGGAACTGACCCCTGTTAACTCAGAAGTGTTTACGATGCCTCCTCCAATGTCCTCATCTCCTACTTCTCCTCTCCCTCCTCCTCCATCTTATCCTGCCCCAGCCATTTCAGCAAACGATCTCTCAATACTCCCTCTAAAGCAGCTTCAGTATAATCTATCCTCTGGCTCCACAAACTCGTTTTTCGTCGGTTCAAAGTTAGGGGATGGGACGGTTTCTACGGCTAGTTCTCCGGGAGGGATAAGAAGAGGAAGTAATGTCATCAGTCAAAAGAGAGACGAGAGAGAGCTCGAGGTCCAGGATAGTTTTGAAGATACTTTACAAGAGACGAAAGAGCGTTGGAGCTCTTTTGACGACATTCAAGACGATGATGATTGTTATGTGTAGCTCTCTCTGTTTATTTGATTCCAATTGACCACTCCCACTCGTAGTTTATTACTGTTAATACAGAAACGTACATCCGCTCTTTTTTGTGTATCATAATATAATTAATAAATTGTTTTATTATTATTATTATTACTATTGTATATATATATATATTATATATATAGATCTATAATAATTGTGTCCTTGTGTGTGAACTACAAAAATTAATCCTTTATTATTATTATTAATTAATTTTATTTCTAATTATTGCTAACGGTTTTAATACTTCCTATATAAGAATTTTTGAATAAGTAAAAAACTGATTTCTCATTTTTAGTTGAAAAGGGTGGGGCTCAAATTTTAAGGGTGGGGCTGGGTGGAGACATTTGCAAAAAAGCTAAGGAAGGGATTTTCCAACAACAAGATGGCGTTGGTATTTCGTGAAAGAAAGATACGAAAAATGGACTTGCTTGGTAAGAAAATAAAAAAATACCCATGCACAAGTAATGCTCCTTCCTTTTCACAGAAATGAACGAGCTATTGGAGGTGATAGACGGACTCCAGCGTTCAAACTTCCCTCCTAAGAAATGGTTTGATCTTGGCCTTACGGTTGGGCTGCTCTTACAAACGCTGGAGACTATAGAGTCGGACAACAGGGGCAACCCTCATCTCTGCCTCCGAGCTTGTCTCAGCAAGTGGCTTGCACGTGTTGATAACGTTAGCAGAGTCGGTCAGCCAACTTTTGAAGCTTTGGGTGAAGCACTCTGTAGAATTGGACTGGAAGATGTATCGGAAAAGGTTCTGAAAAGTAAGCGCTGGCCCTTTTAGAACAAAGTGTTTTTACGGTCTTTTCGGGTGGGGCTCAGCTTGCAGAGAGGTGCTAATCAGCCTTGTTCACACCTTTAATAAATAAGAATTATTGTTGTATTTTTATATTCACTTTCTGCTATATTTCTCTCTCTTATTAAACAGTCCTTGATCCAGGAATGCATTATTTTCAAAAATATGTCGAGAGTCAGCTACAAATCTCGGAGGACACCCTCTACATGCTCTACACTGAAGGACTCATAACAAAGAAAGAGATAGCGCAAGTAGAGAAGAAAGGGTTTCATCTCATCGATGAGCCTTTGAAGGCCCTCTCCGATAAAATTGCTGATGATAAAGAGAAGCTCATTGCATTTGCTAATATCCTGCTGATCTCAAAGACTCCTAGAGAATCACAAGACTTTGCACTGGAACTGCTCAGGGACTATGGTAAGGGACAATGTGTTAGTGGGTGTGTGTGTTTGCAAGTATATTAAGGAGACTCTTTTTAGGTTATTTTATACCAGAACCAGAACCAGAGGCTGAAACTGAGACTGATATCAGCCCTGAGACTGATACCAGACCTGAGACTGATACTGCGCCTGATACTGATACCACCAGGCCTGAGACTGATACTGCACCTGAGACTGATACCACCAGGCCTGAGACTGATACTGCACCTGAGACCGAGCCTGTTCCTGATGAAGCAGCAGCTATTCCTCCCCAGCCTCCTCTTCCAATTTCTCCTTCGTCTTCTCCCCCTCGTCCTCTCTCCTCCTCTTCATCAACACACAATACACCTCCTACAACACCAACTGAAGAAACACCCCCGGCAAATGAACAACCACTGGAACCAGGTAAGATAATAAATATATCATTAATAGTATCCTCATTAAATATTCATTAAAACCTCATTAATATTCATTGATAATATTTTATTAAATATTCATTGCTTTTAGCTCCTCCTCCACTCACTTATGAGGACATGAAAACCAAACTGTCCACTTTGCTTGACAAGTTGTTCCCGATAATAGTGAACAAGATCGGTAACTTTGCTGATTTCCGTCACTACCTCGATAGGGGGCTACCTGAGCTTAGACCACACCTACCTCCCACCCAAACCTTTGAAGAAGCAACGAAACTCGTCAACCTGCGTACCACGGTCATACATGTCGAGGGCTACCGGTCGCTTGTTGATCGGTTTGAGATGGAAAATGGCAAGCCGTTAGTGGACGAGTATGAAACCGAAATTGATCGCTTCTGTTCTCAAACGACACTCGATTTGGTCCTTGGGATAAAGTTCTTGCCACTGGTTGTTCTTAAATGCGAAACAATCAAAATAGCCATGGAGTGGGAGAACTATCATGAAAAGACGCTAGACCACGTCCGAGAATTAAAAAAGACTATCTTTGGGTCTTTATACACCCGAATAACAATCCGTCAAATATATTGGGACGAGGAAGAAGAGACGATTGTGATTCTGCTTCAGTTTCCTCGCTACCTTACGGACTCTATGCTAGTCACTTCTCAGAGGAATGTTGATGATGTGAAAGATTTGGGTCTTGCTCAACTGCTGGTCGGTCATTATCCGATTTTTGATAGAGTCCCTGATGATAAGGTACCTTTATACTGTGCATGCGTATGTAATTTTGGTCAAGTAAAATTCACAAATTTTTTCAACGCTCACATACAGTATTATTATTATTATTATTGATCTTTTTATAGGAATTGAGAGAGTTGTATGAAAGGAAGAGAACCGTTCAAAAGGAGGTCAAGAAACTCAAAGTAGCCATCAAGGAAAAAGGTAATAGACTTATAAGTAGCATAGCAACAGTGCTAAGTATTAATGATGCCATTCATAGATGAGTTGATTAAGAAGCAAGAGGAAGAAATGGAGGAGCTGAAGAAATCAATAGAAGAGAATGAAGGTATGAAATGAAACATGTGATGTACTAATACTTCACTTCTTTTCTTTCTTTATTCAGAATACATTGAGTTAATGTCAGTACCAGGTAATAAAGAAAAGCTAATATTTCAGGATTACTTTTTGTTGCTATACTGTAGATGATGAGCTCCAAGAAAGGATTGACAATAAAGAGAAGATGATAAAAGCAATGGATCACGAGATAGAGGACTTGAAGAAACAACTGCAAGAAAACCCAGGTGCTTAAACTGCTTATTCTCCCGCTTATTTCTTTAATTTTCTGTTTCTTTACTTTTCTGTGTCTCTGTTTATAGGAGTGGAGGAGGAATTGGAAAAGGCAGAGAAAGAAGTTGAAGTTTTAAGAACAAAACTGGCAGAGCTTGAGACTCAAATGCAAGAAAAGCCTCCTTCAGCTTCACTCAGTAAGTAACAGAAATAATAATGATCACAGACTATAATACTGGATTCACATTAAAAGCCTTAGTGCTATATAATGTAGTCACTGCATTGACTCTAAATGCTGAAATGTATTGACTTCATGCTGTTTTCTCTTTGCAGAGAAAGATCAAGAGACCCAGTCAGATCCAGACAAGGAGCAGATGACAATGCTTGAGTCACTCCAGCTCTTCAGATTCATGATGACAGAGCAAAGGATAGACATACCAGCCATCAAAAGGATACAGACCGACTCCTCTAGCAGCAATGAGAAAGCTGCAATGTTCCTCAAGACTGTGGAAGAGAACCCTGATGTGCTTGCTGCACTGAGAAAGGCAAAGAAGGATCTGGATAAAAGTGGATCATCTGGTATGCAAAACCAATGCAATATCAGTTGTTGTTGATATGAGCATCTCCATACAGGAAATTTTGCATTTTTTTGAAATTCACAAAAAATTAATCTGCAGAAATTGATTTTTATATTGTCCAGAAAGTAGAAAGATTAGAAAAATTATAGCCACAAAATGAATTTTTGAATGAATTTGCAACAGTTAGGTCACAATTTTTTTTGCTATACAATACTATTATATCTGCATACTTTTGTTCCCTTTTATTAGGTGGTGGTGCTGCTGGGCCTTAACCTTCATTAACTCAATGACTTCATACACAACTTTATAATTTTTTTAGCATGTCAATTTGTTTGTTTGCTACTTTGTTGGGACTTTTCCTTTTTAGAAATTGACAATAAAAATAACTGTGATTACTGTATCAGATATGAAAAAAATTGTCCGCAACATCAAAGTATTTCCAGTCGCAGTGCAAGTTAGTATTGCGAACTGAGTGTTACTGATACCTGGTTCATAACATTACCAGTATGAAATTACAAATTAGTGTAATACTGATTTGACAATTGATATTATAATGATAATAATAATAAATGAGCTTTTGTTTATATTAGATATGATACAATCATACAATGAGAGAACAAGTAACAGCATGGAATCATGTAATAGTGATAAATAATGACAACCATCAGCAGTAGGTGAAAGGGAAAATCATAGAGGGACCAGAGAGAATAGTATTTATCTTAAAAACTTGTAAAACACATCAATAGAGAAATGAATGAAGTGATTTCTCAGGCAAAAGAAAAAGCACTACCTTATTGCCTGCTATGAAGCTGACCAGCAAACATTGGTAATAAACGACGAAGGTGGTTATGATCTGGGGTAGGGACTCGGACTGCTTCATCAATGTCCTTTAGTTTTGCAAGGAAAGTCCTCCTTTGACTCTCTAGTAAGCTACACTGCTCCAAAGGAAGCTGAGACCGTAGAGCATTGTTACTGAGGTTGTCCCTTATTTCGGGTATGAGAGATTGCAAGCTCTGCAAATGAGTTTGGATTTTATCGCAAGTCATGACGTAGCGCTGTATCGTAGCAAAGTCATTTGGATTCTGGACTCTAGGGGCTAGAAGGTTTCTGAGGTTAATAGCATTCATTATATGAGCAGATATTGTCAGGCCTTGGGTGACCCTTTGGAAAGCAACCTTTGCAAGATCAGTAATTGGTATAGCTGGATTCTGACCACTAAGGTTGTTCAAAGGTGCTACAAAGTTGCCATCACCTTGAACATGCATGCCAATATTGTAAGCTCGACTTTCAAGCTCTTTTGCAGCATTGTAATTGTCCCAAGCAGCCTTCCTTTCTTCCTCAGAAAGTTCTTCGTCAAAAATATGCTCAAGCAAAGAGTCGTGCTCGTGGTATTTTATCACGACTTTAGGCTGGAGTTTGTCAAGAATCTTACAAAAGACAATATCATTCGTCGGTCTGTCATAAGCTCCATCTTCTTCCGGTGGTGGGGCTGGAGTAAAAGTGAAGAGTTCCTGAAGCTGGTTGTTTGTGTAATGTCGACCAACTTGTTTCTCGTCTATGACACGGAGAGAGAGTGATGTCTTTGTGACTTGCCTGTCATAAATCTTCTCTTCCATGGTACCCTGGATAGAAGACAGAAAAAAGGGCATAACACTATAAATTAAAAGTTAATTGTCCTTAACTACATGGATAATCTGCATTCAAGTGAAGGTGATTTAACCTTTAAAAAAGTTAGTGCAAGATTCAAAAAGCTAAACTGACTTGTGCTAAAAGTCTATATACAAATACAGGTTTGGTCTGTCCAAAGCGATAGGTCCTAAAAACAGACTGGAGGTCATGGGTCGGGTTCCAACAAGCGTCAAACACAACAACTCTATTAGCACCGATGAGATTAACACCTAGAGAACCTGCTTTAGTGGATATTAGGAATAAACGTATGCTAGAAAGGAAAGATAGAAAAATTAACATTTAATGTGTCTAGAAGAATACTGTATACATGTATTCAGTATACAAATTTTAAATATGATATACTTACGTTTCGTTGTTCTTCCGATTAAATTTTTTCATTAGCTCCGTCCTGTGGCTTGCCTTTGTCGAGCCATCAAGACGAAAATAGTCGATACCTTCAAAGAAATCTCTCTTTTGCAGGAGGTACTCAATTTGATCAAGCAACAGGAGACTCTGAGAAAATACCAGGACTTTCTCATGGACCTTCTTTGTTTCTTCTAGCAGCTCAAGAAGAAACAAGACTTTACCACTGGAATCAATGTCATCCTCTGCCTCATCGGACAGGAGGTCTTCAAACCAAGAGGAAGGGGTCGACTCTTTGGAGACGACTGGAGGAGTAGGACAATCTGTAGGTATAGAGGAAGGATAAGCAGAGGTACATGTAAGAATTGTAATACATAAATGCTTATAACTTGAAAAATTGAAGTCGGAATCAGCTCAAACTTTCTACATAGCATAAGGGCATCAATATGTATCAGAAAATGTAATAAAAATGGGGGGTCATTTCAGAGCCATTTTTTTGGGAAAAACCATGGGCTATAGTACAGGGATTTTTCAAAAATTGGCCAATTTTTAAAAAATGACTATAACTTGAAAAAACAAAGTCGGAATCAGCTCAAACTTTCTACACAGCATAAGTACATCAATATGCATCAGAAAATGTAATAAAAATTGGGGGTCATTTTGAAGCCATATTTTGGAAAAAACCATGGGCTATAGCCTTGGGTCTTTTTCAGATTTTTGACGTTTTCTTAAAATGGCCGTAACTTGAAAAATTGAAGTCGGAATTGGCTCAAACTTTCTACACAGCACAAGTACATCAATATGTATCAGAAAATGTAATAAAAATTGGGGGTCATTTTGAAGCCATATTTTGGAAAAAACCATGGGCTATGGGTACAGGGATTCTTTCAGAAACCAGGGGGTATAACAGTACTATGTAGCACATACAGTATGATACAGATACAATTACCTTTAGATGGAGCTTTGCTTGTTTCTCTGCTGCTGCTAGATGTAGATGGAGTCTTCTTCTTTACTTTATATTCTCCGTCAGAGTCGCCACTTTCCACAATAAAACCTTCCAAGCTAGTGTCATCATCATAATCCTCCTCATTGTCATCATTAATGAATCCATCAAGACTGTCGGTACCATCTTTGAGTCTCTTTCTCTCCTGATCAAGCATCAGTACCCAGGGATGACTCCAGACCTTATAGATAATAAATATAGTAATAATAATAATAATAATAGGATACAACAAGGCTCATCTACATGTACATGTTCTTTAAATTCAAAGCCACATTCATGTACAAGTATTGTAGGAATTATATATACAACAGTTATAAGACAGTAAAATAACATTACAATTGAAATTAGAGTATTAGTAATAATATTCGTTTTACTAGTCTGTACTGTACCTTAGCTAAGCTTGCAAAAGTGGAGAACAGATCACTTGCTGTATGGAAAGTCCTTCCTAAGTATCTGGTGATGAGCTCGCTCTGCACTGGAGTCATTCTTATTGATACCACATATTCGTATTTAGGAGGTAAGGACTCCGCTAGTATACGGTAATCTTTTCTCTAAAAGAAGAGAGAAAGAGAAGGAGAGAGGGATCGAGAAAAATGAATAATTTATAAAGTAGCAAGAACAACACATAATGAAGCATTGCTGTACATGTAAATGTATTAAACTATACAGAGCTTTCCTAGAGCATTTCTTTAGCAGAAATTTTTGAGGGCAAAAACTTTTTTGTTACTTTACAAAATTTTGCCATTAAAAAAAGTTGATTTGATTAAAATTTTAAAAGACTCAAAAGCCACATACATGTACACCATACTGTTACTCACATCAACACAGCCGGAGAGAGTCTGAAACAAGACGTGGGCCCTGTACTTCATCACTCGGACTTGGTAAGGACTAGAGTCGGCACACTGGCCGTTGGCTATCGGGTTAGCAAACTGATTACAGAACTCTTTCATCGTTCCTAATAGATTGGGCTTCACGAAATTGACCATAGTATAATCTATAATGAATGAAAAAAAAAATATAAATAAATAAATATAAAATTTTAAATAAATAAAATAACACAAATAAGTTAAATTCAAGTTAAACAATCTACATGTATAATGCATGAAAAATAAAATAGTATAAATAATTGAAATTAAAATTTGAATAATACATGTAACATACACATGTGATTACATTATCTACATGTACACCTACTTACATTCTTTTAAGTTGTTTTGTAAAGGTGTCCCGGTTAATACAATCCGTCTCTTAGTGGCCACTCTGCTAACAATCACTGATAAGTTAGAACTCTCTCTTCTAAGGACGTGACCTTCATCGCATATCATTATATCAGGGCCAGGATCAAGGAGATACTTAGAGAAAGACTCTCGGAGTTTAGCCTTGCGAATTTTAGAACCGGAGGCGAGGTTTCTAAACATCTCGTAGCCCATTAGAGCGACCCCACCACATTTGAACCATCTCTCTATTATCATTAAACGCTGATTGTTCAATTTAGCATCAACTACAGTTACCTGAGAGAGAGAGAAAGAGAGAGAGAGAGAGAGAGAGAGGGAGAGAGAGAGAGAGAGAGAGGGAGAGAGAGGGAGAGAGAGAGAGAGAGAGAGAGAGAGAGAGAGAGAGAGAGAGGGAGAGAGAGGGAGAGAGAGAGAGGGAGAGAGAGAGAGAGAGAAGATAGCCTAATGATGTGTATTATAAGTTACCAATCATGACTACATTGTACATAGAATTCTATTGATATAAATATGTCATATAAATAGATACCAGCGTTAATTGTTACTAAAAATAGCGTAAACAACTCGTTCCTATAAATAGTAGCAAGACCCACCCTATAGTCCCTCCTTGATAATGATATCCACTTGTTCCACTCGTCGTTCCAATTGTTCAACGTGTTAACAGGACAAAGTACAATAACACGCTTAATGTTGGTGGACTCAGAATTGGATATGAGACAATCTATGAACGCTATTACCTGAGGAAGAGATGCAGAATTTACCAACAATATACTAATAATATACAGTAGTTTACTAATAATATACTAATAATATACAGTAGTTTACTAATAATATACAAATAATATACAGTGGTTTACTTATAATATACAGAGTTTAAATCACCTGAAAGGTCTTTCCAAGGCCCATACAGTGTGCTAATATTGCACCAGACCCAGGCTCAGACTTTAGCCGCTTCAGGTCCTCACAAACACAATTATACAGAAACTTAATCCCTTTAGCTTGATGAGGCAAAATATGAGAAACAAGGCTACTTCTTACCTAAAAAATAATATACTAATAATATACTGGAGTATAATAATAATATACTAATAACATACAGTAGTTTACCAATAATACACTAATAATATACCGTAGCAGTTTTATAACACGGTAATTTATCAAGGTGTGTATTTATCCTAGTTTAATAGTGCACAATAGTTTACTGGGATATACTGACCTCCAACAACACTTCATCAGTCTCAGCATCTTTCTCAAGGATTAGTCTCTCATTTTGAACAGCTTGGGCATCATTCTTCTTCTTCAATCTGTCCAGCCGTTCCTTCTCGGCTTTCTGAGCCTCTTTGGTCTCAAAGGCAAGCTTGTCCTTTGAAATGAGTTTACGAGTTTTTTTTGTCTTGACTATAGCAATATACAAAAAATATACTAATAATATACTAAATTTAATAATAAAAAACAAGAGTATGCAAACAATGTATAATAGTAATACTAATAGTATACTAACATGCACAATAGTATACTGAGAAATATCCTAATAGTATACTAAGTGAAACCCTCACCTGGCGTAGTAGATGCAGATGCTTCTTCTTCATTGCTACTCTTACTTGTGGGTGTGGTCTCTTTTCTCCTGACTCCGCCCACCTCATCATCATCGTCACTATCAGAACTGGATATCCGTGTGTGGAGACTCTTTCTCTTCTTGTGCTTTCCCTTAAAATAATAACCACTTCCCTCACTGTCCTCAAATTCTTCGTTAGAAGAATCAAGAACCACAACCTTTCTTCTCTTCTTGCTAGAGGAGGACGAAGAATCCTCGTCCGAGAAAAAAAGTTTTCTCTTTTTCTTCCGGACGACTTTAGAGCCGAGAGAATCCGAGGAACCATCACTGTTGATAGTAAGAACTGTCCTGTTTTTATCTTTTAGTAAAGGAGAGGTGGAGGAGGAGGAGGAAGGGATAGAGCAAGGCACGACAAAGGCATTTTTATCGTCATCATCGCTTGAAGACAAGTATCCTATCCTTTTCTTTGACTTAGCCTTCTTGTCTTCCGACTTGGCCTTCTTGTCTTCCGACTTGGCCTTCCTTGAAGACTTACTATCGGAGCTAGAAAAAGATGAAAGTCTGGATTGCTTTGATCGGTTTTTCGAAAGATTGGAAGGAGTGGGATCTCCAGTTTCGTCATTTGAAGAGTCGATAACGACAACATTAGAAGAATCGGGAGGGCCTTTAACTTCCTCCTCCTCCTTCTCTTTCTCGCTATCGCTGCTGCTGGATAGAGCTTTTCTCCTTTTCGAAGACTCGATCCCGTAATCTGACTTCTTCACTTTAAACTCGTGTCGTGGTTTTTTAGTTTTATTGGCTGAGGAAGAGTCAGCTTTTGTCGAAGGAGCTGATCCTTTGTCAGCTGGTTTCTTAGGCTGTGTATCCCCTGGGGAATTCTCGCTGATCGGACTGTCTAGTAAATAATCATCATCTGATAAAACAAAAGACGAATCTCCTGCATTTGCTTTGTCCTTTACATCAGGCTTCTTTTTCTTCATGCTCAGTGAGAGTTTTCTCCTTTTAACAGTGGGTTTACCGGACCCCCTGCGAACTTTCTTATTAATACCGGACCGCTCACCAGTGTCATCAATGACAGAGTCAGTATAATTAAACAGGAAAGGAATGTTGAGATTGCATTCATTGCTATCACTAGATGATAGTCCATCTTCAACTAGGTCCAAGTCTTCTTTCGATTCCATGTAAAACTCATCGTAATCTGCCGATACAGGTGGTTCCTCTTTAATATGAACGTCAGATTCCTCAATCTCATTCTTTTCAGACTCATTCTCATTCTTTACAGATTCATTCTCACTGCTCCCAGACTGATTCTCATTCTCCCCAGATTGATTCTCATTCCCCCCAGACTGATTCTCGTTTTCCCCAGGCTGATTCTCATTCTCCCCAGATTGATTCTCGTTTTCCCCAGGCTGATTCTCATTCTCCTCAGATTGATTCTCGTTTTCCCCAGATTGATTCTCGTTCTCCCCAGATTGATTCTCATTCCCTCCAGACTGATTCTCGTTTTCCCCAGGCTGATTCTCATTCTCCCCAGATTGATTCTCATTCTTTATTCTAGTACCACGTAAGAGTGAATCTTTAGCTCCAGTGTCCATACTTTTATGTTCAGATTCATCGGAATCACTTATAAATTCCTTTGACTTATAAACCCTGTTCTTTTCGCTCTTTTCAACCTTCAGACGTCTCTCCAACTGTCTCCTTTTCTTCTTTCGACTCTTTAAAGTCTCAACAACATGTTTACAAAAGTCTATGTCTTTCTTTAGCGGTGACGGGTCACAGACAAAACAGATCCAGTTGCTGTCGGGGGATTTAAGCTTCTCCACAGCTTCAGAGCCACATACATTTAGGATACAAGTCTATAGAACAACGGAATGAAGTTAATTCAGCTTTATCTTACTTATCCAACTTTGCCCCTCTTCTCTCTCTCTCTGTCTTATTATTTCTCTCTCTTATTTTTTAGTCTTTTCTTTTCCCCCCCTCTCTCTCTTCTCTCCTTTACTTGACAGAAAGATTTAGGACAGTCGTTATCACAGACAAAAAGCTCTCCTCCATCCCCACAGAGGGTGCAGTAATTCTCACTTCCATCCTTGTCCACCTCAAAGACGCCAGTATTAAACGTCTGGAAACACTTCTACAGAAAGAAGGATAATCATTATGTTTAATATCAACAACACATTCTCTCCTTTCCTCTTTATTGCCAAGTTCTACGGTGGTCACATTCATTCATATTCATATTCATAGACAACAAAAAATCTTATAGGGATATGGGATATAAGGATAAGATACTTTCACAGGTTCTTAAGCCCAACATACACTGAGCAACTTTGTTGCTCAGTGTATGTTGGGCTTTAAGGCCTCCATACACTAGGCAACATGTTGCTAGCAACTTCTGTGGTTACTTTGATCTTGTAATCATTTTGTTCCAAAAATAGAACAGAATTCTATTCTTAGACACAAGATCAAAGTGGCCACAGAAGTTGCTAGCAACATGTTGCCTAGTGTATGGGGGCCTTTAAGTCACCAAAGCATGAAAAAGACAGCTCTTAAAGCAAACTTGCAACAACTTGCCTAAGTTAGTTTACATAAGAACATGGGGAGCTAACAGAGCTAAGAGCTGCTTATCAAATCACAGTCGTACTCTTTCCCCCCCCAAGTCAAAATTCTGATTGTGTTACTTTTCTCACCACAGCTAATTGATTAACACCCAGACCTGACGAAACGAACTACTTCATGCAGGCCTCAGAAACCAGCCAAAATACCTCCTCCCCACCCCCGTCATGTACAGTACTTACCAGACAAGTGAGAACGTTTAGGATCTTGTGGGTGTGGACTCTTTCTTCTTTCCAATTAATTTGTTTCTGACAAGAGACGCATGGAAATGTATCAGGTAAACCGGAATCATCATCCTCGCTCAATATAGTCTCATTCCGTCTAATCTCATTTTCATTCTGCATAGTTTCATTCTCGTCCTGCTTAGTCTCATCAATGACAGGTTCAACTTCATTGGTTTCGGGCTCATTGTCAAACAAATCAAGAGATTCATTCACATCAGCATCAAATGCATCACTTTTAAGTTCTCTGTTTTCATTCTGGTTAGGTTCATTCTCATGTCTACCCACTTCATTCCCATGTCTATCACTTTCATTCCCATGTCTATCACTTTCATTCCCATGTCTATCACTCTTATTCCCATGTCTATCAGTTTCATTCCCATGTCTATCAGTTTCATTCCCATGTTTATTGGTTTCATTCCCATGTTTACTGGTTCCATTCCCATGTTTACTGGTTCCATTCCCATGCCAAGTGGAATCAGAATCAGACTTCTGGGTCTCAATTTGAACATTTCCATCCCTTGGGGGTTTCGTCACAGGATTACTGAGACCTATTCTTAGCTTGGGAAGAACAACAGAACAAGGTTTGAGAGGAAGGGAACGCTGTGGGTTGGGAGAGGGCTGGCGGAACGGTATAGAAGGATCTAAGTGAAGTTTTTGGCACGTCCTAGAGCCGTCTATCTCTCGACAAGACTGACACAAGTCCAGTAGCACCTCCCTGTTCTCGTTCTGACACTCTGACTTGTAAATCTGGGATACATGAGAGGAGATAGGCTCGGCCATTTCTTGTCTAAGAGTGAGGGAGGGTAGAGATCTGTCTTTTAACCCAAAGGACTGGTGAGGGGACGCGGTGTAGTCCGGGCAGAAGAAGAGAATACAGTTTCTTTCCGAGACTAGATCGTAGTCCTGTTCTGCAAATGCTCTTGTATGAGGCGGCTTGATAGAAGCAAACCAATTCTAGAAGAAACCAGAGCATGTCAGGCAATACTCGGGTCTTCTCTTCCTCACCGGGCTTACCTCGGGCTCTGAAACGTCAAGTGAGTCTAGTCCACCTTTACCGGGAGAGAGGTTTGCCGCCATTTATTTCCTGGACAGTGGACACCACCACGTGACAAGATAACTTTAATAACCTGTGGGTGTGGCAGCACTATCTACTTAATTAATTAATCAATCAATCAATCAGTTAACTAATTAATACTAATTTACTAACTAAATTATGCAAATTATTGTTCAAATACTGGGCCAAAATCAAAGATAATTGAGTCTCTCTTCATAACCACATGCGATGGAGAATAACTTGCATTTGATATTAGTGCTTCATTCAGATTACCGGCATTACTTTCGATCACTTTTTGTCTGAAGAGAAAGATTTTGCACGAGCTTACACAAAGTTGGCAGCTTTTTTGAATCGATTTGACATAAGCATGAGCCATTACTGTGCCAATAAAAGCAATAAAACTCAAACTGACAGAAACAGTAGTTATCCCTCCAGTTACTTCTGCACTATAGCCCATATGAGCAGAGAATATGCTAAACATTGATAATAATCCCAAGTTAATGCAATAAAATGTTTCCAGTCCATTCACTGCTCTGTTCCTGTAGACACCTTTCGATAGATATGCTCCAAAAAAGGTGAAGAAGCTGATAATGTAATTATTAGCTTGAGGGATGGCACTAGTTGTATATGAGAATATAGGTGTGATTGCTAGACGTACTATCAAAAACAGGCCAGTCCAGAATCTATACTCATTCTTGTATGGCCCAGTGTAGGCATCAATGAATGGTTTCAGTTTAACTACAGGATCCCTAGAGCTCTTGCAGCACTTACCACTGTAGCGCTGCAGCCATTGGCCAGAGAACACCAGCCCTGTGTATACTAATCCTGCAAATAGGAACAACAATGCAACTGCAAATAATGGAATATGTTTGCCACTCAGATAGCCAATGTTACCATCTACACTCCATACTTTCCAGGTTACAATCCCTTCGCAGTCAATTGTAGCTATCATTAAAACGTTGGTAATAGCTTGAAGGAGTTTAGAATATGACATGAGAATGAGCGTAGCTAGAACTGGAACTGCATTATTACCACAGAGACGCGATACTTTGCCAGAGTAATGGCTACTAGTTATGACAATCCCGATCAATAGCCAAATGTAAAGAGGAAACACAAACTGTAGCCATGTCTTCCAATAGCCATCCAGTCCATTAAAGAAGCAAGTCTCTATACCAAGGTCAAGATTAATCCAAGCAATGAACTGGCTCAATAGAGGTACCTTGCTACCATTGGGAAAGTAAACAGTTTCATTCAGTTTAACAACATTAGCATAAAAAAGTAACCCATTGATGCTACCGACAGATACAGTCAAATTGAGAAACAGGAGGAAAACTAGAAGTATTATGCCAGCTGCAATAAAACCAGCAAGAGTACCCAAGTACTTGTTACTGCAGGGACCACATTTATTTGATCCTAGCATGAGGCTCAGTCCAGCTTCACACTTTCCGCAAAGGATTCCCGATCTGCCATGAGAGCATTGAGCATCCCCCTCTACAAGACTGAGACTTAGAGAAGAGGAATTGCAATACCCAAGAGGACAATATCTGTGAGCAACAGTACAATTATAGTCATGATTGTAGTACAACCAATTGTTACCTGATCTTTTAATAGGATATGGCATGGAATTAATGTTGCATTCGGTGAAACTAGAGCTACTTAAGACCCGATTGCACTGACAGGTTTTGTCCTTCAGCTCAAGACCAACTGGGCACGGACGGAAAAGAACATCTACCAGCAAACCAGAATCGCTGACAGTGTTGCTTTTCTCAGGACCATTTAGTGTATTATTAATAAAAAAGCTTCCATGTCTATTTCTTGTTCTCTGTCTGAGATGATAAGTAAAGTTCGAACATTCTCTTTTGGTTTGTTGATTGCAATTGGTGTTGAGTAAAACCTCAACTGTGCTAGTATTAAGAGTTAACAAAACCCCAGGGCTGAGGCCACCACACATTCCAACTGTTACTAGTGGCAGAGTAATGGATTGGCCAGGATAGAGTTGCTTATAAACTCTTCTACTAGTGCAATCAATCTTATTATCATTGGTACAGATGCAAACACCAATTGAAGTTGAAGTGATGTAAAATGATAGAGGATGCTCATGTGGAAAAGTGCGGAGATATTGAACACCACTGCAGTTAACTAATTTCTTCAGTGTGTATACATACACTGTATTATTATAACCTCTTGAATCTCTGCAATTCCAATACTTTCCATTGTAAATGTTATTCCCAGCAACATAAGCAATATTGTTGACAAACACTGGTCTGAAATTATCAAAGGTGCATCTTGCCTCAATAGAAGTTTCCAACTGAACAATATTTACGTAAACAGCACCTCCTACACCCAGTGCCGTGTTGTTAATGAAATAAACTTCAGTATCACTGTAGACAGAGACGTCCTTAATGAACATACCAGCACCATTAGTAGGTGAAGTATTATCAATCATGTGGCTAGGATTATTAACAAACCAGAGTTCGTTGTCACCCTCGACAATCATTCCATTTTTATTGTTTGATAGAGTCACATTATCCATTCTTATCAATTTTCTATTATACTTCATCACCAGTCCAGAGAAACAATGACTTATCAAAACATTTGCAAGCAATAAGTCATCACCATTATAAAGAAGTGCTAAAGTTGTCCCAATCAATGTAACATTGAGGACTGCCATGTGGTTTCCATTGTACTTTAGAAAGATGAATTCATCTGCAACGCTAATATGATTCTTCATAGTGAGATAATCTCCATTGTAATCAGCATATATTCCACCATTTCTGAGCACAGTAATATCTGAGAGTGTAATGTTATTCTTATTTCTTTGCATCAAAAGACCATTGGTCTCTCTAATTCCCACTATACTAACATGAATGATAGAAATATTATTACCATTGAATGATACGTCCACATCCCCAGTCACATTGATGCATTCCAGACTAATGTAGTCACTGTTATAACGTAGAACCAGTTCAGTATAAGCGTCATAGGAGCTTGTATTCAATTTCTGATACAGGGTTATGTTACTGATACTTATATTGCCACCATTTCTTTTGAGTAGCATTATGCCGTAGCCATTCTCTAAGGTTACTGTAACATTGGAAAGTCTTATATGATTCCCATTTTTATTCAGTGTGAAATTCTGACAACAATTTCCGGTAATGTCGACATTAGTAACGATTAAGTCATTCCCATTTCTTCCTAAAGAAAGACTTTTTTTGACAATTTTTATTATATCTAGGAGGATATGATTGCCATTGTTGATAAGGATCAATCCTCCTTCATTAGAATGAGCCACATCAATCCATTTCCCAATCACTTTGATGCTACACAAAGTCAAATAGTCTCCATTATTTTGTAAAAGAATAGCTCCATACTTCACTAAAACACTGCAGAGCGTAATGTGATGACCATTACCAATAGCATAAATAAAATTCCGTGTTGCAGTGAGTACAATGACATCATAAAGGCCAATATGATTGCTATTGTTGACCAGATTAACATCCCCATTATACACTCTAATGCCTGAAGAAAAAATGTGGCTTCCGCTATATACTAATGCATAGTTTCCATTGAATATTGTAGCATTTATTACTGATGAGTTATCCCCGATTAAAAATAACAGCAAATGAGAGTTTAATACCAAGACGTTTTGGATCCTGACAGAGGCATTATTTACAGATACTGTTGATCTTGAGTGGTATGATCCAAGCTGTGAGCCTTCCATTAGAAGGTGTCCCTTTTCTACATAGTTATATAATTGTAATGACTTCATTACTATACCCACCACTTCTACGTTGTCTATATTGTTAAGCTCTAAGTCACATGAAATTTCAAGTTGTCTAAATACAATAGATTTGCTGCTGCTTATTACAAGTGGCATGTTTTCTTCACAACTGATTAAAGCCTGGCCAGGTCCTGATTGCATCAATAGCTGATCCAGACCAGTTTTATTGAGCACATTGAAGAGCCTGTGTTCTCCTGGTAGAAAAATGAGCGTAATATTTGGTGGCCAAGTCATGTTAACATAATAAGAGAGACTGTGGCAGCCTTGAAATGAGGAGTTGGAGCAACCCTCATCATTAGTAGCAACATAATAGACAGAGCATGAATGTAATTGAGCAAAGACTGCTAAAAGAATCAGTGAAACCTAAGAAAATAAAGAAGTGATAAAATATTTGCAAGATCATATATTGTACCTTAGTTGCTTCAATTAGTTTCTCCATGCCTTGATTAATCAAGTAAAAAACTTGTCTTTGAAGCTGCAAGCTATGATACTGTTAAATATATCAATTCCTGTCAGCATAACTCACTATTTGCCTTGTGTTATTTGTTATTCATGGATTTCCTCCATCTTTAAAAATGATGCAATAATGAGAATTGATACTCTTTATCAACAAATAAATTCTGTTGTTGTTTGTCATTAGCTCACTATCCTTAAGTGTTATTGGTACTTATCAGCTGTGTATATTATTTGAATAAGGATATCATATCTTTACTATCAAGCCGGCAATTGAAGTCAGAACTGGCCAAGTTGAAAACTTGAAGTCGGAATCAGCTCAAACTTTCTACACAGCATAAGGGCATCAATATGTATCAGAAAATGTAATAAAAATTGGGGGTGATTTCGGAGCCATTTTTTGAAAAAAAACCATGGGCTATAGTACAGGGATTTTTTCAAAAAATGGCCAATTATTAAAAAAACAAAGTCTGAATTAGCTCAAACTTTCTACATAGCATAAGTACATCAATGTGTATCAGAAAATGTAATAAAAATTAGGGGTCATTTCAGAGCCATTTTTTGGGAAAAACCATGGGCTATAGTACAGGGAGCAATAGTCAATGAAACAGTGAGAGCTACAAAGTTCAAACTTTAACTTTATCTTACAAGTTGAGTATTTTGATGAGAAAAAGACCATTGGAGTAAAAATACTAAAACATACATAACCACAGAATTAAGTATTGTTATTATAATATAAAAGCAGCTGCTACTTAAAATCAAGTCACTGTCAGCTGTAAAGACAGATTTAGACAACAACTATCACAAACAGCTGCTAAACAACCGCCAAGTAATACAACCCCCTCCCATTTAGTTGCTATTCATCACAATGACGAAGAAAGTTATTGTCATCCGGAACAGTCGTCACCAGATTGGACTTTAGTGTACGGACCTTTCTCTTCCTTCTGTGATGGCTGACCACACCTCTTACCACCCGACTTAGGCTTGCTTCCAAAACCACTATCATCGTCGTCGTCATCGTCACGGAAACAACTCGTTACCTTTTTTGCGACCCACTCGCAAGCTGTAAGTAACAAAAAAGAGAAAAAAATAAATAATGATAATGGCTCACTGATACAGCTTCCATCTAGTATTGTCTATTAATTGATACTAGACTAGTCCATCATGCCTAATTTACCGTTTATGATTACTCAGCACATCTTATAGGAATATATCTAAAGGATCCTTCTTTGTAGTATCTTTCTTTCACTTGATGTCAGACTAGAGTTTGGCCTATAGAAAATGCTGAGGTTTGATTTCAATGATTTGATTTGAAGGCGTGGTTAAGCTAGTTTAGGGTGTGGCCTCCAACCCATTTGGAGGTGTGGCAGGCATGGCAGCAAGAGCTGAAAGGAAAACAAAGAAAAAGTCAAAAAGAAGAGAAGAACCCAATGACTGCAGATGCTTCTTGTGCGGAGAAATAGGACATTATAAAATAAACTGCCCTAATGAGGGAACCAAACTAGGCTTAGAAGAAAAAGCAGCAAAATTCACCACACAATCGACACATTTTGATAAAAAGAGCTCGTGTTTTCATTGTGGAAGAGTGGGGCATTATAAAGCTAACTGTCCACTCCTTGCTAAAAAGACAGAAGAAGAACATCATGCTACTAGTACAAAACATGACGATAAGTTAAACACAGGAATCAAACCAATTGGCACCCACCAATCAGCATCTTCAGAAACTCCTCCAGACACTAATCAACTGGTACCCCCAACAGGGGATATATTAACTTTGAGTAGTCATGCAGCAGTTTCATCAGCCCAGCAAAAAGAAACAGAAATGGAATTATTAACTAATCAAACCATTAACGATGAATCAAAAATGAAAGAAACTCTTTCGTCAGTTTCACAGGATCTGATGTTAAATCAGGAATCAGAAGTCACAGGAGAACAGTTTTCATCAAGCACTGATAAATGCATTGAGGTTGAAGAGGATAGCATCCTCGGTGATGAAAACCTTTTAGGTTCTTTTGATGATGATATCTTTATCAATAAGGAAAAGGAAAGAGAAGAAGATGGAGGCAAAGTAGAAGATCAAGTAAAGGAGAAACCAGTTTGGCAGAAGAATAAAACTAGACATAAAGATATCTCGTTATATCAACGAGTTGCAAAGCTCCCTCGCTACTTAGATACCCACTGTCATGTAGAGTACCTACTTGAACGCCATCGTCTCTCGTCCTATGCCGATATGTCCTTGAAGTTTTGCTATCCTTCAAATTTTGACGGCTGCATCACCTCATTCTGTGACCCTGCGGCCTTCTCTTCTTTTGGTTGCTATAGGGAGCTACTTGAGGAGGATAAGATCTGGGCTAGTTTTGGTATGCATCCGCGTCACGCTCGCTCTTTCAGCCCACTTTTAGAAGAGAGGCTACTCGAGTGTTTGGCTCATCCGAAATGCATCGCTCTGGGTGAGATCGGTCTTGATTTCTCTGGACACAGTCTCAAGCAATCCAACAAGGCTGAGCAGAAAAAGCTAGTCAATCACTTGCTGCAGTATGCACAAGTATACTCCAAACCTCTCATCCTACACTGCAGAGATGCAGAGGAGGACTTATACGAGATTTTATGCAATGCTCTACCAAGAGACTGGTTCATTCATTTACATTGTTATACTGGCAGTGTTGAAATGGCACTTAAATTCGTAGATAAATTCCCCAATCTTTACATAGGACTTACGGGCCACGTCACTCAATTCAAATTTAAAGATGCAAGAAGTATTGCTAGAGACTTCTCGTTAGATAGGTTGCTGATTGAAACAGACTCTCCCTACATGATGCCATTCTCAATGAGACCGGGTCGCTCATTGCGTGGTTTAAAATGGACGCACCCTCCAATGGCTGTGTGTGTGGCTGAGGAGATTGGAAGGCTACGTGACTGCATTACTGAGGAGGTGCTTACGGTCACAAGGAGAAATGCTCAAACTTTGTATGGAATTTAATTATTTTTATACTCTAAATCTTAATTGGCAATGTCTCAATAAAGTAGTGTCTGAATTTTAATATTTAAGGCTGTGTAACCCATGGTTTGTTTTGAAAAATGGCTCCAAAATCATCCCCAATTTTTATTACATTTTCTGATACACAATGATGTACTTATGCTATGTAGAAAGTTTGAGCCAATTCCAACTTCAATTTTTCAAGTTATAGCCATTTTTAAAAATCGGTCAAAATCTGAAAAAATCCCTGTACTATAGCCCATGGTTTTTTCCGAAAAATGGCTCCAAAATCACCCCCCAATTTTTTATTACATTTTCTGATACATATTGATGTACTTATGCTATGTAGAAGCCAACTTATATTTTTGGATTATAATGAGCATTTTTTAAAAGTGGCCAGATAAACACAATAATTATTACAGAATGAAGTAATTTTGAAGAATGCAAACATTGCTACTCCTAGAATTAGTGACAATTAAGAAATCATACCATTATCATTCATCATGTTACAAGCAGTATAATGGCAGCAATATGTACTAACACACATGTGTCATTATATTGTATTGTATAGAGTTACTCAGTAAATATCTTGCATAGGAATGATAAGGAGTGGTGACACTGTGGTGGCTGCAATTAGTGAACATACATACAGTATTGTAACTGGAGCTATGGCGGTCTACTCTTTCATTGGTTTCTGTATATTACATATTTGTATGTACTTTGTGGCTAAAAGTAGTAGACAGTAAGAGCTGAATTCATTGCAATAGAGAACCAACAGTAGTATCAGTATATAATGGGATCAGTGCTATAACAGGAATCATACTAGTAAGATACAATATATATGATAGTGTATGGTACTATCTTTACAGGTTATACATACTGAATACATGTTATACAAATGCTCTATCTTTCTCTGCCTGTACCCATACGGTATAGAAGAATGCAAACATTGATAATACCTATAATTGGCGGGAATTAAAAAATCATACCATTATCTATCATCATGTTACAAGCAGTACATGGTAATGCAATATGTACTAACACACATATTGACGTGACACATTGCCTTGTTGTACAGATGTTTGTAAATTTAGAGAGGTATCTCCACAATTTGCTTTGTTAGTTTTTTAATGCTCTCATGTTATACAATAAGGATTATAGACAATATCTGTACCCAGCTCCATACATTGAGAATAGTACAAAATATCATTTAATCAAAACAAAACTTATGTATGATGCAATGAATGTGAAGTGAATAATGCAAGTACTGTAACCACTTGGTCTACAAGCAGTACATTATACCATTCTCTGGACTGTTCAGTCCTACCTACACAAGCGTAGTCAGTCCAAGTGAGGTTTCTGACTATTTTACTTAATTTGGTAATAAAGTCATACATAAACAAGCATTGCAAGTGAAAGATAAAGTTTGTGTTTAAGCTAGGCATGGATAACTTTGGCATAAATATAAATAACTTGGCATTTTGATTGATGAGGTTCAATAATAATTATTTAGAAAAAAATAACATAAAAAAGAGGCACCAAAAATAATGAAAAAATAGTTCTGACAAGAATAGTCCTAACAAAAAAAAAGTCCTAATTGCTTCTTCATGCACTTAGTATATTAGGCCAGTTCATTGCCTGTTGCAAAAACCAGTGGGCAATTTATCAGAGATATCTAGTGTTGGACATTTTCCAGTATTATCCACATTAAACCCAGAGCATCCATTTCCCTTGGTCCAGGGTTGGTAAGGGGCGCTCCCAGCACCTCTATCATACGATGGCTTGGAACAGGCATGTGGTAGCCACCACCGGTAGCAGTATAGGCCCATGTCACTGTAATTTCTTCCGCAGAAACGACTGCAATATCCCCAACAAAGGTGGGCAACTCCGATGTAGTACTTTTTGCATTTAGGATAGCAGAGACCAGCATCATATTCCTGACTTGAAGTGCATCCATTCCTTGAGCATGTGTTCATTGCTGTGCGCAATGGGAAATGTTTATTGGCAAGAAGTGAACATTTCTTAAAGCAATGCTTCTGAAACAGCTCCTCATCATCAGCACAACCAAGAGAAAAGTCACCAAATTTTGCTCCACATGCATTGTTAGCTACAAATGGAATTAAACAGTACAGACTCTAGTTGCAAAAGTCTTACCATCAACACAGCCTTCCTTGTATTGTCCGTAGTAAACACAAAGATCGTTTCTTTCAGATATGATTGTTACATATTCTGTATCAATAATACCTTTAAATTGTAAGGATAGATTTTTAATTCAATAGAAACAAAAATACTTGTATGTAAACGCGATCTCCCTTCTGGTGGTGAAGTCTCGTTATTCGTGTTTGTTACTTTGTTTCTGTTCCTAAGGTCACATGAATAATGTGCAATAGTATACACAAATACATTATACCTGTAATCATCATGATTGTAAGACTTTGTGCCTATCATAGAAATAACATACAATGAACATACATTAACACATACAGCTATTCACATACTTGGCATAGCCAGAACACAAACACTGAGAGTCATAAAGAAGAATACAAGAGTCTTCATTGTGATTTTCCTTTAGTTGTAATTTGCTCACTGCATCCAAAAGCACCTCTTTATATAGCCTGCAGAACTTGAGGCATGCATTGTTACAAGCACGTGAGGAAAATACATACCAGTGCCTATCATCATGTTACAAGCAGTATAATGGTAATGCAGTATGTACTAAAACACATGTCAGTATATTGTATTGTATAGAGTTACATCAGTAAATCTTGTGTAGGAATGATAAGGAGTGATGACACTGTGGTGGCTGCAATTAGTGAACATACATACAGTATTGTAACTGGAGCTATGGCGAGTCTACACCACACATCAAAGGTCCTTCACTGGTTTCTGTATAATATTCCATGCATGTACTTTGTGGCTAAAAGTAGTAGACAGTAAGAGCTGAATTCATTGCAATAGAGAAACAACAGTAGTATCAGTATATAATGGGATCAGTACTATAACAGGATTCATACTAGCAAGATACAACAATATAATAGTGTATGGTACTATCTTTACAGGTTATACATACTGAATACATGTTATACAAATGCTCTATCTTTCTCTGCCTGCACCCATACGGTACAGAAGAATGCAAACATTGATAATACCTATAATTGGTGTGAATTAAGAAATCATACCATTATCTATCATCATGTTACAAGCAGTATATGGTAATGCAATATGTACCAACACACATATTGATGTGACACATTGCCTTGTTGTACAGATGTTAGTGAATTTATCTACAATCGTTGGTTTTGAGTATTAATAAAAGAGAGTCCACTGTTAGGTTGTGTGTTGGAGTTGTTATAATTGCAAAAATATAATAATGATTTTTAGAAATAATAATTGAGTGAGATCTACTTGCATTATGCCACCTATAGTATACATGAGTAAGACAGATTGTGTCCCATAGTGGCTTTGGGAACTAGTGAAATTGGCCATTGCAAATGCAATGCATTGATTATGGTTAATTTAAAAATAGTTTGTTTTAGATATATTTATTATCTTATCCATCGACCAAATTTTAAGGGAGTTTTCAAAAATAATTTTGTCATCATCATCATCGTCATCATCATCAATGACCTGAGGCTTCCACTGACCACTTGATGTGGCTAACAGAGGCAAACTAGGATGAATACTATAAGAAACAAAAAAATATATATACATGTATAATATAATAATCAAGGTGCTTTTATAGGATATTATTACCTGCAGCCATTCACAGCATCACTGTGTGCATTAAATTCCCTAAATTTAAAATCATTTAAGCGGATGAATTTTACAAATCCATTGGTTGAACCAGTTGCTAGGCAATCACCATCCCTACATGCAAAATATTGATAGAATATTAGAAATAAGCAATCTCCAATATGCAGTATGTAAGAATGACTGCTTAACATTTTTGATTATTAAACTTTAAATGATAGAAGTATAACTTGACTTACTTGCTAATGTCAAAGTAAATGCGTTGATTTGTGTTAACAGTTCTGGTAATGTCATCAAGGGTTACTGTGTACTTGCGTATATCAACTATACCAAGTGTAAAACTCTGTGGATAAAAAGAAGTCCATTTATTATGATAACACATCATTGTTTGTGTGGTTGGTGTGTATAATAAGATAAGGGGTTCTTATACAAACTTTTCTTTCGCTGAAAAATAAATAATTCCCACATGGTGAAAACATTATCTGTGATATTCCTTTCTTGTATGATGAGATGCTAAACAAAGAACCTTTGGCAATTTCTGAATAAAACGACACTAAAAAAGACAACAAAACGCTACATAATAATAATAATAATAATAATAATAATAAATAATAATAATAATAAGGGATTTGTTTCTTACCTGAACCGGAATAGGTACCAATCACAAAGTCAGTAGCACAAGATGGATTCATTGCTATACAGGACACAATACCACATTGACTGTTTTCATCATCACCTAAAATTTAAAAAAATATTGCTGCAACATGTTATAGTTTTAAGTATTAAATTTTCATTAAAATTAGAAGCATCTATTACCAATGTGAGTACAAGAGTAGTATATGTATGATATTAAACACTATATATACATACACTATGTTCCTCTTACTCATTGTGATGGTTTTAGAGTCGCGTCCGGGTATGCTAGTGTCAAATACTTTGATCATATTCTGATAGCCAGTATAAAGCTTGGAGCCATCAAGACTAAAGCACAGCGAGTGTGGAGATATTAGCTCATCCTGTGTGTGTAATACATTGTGATTTTGTACAGAGAAAATCAATAATTTAATAATCTATGTATATACATGTATGTACGCCATACTTTAATGGCCATAACTCGGGAAATTGAAGTCGGAATTGACTCAAACTTTCCAATATGTATCAAAAAATGTAATAAAAATTGGGGGTCATTCCGGAGCCATTTTTTGGAAAAAACCATGGGCTAATAGTACAGGGAACTTTTCAGATTTTGGCCCATTTCTTCAAATGGCCGTAACTTGAAAAATTGAAGTCGGAATTGACTCAAACTTGCTACATAGCATAAGGACATCAATATGCATCAGAAAATGTAATAAAAATTGGGGGTGATTTCGGAGCCATTTTTTAGAAAAAACTATGGGCTATATAGTACAGGGATTTTTTCAGATTTTGGCCCATTTTTTTAAATGGCCATAACTCAAAAAATTGAAGTCGGAATTGACTCAAACTTTCTACATAGCATAAAGACATCAATATGTATCAGAAAATGTAATAAAAATTGGGGGTGATTTCGGAGCCATTTTTTGGAAAAAACCATGGGCTATATATATAGTACAGGGATTTTTTCAAAAATTAACCAATTTTAGAAATGGCCATAACTTTAAAAATTGAAGTCGGAATCAGCTCAAACTTTCCACACAGCATAAGTACATCAATATGTATCAGAAAATGTAATAAAAATTGGGGGTCATTCCGGAGCCATTTTTTGGAAAAAACCATGAGCTATAGCCTTGGGTATTTTTCAGATTTTTGACGTTTTCTTAAAATGGCCATAACTTGAAAAATTGAAGTCGGAATCGACTCAAACTTTCTACATAGCATAAGTACATCATTGTGTATCAGAAAATGTAATAAAAATTGGGGGTGATTTTGGAGCCATTTTTTTAGAAAAAAGCTTGTTTTAAGGATCCTATTTACTGATAATACAATAAAAGTGCTCCCAACTCTTCTCCTATGTATTTTAGCTCACTAAATGGTTGTATGACAAATAAGAACATCTCAAACGACCATCATAAGCATCCAACAAATGTACAGGAGAATTCTTAGAGCTACTGGCAAAACTATAAAAATAATAAAAAATAATAAAAAAACTAATAATAAGCATATGAATATGTGTAAATGATGTTAAAATATAATAATAATATGCAATTTTTAAATTTCTACACTAAAGGTACATGCAAATGTATCAATAATAACATTATTTAATTTCTTATAATTTAATTTCTTATATCATCTACACATAATCACATTTGAATTTAATGATCACACTGACCAGCAGGTGGCATAATCATGAGATGACATTCTTGGGAACCAGGCATAATCATATATGATTTCACCTTCTCTAGCAGAGACAACAGGAACCTGCCAAAGACAGCAAAGCAAAATTTAAAAAATACATACATGTACATATATATGTGTTCTTGTGTGTCTGAATTTACCATTTCTGGTAGAATGTCATCAGGGAATGGAGAGCTGTAGAGTTCATCCGGAAGATTATATAATCTCAGTATATTGTCGTTATTACAAGTCAATATACAAGTACCATCAGGAGACCTGGAACAGATGAACGGAAATATTTCATGAAAAATTAATGACACCAAATGACTGCTGTTACTTTTATTAATACTGTAATTATTGCAGCGTTAATACACTTGCATGAATGTGCAATGTACTGATCCCGTTACATGGATATTGTGTAACAATAAATTAGTCATTTATTTATTTATTTAAAAATAAATCTAATCATTAATTTAATTCTTTTAAAAATAAATAAATACGGTAGATAACTAGTGCTATTATCATACCACTTGCAGCCTCTGAAATAATTGTCCTCGTTTTTCATAAATTCATTCTTAGTCTCTACAAGAAGTTGAGGCTCACTTTCAAGCTCATACAATTCAGTATTAGTGACTTCAGTGGGCGTGGCATTGTCTCTTGTCTCCTCCCCACTCCCTTCCACCTGAGTAGTACATCATAATAAACATTTAAAAGAGAACATTCCGAGCTAACTATATCTCCAGTCTCAGGCTTTGCCTTCTTAAAATACTCCAGCAATGTCCGGGCCATGCCAGATCTGTTTTACTTTTTACTGACTTTTATAAACTTATGATAATTTAGCCCCACCCTTGCAGGTTGCCCACGTGCATACACGTGGGTTATCTTATTAATTTTTTATTATGTGTGAAGAATTCATTAAAAATGCTATCAGACTACACTGCAGTGGCACTATCATTATCATTCTCATTATTCTTAATTCTCTCTCTTATTTTTAGTAAGACATAGCAGATTCCTGTAAGCAGTATTACTCCACTGATTAGCCATAACTGCTGGTAGGTCTCCAGAGAAAGTGCTGTAGCGTAACTAATGACATAGCCAATAGCCATTCCTAGTCTGTAGTAAGCAAAAACTTGCTCTTTACAGTCTGGGAATAAAATTCCAGCAATTCCTAGATGAGAAATGATGTAATACTTTTAATTTCTTTAAATTTAAGCATACCTGGTGCCAATGTCATAAACATGCTCTCTCCAATTGCCCAACCAATTGCCAATGAAAAGATAACTAGTATATGAGGTGTTCTTTTCAAGTAAATGAGGCATTTAGAGGCGCTAAATGAGACCAGCAATGCAGTGAATACAACAATAGGCTGTGGCATGTATTGAAGTGCTTTCCCTGTTAGGAATGTCACAATGCCTCCAGTTAGGCCATAGACTGCGTGTACAAAGCCTAGCCACTTTAGCCCAATGCAATCAGAAATAAACACCTACACAAGCAATAATTGCATTAGCTCAGTACACAATAATCATACTTCTAGCATACTTTTGAAAAATCTCCGCTAATATAGCCAAGGAGTAACCCATGAAGTATGAACATTGGAAAGAGTAACAGGACACTAACGTTAAGTAAAGAAGAAATGAATGATTTTGCAGAAGTGTAGAGTCGTTTTCTAATTTTACTTCCAAACGTCGAGTCAGTTCTAAAATTATCTAGAAATACTGCAGTGGTGAATAGTGCAGCAATATTCATTAAAGTATAGATCCCCATAAGAGGATAATACAGTATATCTGAGACCTTGTGACCCTCTTCGTATATGCCACAGCTACCAGTATCATTTAGAGTACTATTGTACTCTATTGTCTTCATATTAAAGAGTACAATAGAGGAGACTGATGCACCCACCATTCCTGCTAGCTGAATAGCTACACCTGTAGCACTTGCAAGAAGGACTGTACAAGTCTCTCTTGTCTTCTTGAGCACAGAGTGATATTTAACTGCGGTTGAAGTTGCGTGTGAATACATAGCCACCCAGAGTAAACCAAGAGCAAATCCTGCTAAGCCTGCGGCTGGGAGCAGGGTAAACCAGTCCGGGTAAAAGTTAGAACATGTGTATATGGTAAGAATGAGACAGGAGAGAAAGAAAGAGGGCTTGGTTCCTGCCACGCTGACTATCAACGGAGAGAAAAACACCGATACGGTCAGTGACGAGTAGCTTATGGCGTTTGTGAATAGTCCGAGCCCGTCAGTTGCGTTGATGCTGCTATGCATAAAAAGTAGTCCGAGGAAAGGAGATAAGCAGCAAACGACAGCGACAAACTGTCCTACGATATTCTTGTAGGCAGAGCCAACACCGTCACTCATCTTGACTGTTAACAAGTTTGGATGAAGAAAACATTACTAATTACATCTACCGCAGCTATTATAGACCTAAAAGAAGCTCCCATTGATAGTACTCATAGTAGTGGGTCAGGGATTGGAAACTTTCACGTACGTGGGCGTAGCTCATTAGAGATACCACACCCACTAGTCTAGGGCGTGGCTTGTAATTTTAATGGCTGACAAAAAGGAACGTACAGCAGCATAGCAGTCCAGGAATGAAGTTCAATTCTAAAGAGTTAGCCTCGTTTGCCGCTTACAGGATTGGCCGGGCCGATAAAGAAGGCTCTCTATGGATGAGAGAGTCTGACGGATACATCAGAAAGAAAGAGAGTAAGACATACCCTTTGCTTATCCTCTCTTCCACTCCCCCACCCTACTCCCCTTCTCTCTTCTCCAGATTATTGTAAAAGGTGGTGCCTCCTAAGCGGTAATCTGCTATTCTACGCCAAAGAGGACTCTTCCAATTCTCCACTGGTTGGTGTTATTGTTTTAGAGAGAGCCCACGTAGAGAGTGAGGCATTTTCTGGTAACAGGAATGCCTTTAGACTAAGTGAGTCTACTGTACATGTACATGTACATATGCATTCTCTCAGCAGATATGCTTGTATATGGTACTCCTAATGCATGTTTGTTATTACCTGCAAATGATATAAACCTATTTTAGTACATGTACATTTACACTAAAATGGATTTTTTTACTCCTCCTCCTCTTTCTTTCTCCTCTCTCTCTCTCCTCTTCCTCCTCTCTCTTCTCTCTCTCTCTCTCTCCTCTAGTTTTTCAGAATGGCTCCGATGATGAGTACTGGTTTTATACTGATTCTGCTCGGGATGCTGATGAGTGGATTAGAATATTAAACTCGGCTAGGTAGTATAGTGAATTTATATAGAGTACATAACTGTACATACACATGTGCCATCTACTCTTGTATACATGTAATGTGCATATGCCATATTTTGATACTCTTTTGCCTTTCTTTATTTCAATGTCTATGCTTTTATGTGCCTATATGCTCTCTCTCACTCTCTCTCCCTCTCACTCTCTCTCACTCTCTCTCTCTCTCTCTCTCTCTCTCTCTCTCTCTCTCTCTCTCTCTCTCTCTCTCTCTCTCTCTCTCTCTCTCTCTCCTTCTCTCTCTCTCTCACTCTCTCTCTCTCACTCTCTCTCTCTCTCCCTCTCTCTCTCTCTCTCTCTCTTCCCTCCTAACTTACAGTTATGAATTCTTAAGGATACAGTTCAGCGAATTAAGAGGACAAATCATGCACTTGACTGGAAAAGTAAATTATGTTATAATAATAATGATAATAATAATTGTGTATAAATATACTTTCACTTTTGTACATAAAAGCACTCGTTAATTGTGTTTATGTTGGTTTAAGTCTCAATCATTTAAATTTCTAACTATAAACATAAGGCCAGTCTTCATGCAATGTTCTAGCTGGTAGCATATGCTGTGTGTTTGACTGTCAATTAAAAATATTTATCTTTTAAAAGATAAACATTGTCATTATTTTTGTTTGCGTAGGATCCATTTGGACAGGAAGGACCCGTCTCCAACTGGGCTGTCTCGCCAACCCTATTACGTAAATATTATTATTGTAAATTTTTTTATTTGATTTTTTGTTCTCTTGCAGAGCAACCTAGCTCGGGATATGATGGAGAGCCGATATTTGAGCTGCTTCTTTGTAAGTTTATAAAAATATAAAATCTTGTACATTATGCTTAAGATTTTTATGTAACATGCTACATGTATACGTTGTTTATTTTTCCATCATTATTCTTTCATTCTTTTTAATCTTTTCCTACTTCTCTTCATTGTTTCTCTGTTCTCTCTTTCTCTCTCTCCCTCCCCCCCTCTCTCTCTTTCTCTCTCTCTTTCTCTCTCTCTTTCTCTCTCTCTTTCTCTCTCTCTCTCTTCCCCACCCTCTCTCTCTCCCTCTCTCTCTTTCTCTCCTTAGCCTGTAGCTCATTGGTCGGTGGTGTTCGTGATGTTTCCCCTCCCTCTCCTCTCATTGTGACCAGCTGTATGACCCCGCCTCAGGCCTATTGGATGAGATACGCTCAAACAGAACTGGTTGATGTAAGAGAGTAGTACTAGTAATACTTTGTTTATCATTATTATCAAGTTTATTATTATTATAACAGTATTATTATTATCCTTTTGGAGGGCTAATGCCAATTAGTGGCTGATCGCACCCCCATAGTCCCTTCCCTTGTGGATGGTCTGTCCTAACTGTAAATTTTTGATCTTGTTATGGTTTTGCTGTTATTATTATTGTTATTATTATTATTGTTGTTGTTGTTGTTGTTGTTATCATTATTATCTTTTTATTTCTTAGAAAAGTTGTGATCCACAGTTCACAACTCCAGTCGCTTTTTTTGACGGAAGCATATACACAGCCACTCAACTCAAATTCGACGTCTTTGACGTTTGCAATCGTGAAGAAGGAATGGTTAGTGCAAATTTTAACATTAACCACTCCCATTTTGACCCCGCCCACTTGTAGATGCGACCATTGGGCCAGTGCCAATGTACGGTACAAGAGTTGATACGACAAACGGATAAACTGCACAGATTTGAAATAAAGTGAGTCACGTGACTCGTAGTCACATGATGCATGTACTATTATTACATGTACATGTATACTTGTATAGGTATGACGATATTCCGTCGGGGTATTTATTAATAAAAACTAAAATTGTAAGGAGAAAGAGAGTATGCTTGTGTATTTGTACTCATATTTTATTCTTTATTTGTAGAATTGTGTTGCCAAGAAGCCTTCTGTTGATTCTAGATTTTCTCCTGAAACTCCGCCCACTAGCAGTAGCGATACGTCCGAATCTCTTCAAGTCTCCTCTTCTTACTCTTTTCGATCTCCAATTGATAACATGGTCGTGAGGTCTTTCAAATTCCCTAAGCTGTGAGTTGCTGTGACAATACGTTCCCATGGTTACTTTTTGTCACCGTAGCAACGATGTGTCTACCGGTATCAATGTCACAGAGTCAATGGGAGAAAGCCTTTTTACTTTTACTTTACCAATGCAGATAATGTGAGCTCTTGATGTACTACTGTACCAAGAACCTTCACTCTCTCTCTCTCTCTCTCTCTCCCTTGCTCCCTCCCTCTCTCTCTCTCTCTCTCTCTCTCTCTCTCTCTCTTTCTCTCTCTCTCTCTCTCTCTCCCTCTCTCTCTCTCTCTTCCAGTGAAATGTGTTTAGCAGAAGAGAATGTGACTATAGGTCAGTTTGGATCACTAGTTGGAGTAAGCCATCACATATAACTATGACATAATTACATATACATAATGTATTTTAGTTATCGGAGCATTGGGAGATAATTCGGCAGGAGGTGTGTCTCGAATTACGCAATCTCATTGAGCATTACTCGTCCTCGAGAGAAGCCATGCAAGTGGAGGCGGAGCTGGGTAGGTTGTTCAAGAAGTCGGTTATTAAGGACAAGAACACGCTCGAGTTTGTCCCGGTTAACTTACACGTACAAGAAATGAAAGTATCAGTTGGAAAAGAAGAAAAAGGTAGTGATACAGTGTACAGCTACTATAGTAGAGTTATCATGTATCATTATGTCATGTTATGATACTTGATGTGGGCTGATTGGTAGCTTTTAGTTTTCGTGGTTTGACAGTTTAGGTAGCTTGGTCTTGGGGGTTTAATTTCCTGGTACACCCTACACGCCATAAAAGCATTGAAAGCCAAAATAATTTATTATTTTAATGCAGCCAGCTACAGTTGTATATAGTAGTCTACATGCACCTTGATCTGTTTTTTTTTCTTGATAATCTTTTTGTTTCTTTTTTATCTTTCTCTCCTCCTTTCCTCCCTCTAGACCGTACAGTGTATACTTGTGTCACTGTTGGGTGTCCCACTGCTTACAGTCTAAAGTATCGACAAGGAGGATTAGCTCGAATGCAGTCCTCAGTACCTTTGCTAGCATCAAGTACCACCTTTTCGCCAGCCACTGAGAACAAGTCATACAGAGTCAAGCACTTATTGAGTATGTGAATGGAGGAAATGATAAAATATAAAAAGATTTAAGGCCCTAGACAATAGTATACTATAGAGATTTATGTAATGAGAAATGATAAAATGATTTAATATTAGTAGTAGATTGTCAAATGTTTGTATAGTGTACTCCAGTGAGTTACTCATGTATTAGTGTGATACAGTTTAAAATAAATACGTAGTTTAATATAATACAGTATTTACTGATGATTTATTCATCTAATACATGTAGCTTTAATTGTATGGTGATGCAAATACAGTAGTGTCATACTTTTAATAGTATAAAATAGTAATTGTCATCTTTTTCTCTCTTTCTCTCAGAGAGGTTCACCCAGCACCAAGCTAATATAAAATTGCGCTCAAAGAAGCTAACGGCAGCTGCTGAGAGAGGAGACTACAAGGAGCTGAAGGGAGCCGTACAAGGAGTGGCTGAGTGTGTAGCCATGCTGGAGAACCACTGTACTGTGACAATGGTACAAGAGGCACTGAAGGACTGGTACAAGGCACTGGATTTCACCGGAATACCTTGTGAGTTTGGATGTGTGTGGGTGTGTATTGGGATGATCTCAAGTGGTGGTCAGCAGCTGTTTCAAGGAGTTTGAATATTCTCAGAAATATAACGAGAGTTTTGTACATACATGTGTATACATGATAATGTAAATCATGTATATGAAGTGGCTTTAGCTATACTGCAATCTCATTTTATATTTGTAGAATTAGGATGAATCTTTTGTATGATTTTTCATTGCTTGTCTGACTCCATTTTGTATTTTTCTTTCCTTTTAAAGCTTTCATATCAAGTCTGTCAAGTCTAGATCCGGTAAGTGTACGAGAGATGCGGGGGGAGGGGAAAAGTTGAATAGCACAAAAAATAAATGCATAATAATGAAGTATAGAGTTATTTAATATAAATGATATGTATTGTTTTCGCTGTGTGAAAGCCAAGGCAGTTGTATTAAACTAAATATACATGTACTGTACACTAAGTGGGTCACTTTATATTTTAATTGATTACATGTGCATGTAATTTTAGATTCTATGATTGAACAGAAGATTTGTACTTTTGCTTTCATTATTATTAATACCAAGAGTAGATAATAGTTCTTGATAATTTGTATTTGTACTATAGAAATCAGTCCTTTCAGTGGTTGAGCAACACATGGTGTGTGTGGAGGCTCAAGTTGACGGAGTAATTACCAGTAAATTATCACCAGGTAAGAGAAATTTGCAATTCTAATGCATCTAAAATGTGCATCAAAATAATTAATTTTACAAATGTATGACTTGCATATAAAATATGAGATAAGCTCTTTCTCTCATAGCTGAGTGCAATTCTCATCTAGAAGGGCCAGTATCAGACCTATTAAAGGCAATAGATCAGTGTATGGAAGTGTTCCAGTCAGCATTGTTCTTTGTCTTACTAAAGGAGCACTATGCTCTTCAGATCAGTAAAGTACCCATTGGTTTGAAAGGTTTCAGACATCGTCGTGATATTGTTTTTTCACACACTGTAAGTCAATTGTGCCACCCCATTAAAAAAATTAAGTATTTTTATAAATATACATCTATGTCTGTTTTTATGTCTTATATTTAATTTTAATTTTTATTATTCATGTCTATATTTTTATATAATACAATATGTATAACTAAATATTTATTTTATATGTATATTTACATTTACATGTACAGGTATATATATAACAGATTTTATTTGTAGCTTTTTCTTTTTTTTCAGGTCACCACTGCTACCACTTCCTTTGTCATGAAGGTCCTTCGCTCCATCGGTTCTAAGCACTTTCTGACGCAAGTCCAAGAGATCGGGTTCCTAATTCACTGGGAGAGCCTCCTCTCTACCCAGGGGGACGAGATGGGAATGCTTGAGGATTTCATTACTGCCATGCATGATCTAAACTCCCTTAAATTTAGAGTGAGGGAGGGGAGAGAGAAAGAGGCCATTTTATATTTTGTTTTTTTGTCTTTAGTTTGTACAGGCTAATTCTGCGAGTGACTTACCAAGATGCAGTGGAACAAGGTACAAATGTTCATGTACATAATAATGTAATGGATTCACATGTACATGTATATGCATGAACATAATGCCAGCTAAACCACTAGTTGGATTGAGTGGTTTTAATTTGGCAGATAGTCAATTTATAGACTACACGTATGCAGCCATTTAAAAATAGGAGCTTTAATTGTTTGTAGTAATTTTTATTTCAGCCCTTAGCATACATTGTACATATATATCCTGCTACATGTAAGCATGTTGATAGGAATAGGAGAATGCTAATCAATGGTGTTGCTTATATTACATTAAAGCATGATGAAAGGCTGGACAAATATTGAGAGCAGCACATTATTGAATGCATACCGCATACTGTATGCCAATGAATAGCTACTGTCATATACATGTAGAACAAAAAGAACCATTTGGCAGTTACTTCAATTCATCTTAAAGTAAAAAAAGGCCAACTTGCAAATGTGATTTTGAAAAAGCAATGGTTGCAACAAATAGAAAAAAGCTTTTTGCATTCTGTCACATATAATATAATGAGAAATACCTACTTTTAATGTTTATCATTATTATTATTATTATTATTATTATATTGTTATTGATTGCTAGGTATAAGGTTGTTGTGGATGTCCCGGTTCAGTCAGCAATATTCAGAATACTGCCAAAGGAGCTAAGAGATGGTCATGATATATCAACAGTAGCAGTTCTCTTTACACAGGGTGTTAATGAGCAGCAGTCATTAGCAGACACGTGAGATAATAATAATAATTATTGAAATTATTTTTATACACGTATATGGGGCATAGCATTACATTTAAGTACATCAATATGTATCAGAAAATGTAAAAAAATTTGGAGTCATTTAAGAGAGATATTTGAAAGAAAAACATGAGCTATAGTTATTACTGTTGGTATCTTTTAATGTAGTAAATGTGTACGTCTTTCCCTATCTCTCACTCTTTAATCCTACTCTCCACTTACTCTTTCATCTTACTCACCATTCACCATCTGCTCCATTGATAAGATAGATTTGTATTAAAAACCTGTCTCACCACTTGTGTTTATAGTCTACCAGATAATGTGTACACACTATTCAGTATATTTATTAGTCTTTAGTCTCTGCCTCCTAACCTCAGCTATTGATAGTGGCTATAGTACAGGGATTTTTTGAAAAATTAGCCAATTTTTTTAAATGGTCATAACTTGAAAAATTGAAGTCGGAATCCGCTCAAACGTTCTACATAGCATAAAGGCATCAATATGTATCAGAAAATGTAATAAAAATTGGGGGTCAATTTGGAGCCATTTTTTGGAAAAAAAACCATGGGCTATAGTACAGGGATTTTTTCAAATTTTTTTAATGACCATAACTTGAAAAATCAAAGTCGGAATTGACTGAAACTTTCTACACAGCATAAGTATATCAATATGTATCAAAAAATGTAATAAAAATTGGGGGTCATTTCAGAGCCATTTTTCAAAAAAAAACCATGGGCTATAGTACAGGGATTTTTTCTAAAATTGGCCAATTTTTTTTAAATGGCCATAAATTGAAAAATTGAAGTTGGAATCGGCTCAAACTTTCTACACAGCATAAGTACATCAATATGTATCAGAAAATGTAATAAAAATTAGGGGTGATTTTGGGAGCCGTTTTTTGGAAAAAACCATGGGCTATAGCCTTGGGTATTTTTCAGAATTTTGTCGTTTTCTTAAAATGGCCATAACTCAAAAAATCAAAGTCGGAATCGGCTCAAACTTTCTACACAGCATAAGGACTTCAATTAGTATCAGAAAATGCAATAAAAATTGGGGGTCATTTTGGAGCCGTTTTTTGGAAAAACTTTAAGGAATTTTTTTTAATTGACCAATTTTTAAAATGGCCATAATTTGAAAAATTAAAGTTGGAATCAGCTGAAACTTTCCACATAGCATAATATTAAAAATTGAAATTTCCAGCAGTTTTTGGTGACTTGTTTTTGCTTTTAAACTCATTTATCTTGCTCCTTTTTTATATAGTTTTGGTGACACTCATTTGCAAGATCAGATCAACATTAAGAGTCTACAGAGACTAGTACAGTATTATGAGAAGTTTAATCAGAGGTTTGGATCGGTCGGCCTGCAGCTGTCACAGAGAGCCAAAGCAGTTGGGAACCTCCTGCAACAGCTTCGGACTCAAGTTCACGCTAGAAAAACTAAAAACACAGACATATTGACTCTTAGTGCTGAAGTAAGAGAATGAGGGAAGGAGGGATAAGTTCTTGTAGACCCATTTCATGTACATGTACATGTATATGTATTGTTATTATTTTTAATGAATTTCATAATTCATATTATTGTTGACGCAGCACATTTTATTTTAAAAATGCCTATTTGAGACTAAGAGATCTGGTTCTTAATTCTTTTAAGTCCCTTTACTAGCATTTACTGTTCTTCCTCCAACCCTCCCTCTTTCTCTCTCTCTCTCCCTCTTCTTCCTCTTTAGTTATGTCGGTTGTTGGACAGTGGCCGTATCACCAGCTGTAAGAGTGCCAAGGATAGGACAGCAATGTCCGTCACTCTAGAGGAGGCACACATACTGATCAACGAAGGAATGGATCCGGCACATTTTCAACAAACACTAGACATATTGAGAAGGTATGGTGAAAGATTGAAAATTGTGATAGTTTTATTCATTGTTTTATTTCAATTTATATTCTAAAATTTGAAGTTTTAAAATTTGGTGAATTGATTTTAAAAGTAGCTAATAATTATTTTTGTGAAAATTTGACCTTATTAATTTTAGCAGAGGCTGCCTCATCAAATTGCAGACTAAACATTTTGGCCAATGGACCTCATTTTTGTCAAATATTATTTTATTTTTTATTTAATTTTTTATATTTAATTTTATTTAATTTTTTTATCTAATTTATTTTTATATTAAAATATTTTTGTGTTTTTTCTCCTCTTCCTCCTCTCTTAGTCAAGGAACTCGTATTCGTAATGCTGAGAAGAATGTTGGGGTCCCTCTTTATGCCTTCAATGCTCTCCAGGTTGTGACACTGCCCAAGAACTATCGCCCACCCGAAGGAACCTACAAGAAACTACAGACCTAATCTGATCCTTATTAATATTACATACATGATTATTATTATTATTATTATTATTATTATTATTATTATTATTATTATTATTATTATTATTTCTATTAGAATGTATCATACAACATTTATTTTGGTTGATCTTTGTTGTTTTAATCACTTTCAGTTTTAGCTCATCGTGTTATGATTTATGTCGTTATTTTCTGTGTCCACTTGTCTCTCTCATAGCAAACAGTTCATATTATTTGTCATGTACATGTACACACACATGTATGCATTTTTTATAGTTAGACATCTAAAATTATTTTTTTTAAATGATACTCCTAATTTTTAAAAAAGAAAGAAAATGCTAATTATACGTTTATTGATTGCATAAGAAAAGATAGAGAGAGGAGGGAGAGAGAAAACAAAACGAAGTCTTTTATTGTCCAATTCTTGATCGAAGATAAGCTGCAAAAATTGTGCTGCAATTCCACTTAAGAGGTATCGAGGCCACGCCCACAGTAAGGAACAACAGCACCGGAAATAGCAGTATTACTGTATTGCGAAGTTGACTCATAACTAAAAAATAAAATCGTTAAGTTTATAGTGGTTGACGGGATCATTATATACCTGAGTAGCCCAGGAAGGTACTGTATATGTAACTGGATAGGGCACAGACCCACATTATGTTAGCCACTATTGTCCATAGAAGTGTTCTGTGTTGTAGTACTAAAAAAATTTTTTTGCTCTTGTAAAATGGGAACAAAAACAGTATTAACAAGGTGTTAATTAACAAGATGTTTAGAAGGTGTTAACAAGGTGTGAAATAAGGTGTTAACAAGGTGTTGATTAACATAATGTTAACAAGGTGTTAACAAGGTGTTAATTAACAAAGTGTTAATTGACAAGGTGTCAATTAACAAGGTGTTAATTAACAAGGTGTTAATTAACATGTTAATTAACAAAGTGTTAATTAACAAGGTGTTAATTGACAAGGTGTTAAAAGGTGTTAACAAGGTGTGAAATAAGTTACATAAGGACTTTAAGATCAGGCTAATTTTTAAATAAATTGATGAGCAAAGTAATTAAGGCACTAACTATTCTAAAAATCAGTTATTATTATTATTATTATTATTATTATTATTATCATCAATATTATTATTATTATCATCAATATTATTATTATCATTATCATTATTATTATTATTATTATTGACCACACCTCCAATCAGTGGCATTTGTAATCCAAACACTAATAGACCCAGAGGTACAAATGAGTTGAGATGGACATCAAAACAATAGCTCCATTGAACCTTCTCACGTGAGTTAGGTTTCATCAGGAAATTATTAGTCAGTAGCCTGGAGAAATAGAGAGAGAGAGCCTTTAAATTAATTTTGAATTATAAATATCATAATGACATGATTTTGGAGAAACTTTAAAACTTTGCAAAAAATCCAAACTTGATCAAAATTATTTCAAACTTTCTACACAACATAAGTACATGTACCAGTATGTGTATCAGGAAAAATTTGAGAATTCTCTCTTTCAATTTTGGCAATTTAAGATTGTCACATTACACATGTTTAAAAATGCCAGGCCATAACTTGGGGTAATTTGAGAATATATGGTACATACATATGCATAAATATATTACATATCATACCATAATAATGAAGCTACAATTAATCCAGTGATAATACAGTCCACTAATATTGTCCAAAGACACGTTAAAAAGAATCCAATTATACCTAGTCTGAGGAATATGGTGTAACCCAGTGTAGATGCTAATAGGAATCCACATATACAGACTAGGAAGGCAGGATCGTCCCGCGACCAGCTCTCTCTTGTTTCTGGGGTAGAGTTTTTTAAATTGAAGTACATGATTATGTCAAGTAAACTTACTGTATTGGGCTTCATGGTGGCGATATCTGGTGGCAAAATTTAAAAGGAAAAAATTGTAAAAAATTGAGATTTATTCTGAGTAATGTATCCTTGGACTCACAGCTTTTTAGGTGATACGATTGCCCAGGCCAGTTGCTGGAGTGCTGAGTCAAATTCCATATGCTGAAATTTGAGGAGTCGAGTGAAGAACTTCGCCTTACCGGACGCCATTTTATTTGTAGTTTACGGAGCTCCGCCTATCAGCTCAGTCCGGATACGCACCACTGCTACACCACAAAGCACAGCTCGTGCAGAAAAAGCAGCAGAGAACAAATTCAGGAATAAAGAGACCATGTCTGATGAAAGGACTTTTATAATGCTCAAACCTGATGCTGTCCACCGTGGACTTATTGCCGACATTATCAAACGATTTGAGCAGAAAGGGTTCAAGCTAGTAGCAATGAAATTCATGATTGTATGCAGATTAGCCATTTTATCTTGCACCATGATTATATTTTCTAGGCCTCAGAAGATCTTTTAAAGAAGCATTATGCTGATCTAAGTTCAAAACCCTTTTTTTCTGGTCTTGTGAAGAATATGGCATCTGGCCCTGTTGTTCCTATGGTAAAAGACGTCTCTATAAATTAAAAATAATTATTATTTTTCATTAGGTGTGGGAAGGAAAAGGTGTTGTCAAAACTGGCCGTGTCATGTTAGGAGAGACTAATCCGGTACGTTTGTTACTAAAAATAGTAACACTAACACAAGGGCTTTGTTACTATTAATAGGTTGATTCAAAACCAGGTTCAATCAGAGGTGACTATTGCATTGACATTGGAAGGTAAGAATTTTCAAAAATTTCTATTTTATTTATTTTTAATGTGAAAGGAATATCTGTCATGGAAGCGATTCAGTTGAGTCGGCTCAGAAAGAGATAAAGCTATGGTTTAAGGATGAGGAGCTCGTGAATTGGAAGCCATGTTGTTATCCATGGATCTATGAATAGGATGGGCTGATATTGTTCATGAATGACTGAATCAATTGATGTTAATACTCCTAGTTTTTGATTTCAGTGAATGAATAATTTAATGATAATAATAATAATAAAAGTTAATAAGTGGGGTGGAGCTTCTAGTGGACTTGAAACTTAATTTATTTTCTTTTCAAGTTCTTTTAAAGTACCCATAAAGCACTACATGAAGGAAAAATGAAAAATTATAAAATTTAAAAAATATTAAATGTTCATTTTATACATACTTGAATAGTGTGGGTTCTGGAAGCATTGGATCAGAGCCCCCGTACTTCAGACCTACAGAAATAAATTGAAAATACTAGAGTAGGAGTATTAGTACCTAGAAAGAGTATTAAAGGTATCCAAGACCATTTGATGAAAGAGCGACCAGCAACAAAAACATTCTGCAATCTCTGCTTCCACATGTTGAATAATTAATAATGAGTCAAATGACTGATTATTATGAGGGTGTGGTGAAATGTAGTTACAATAACAGGATGTCATTTGAAGTATTGTCATTCTGTGCGACCCACTAGTGCCTTTTCACAAATCAGCAGTATAAAACTAGACTGGCAGGTTATCTTTTTTTTTTTCAGGCAACTCCTGGCAATGGTAGTCCAAATTTGTATACAATTTTTGGAAGGGCTAAAAAGTCCTGCTCCATATTTCAGTTTTGTAAATAATTATGCCATAAAACAATTACTGTTAATAATAATATTGAATTTAAGACAATACATCTCTTGCAATCAGTAATCTCATTATCTCATTAGTTCCTATAAAATAATACAATAATAATAATAATCAATAGCATCTTGGCATTTCTTTTCTTTACCTTCTAGTATTTGATGTACTCTGCAGTCCCTCATATACTGTTGGACTGGGTAGTCCTTCAGATACCCATAGCCTCCATGCATCTGCAGTGCAGCATTACAGACATCAAAGCATTTATCAGTTGCAAACAGTTTAGCCATGCTGCACAATGAGACGTGATTGGGTGCAGCTATATCCAGTGAGTGCGCTGCCTGGCGTATCATAAGTCTTGATGCTACAAGATCTGTACACATCTCAGCTAGCTTGAACTGCAAGTACTAGGTGAAGGAAGGAATGCTAAGGATATAACTTTCTTCATAAAAAGTTGCAAGTAAGTTTGAATCAATCATTAAAAATTATAAAATTGACTGAAGAGAATTTCTTGAGAGCCAACTCAACTGGTAGCTATGACAATTAGACCTCACAAACATTATCATTCATCAAAATAAACTTATTATTATTATTATTATATTTACTTGTTGGCTTGCAAGTGGTTTGCCAAATGCAACCCTGTCCTTCAAATGCTGCATTGTCAATTCAATAGAAGACCATGCAGCACCTAAACTACAGGAAGCTACAAAGAAATAAAGAAAAAAAGAAAGGAAGAAAGAAATGATACTCGTACATAGCAATAATAACGAGTACCTATGTTGATACGGCCACCATTAAGACCTCTCATTGCAATATTGAAACCCTGCATTATAAATATAAAAAAAACAGAAAAAAATGCAACATTCTAACTTGTCCTTCCTCTCCAAGCAGGTTAGTTACTGGAACCGGTGAATCCTCAAAATTGACAATATGAGTTGGTTGCGAGTTCCAGCCAACCTAAAAAAATATCATAATGTTCACAATATTCCCATTAATGTACTTTCTTCTCTTTTCCTCCCAAGGTCAAACCAGGAGTGTCTCCATCAACAAGTAGACAGGATATCCCCTTTGGTCCAGGGCCTCCTGTCCTACACATTACCAAGTATAAACCAGAAGAGCCAGCACCACTTATGAATGCCTGGAAATAACAAAAGAAAAGCAACAACTAGTAAAAGCAATTAATATCAAAGGAACTAAATTTAGAATGTTCCATAATCATAATCTATAGAAATAATATTTTCATTTACAAGAGTACAGTATTACAAATTTTATTGTGTACTTTTTATTCAAAAAATTGACAAAGTTTTAAGAAGCTTGATAAGGACTCGTACTTTTGATCCATTCAAAATGTAATGGTCTCCTTTCCTAGTAGCAGTGGTCATAAGGTTAGCTGCATCACTGCCGGCTGATGGCTCGGTAAGGCAGTATGACGAGAGCCTCTCCATTGTACATAACTGTGGTATAATACTGGCTCTCTGTTCTTCAGTACCAAACTCATCCACCATCCAACCACACATACTGCAATTAATAATCATAATAATAAATAATAAATAAATAAATAAATTAATAAGTTACTTGTGAATGCTTATGTAAGCGGTAGTGCTGACACAGCCAGTCGCTAATGCCTCAAATATGACTGAAGTATCCAAACGAGTTAGACCACTCCCACCAACATCCTCCCTTACGTATATACCTAAATACATAATTATAATTTTTATATATGAACTTCAATTTTTCAATTACCTCCGAATCCTAATTGTGCGGCTTTTCTCATTGTATCTACTGGAAAGTTTTCCTACAAAAGGTCAAAGGTCAAGTCCAATTATTGTCTCTCACTTCTTCGTCCCAGCGTCTCATGTTAGGAAACATTTCGTTTTGAGCAAAATCCAGAGCTACTTTCTGAAACTCTTTCTGTTCACTAGACAGACCATAAGAAGCTGAAGATTATTGAAATAAAAAGAGAGAAAATTAAGTTATAGCTGGAAAATAATAGTATACCATCAATGCTCTTTCCTGTTAGTACGGAGGCTCTTCTTACACTAATGGCTGCTGCAGGAGAAGATAATAATAACAATGCTTTTCCAAATCTTCCAGCCATGTTGATTGAGGGCGTGGCTCAACCATAACCACACCCACTTTAAAATGGCTGTCGATATTTCACCTTTTGTTTTAGCTAGTCTGATGTAAACGTGCTTTAGGCTATCATTGCTGTAAAGTTAGGTCTGTTTTAAACTAAACTGTACAATAATAATAATAATGATGATGGTAATCATTCATAACTAGATTCACAAAAAGTGAACAGTCAGTTCAGTGACATCACTGTCTGGATCACGTGATCGTCCAATGATAGCACAGCATTGAGGAGAGAGGCCGGCTAAGTTCTCCTCAAAAGTTATCTACAAAACTACCGAAGCGACCACCTCTTCTCTCTTTAATCCAGTAGATACTAAAAGGATGGGCTGCTGCTTTAGCACGGAGGAGGACGATCAGGTGAGCTCACGTTTGATGAGATGTAACAATGAAACTTAATACCAACCATTATTAATTTAGGGCAGCCACGAGCGTTCTCCACTCTTACCAGACTCGAGAACCTCAGCTGGACATCCCGCACCAACGTGAGTAACACAAGACTATATATACTTTCATTATAGAAAGATTGACAGACTGCCCTTTTAAGTGTATTCATATTCCATTATCTTTTTTTGAAATGAATTTTACTATCATAAACTGTGTCATCATTATTTTGTCCTATCATATATATTGATATTATACTTGTGTCATGCTTATTAAAGGTCGTCCCTTCCTACTAATCATTTATCGAAAACTGACGAAGAATCGGCTTTAAATCAAATCCTCCAGAGAACAGCCAAGTGAGTTTAATCTTACATCATGCACTGAAATATTTGTTATACTTGTTAATATTGTAATCGTGTAGTGATGTCATTGATGTTACGTACGTTGAGCCACATAGTCTAGAGAGATCAGAGCTGATGGGTAGAACTCGTGAATATCAGTAAGTCAAATACTCAATGAAAGAAATAATGATAATATTCATAAGTTATACGTACGGTATAATTATATATGTGTACGTCAATAAACACTGCGAATGTTTATTTAGTCATGACCTTCATTTGTGTATTTTTATTATCATTATTATAATCAAGAGTAGATAATACTTAGAAGAGAGTGTCCTACTGGCTATAGGGTCTGCTTCATCACCGCGTAGAATTGAAGAGTCACATTCAGGTTATTTTCAGTATTCTTGAGTAGTTGTTCAAAAATAACTAGCAATAACTATAACTACTCAATAAAAATACGGAAATATCCTGAATGTGACTCTTCAATTCTACGCCGTGATGAAGCAGGGGGTATATGCACAGTAGGACACTCTCTTCTAAGTATTATCTACTCTTGACATTACTGAATCGGTCATTGTTTATGCTAGGAAGCTATACAAATATCAACCTTAATCTATTTTTAATTAGAGTCTTGTACTATTTATAGTATGTCTTCTTTGTACTCTATTACAGGGCACAGATAGCGTCTCTTAGAAGAGTGAAATCTTCCAGCGCTATGCCAAACTCAGACCAACCTCCCCCTATAGCTTTGTCTAGAGAGCTAACTTCGTCTGCTGATCTAAAATTTGTAAGTCGTCGTGTAGTAAATGAAAGTACTTTTTTTCTTTAATGACTAATGAATTTATGGAGTGGTTGCTTATCCCAATGCTGTTCATGTTTTGTTTTTGTGTGTCATTATTGTCCTATGTTGTGGTTAAGTGGTCTGAAAGCCAGCAGCCATATGGTTTAATTTGATTGTTGGATTTCTCATCCCTCCACACATATATGTATGATGTATCCATCTTCTTGTTCTCCTTCTCTTATCCCTTTCCTCTCTTCGTTAGCTATTGGATCGTTCTGAAGCAACAGATGCAGCTGTAGCAAGTATGGAAGTAAAACATGGAGAAGCACTGGTAGTACAGTTCGCTGCACCTTAACAACAAAGAACATGTCGTTTTACTGTCTAATAATTTTACTTAATGATAAATAATTATTATACCTATCTTTATGTGAGGGTGAGGGTGGGGGGGAGAGCGGATTAATTTTTTGCTGTATTAATCAAACAGCTGCAAAAAAAGCTTTTGTAAATTTATGTGTAATTTAATTATTATAATTAATTATTATTAATAATTGATAAATGAAGGACATAAGTTTTAGGAATCAACACAAAATTTAAGTTTCACAGCAATCACGAATTAAATGATAGTTTGAATCACATCTCATATTTCTTGAATTCCATCCCATCTGGAGGCTTCACCTCCACCTTCTTATTACCAACTTCGCCCCAATTAGTACTCAATACAGTACCACCTGATTCAACCTATTAATGATTAAAAATATAAAAAGGCAAATCCTTTTTCAATTTTGGCAAAATTTGGCCCAAGACCGTGTACTAAAGTACAGGGACTTTTAATCAATTTTTGAGCAACTTTATAAATTCAATTTCGCAAATTATTCATTACAGGCTGGTAAAAATAATTTGAAAATTAATCGTAACTAATATTCACACTACCAGATTAAGATACACTTCATTATTCAATCATAAAATACTTACAAATGACTTGTTCATGGCTTTCTTCACTTCGTCATCGCCTCCCGAATAAATCTGTTGGAAGAGGCTATTGAGGGCAGCATCTCCTTCCGGTTTCTCCTTCTCTTCCTCCTTTTTGATGTCGCCTACAAGTTTGTCCCAGTTCCGTGTGTAATGGCTTGACGAAGGATAAGCATGATGGGGATCAGCTTCAGCTGTGCCATCTATCATTATAATCAGAAAATATAACACATTCACTCTAGTACTTTTAAATACAGAAAATGGATTTCTTAATCTACTTTTGATTATTTTCGGTTCTTTCTTATCCTCCGTTCCGGGTTTACGCTCAAGGGTACTCCAATTGATGCCCACCTTCTTCCTGAGCTTTATCTCCACCTGCAAAATAATGAAATAATTTAAAAAATGACGGAACAATTTTTAAAGGCTTGTCTAGGTGTACGTGCCTTCGATTTCAATTCCTTGTAAGAAGAAGCTTCCGGAACAATCTCTTCAGCTACATTAAACTCGATTGTCTCTTTTTCATCACTTGTCAGCATAACATTAAACACGACCTATACACATAGTATATAAAAATAAATAATCCATATTCATCTGTTTACTTGTTTAGTCTTGTGGCTGTTCACAGCTTACCTTATCTTGTTCAAAATGGACTGAGCATTCTTTTCTTTTATCAGCTTTTACAAGGACATTGATGCTTACATCAGAGATCGTTTGATACCAGTCATATCTGTGATAAAGGACACCAGTCAGTTGCTCTTCATGCAATGGGATTCGTCTTGAAAGGCTTACCTTAGCTTCTGTCCTGTAGCAGCCATTTTAGAGGCGTGGCTCGTTTAATTAAAAGTGTGTGCCCACGTGGTTTCTTTTCAAGTTTCATTTTTATTTAATTTTTTTGAGTGCATTATTAATGAAAGAGAGAGAAAAAAAGAAAAATATGTAAACCCAATGAGTAGTAGTTTCTGATGTATGAAAAGACAGTCTTCACTGTCTCCTCCTCTTTCCTCTTCCTCTGCCTCCTCCCCCTTCTCCTGCTTCAGCCCCTCCTTTTCTCTTATGTCCAGGGCCAGCCCCAGATCTAGCAACTGTCCCTGTAATCTGATAGAGTCATGTGATAGTCATGTGATGAGTTATTGTTTATTTTGTATTACTTTGAGTTTAGGTCCTCTTTTTCTTTGCTTTTTCTCTTCTTCTTCCTCGAGTTCTTGAACCTCTTTCTCTATGAGTGTTATCAATGTGTTACACCTTCGCTGTAGCTCCTGCAAAAAAAGAAGAGGAGTAAATGTACCCTGTACTATAGCCCATGGTTTTTTTCCAAAAAATGGCTCTGAAATGACTCCCAATTTTTATCACATTTTCTGATACATATTGACATACTTATGCTGTGTAGAAAGTTTGAGCCGATTCCGACTTTGATTTTTTGAGTTATGGCCATTTTTTAAAATTGGTCAGTTTTCGAAAAAAATCCCTGTACTATAGCCCATGGTTTTTTCTGAAAAATGGCTCCGAAATGACCCCCAATTTTTATTACATTTTTTGATACATATTGATGTCCTTATGCTATGTAGAAAGTTTGAGCTGATTCCGACTTGAATTTTTTTAGATATTGCCTCTTAAACATTGCACAATTGGCTCAAAAGACACTTTATGCTATGCACCTACCAGTGCCGTCCTAGACTTGATAAACCAGTCAAACCGGAATTGCGGGGCATATCTTATAGCCGTCCTTATTTCATCGTACACATTGATCCTATCGAAACCTAACTTGTGCAACATACAGATCTGGAGAAAAAAAAAGAGAAAAAAATTAAAATATTATCATAAATGTGATACAGTATTCTGCACTACAAAATATTATATGTTATTGTAAAATCAATTATTTTAATCCTTACAAGGAACCTATCTTCTTCCTCTGTATAATTCTTTCCTTTATTTGTCCCATACACAATATGCAACTGGTGGAACGGGGAGCGATACCGAGCCATTTTGGCATCCAGTGCTTTCTTGATGTCTTTCTTCCTCTGAATCTTCTGCTCTCCTTTGTCAATGATACTCATCACTCTGTCTAAGTCCTGGAGCTCGTCTTTACGCTCCCAAAAAACCCGAGAATACTCTTTCACCTAATAATAACAACAACAATAAATAATAATAATAATAATAAATAATCAAATTTTCTTTAATTATTTACCTCTTCTTCGCTTTTCCCTTCCACTTCTTTGCAGATGCTGTCCACATCATCTCTACCGTATTCCGCTGTAGCCTTCACAAACTGATTAAAGTCCCTCCGGCTCCAATCTGAAAAACCCTACAAACAAAATATAATATACTAACAATAAACCAATAATACACAATAATACTAATGATATACTAATAATATCCTGGGATGCATACAATAATATTAAATACAATAATACATGCACAGTATTGAATATACTATACTAATAATATACTAACAATATACTAATAGTATACTAATAATATCCTGGGGTGCACAACCAACATACCTGTTGCAGTAATTCTTCTTTTTCCTTGGCCAGTTCCTCGCTGAGAGGCTCCGCAGAGTCAATCTTCTGTTGCTCCTCCTTCTGGACAGTGGCAGCGTCAGGAAGGTCAGGATTTATCGGAACTTTATATCCGATGGATTTACGATAATAATAAATCTCTTGGTCTAGTATCTCAAACAGGCGAGGCGGGTAAAACTGGAATTCTTGGACGGTGGGTTGTTTTGGTGGCCGCGGTGCCCTTGGAGCTCTGGGTTCCGAGAGACGGAGAGCTTCACGGAAGTAAGCGTCAACGGCATAGTTGGTCTTTCGTTCTCTTTTTGGAGGCTCTATCCAGTGAACCATTGAGGCTGCTTCCTAATAATAAAAATAAAAATGAAACAACTTTTAAACAAGATAAACATTAATTATAATTACAATGTACATGTATTATTATAACTAATAATAAAATAATACATTTACATGTATTTTTAGTGATGCACATGTACATGTATCATCTTGAAACCTCTCTCTCTCTCTCTCTTACTTTTCTTTTTTCTCTGAAGTCCTCACCCTCAAACTCATAGACGCTGCCGGTTGGAGCATCAAGCGTAAAGTTCCTTAGCTGACTCTCTCCTAGCTTATTCATCTTCTCGGCCATTTTAGCTGTGAGCTCTTCACCCTAAAAAAAGAAAGAGTACATTAATTGTTGTAAGTTTATAGTACGCACATGACATTAATCTTCATTCATACCTTTGCTAATATAGCATCAATGTCTTCTTCTTGTATCATCGACTCTTTGGACTGGAAGACGGTATCAGCTCCATGTCTAATCATCTGCAACATCTCATCCTTACCAACTCTTTTATGACTATCAACAAGACGACCTGAGAGAGAGAGGGAGAGAGAGAAAGAGAGAGAGAGAGAGGTTTATGACGAAGGTATATTAATATACATGTACATATATATGTGTAAACAAAATCCTTAGGATTGAATGCCTACTCCTTTACCTTGTTGAATAACAACTTGATCAAGATGCAGTTTCATCTCAGCCCTCTCCACGATCCTCTCTTCCACAGAGTTCTCCGTTATAAATCGAAATATCCTCACCTGCTTCGTCTGTCCTATACGATGGGCCCTATCCTGAGCCTGGAGATCAACCTGAGGGTTCCAATCACTATCGTACAATATCACGACGTCAGCCGTAGCCAAATTAATGCCCAGACCCCCTGCTCGGGTGGAGAGCATAAAAATGAATTTGTCGCTTCCGGGGCGGTTGAAATCGTTGATCGAGTCTTGTCTGTCGGAATGCGCAGTCTGGCCGTCAAGCCTGCAATACTTATACCTGGACAGAAAATAAAAGTGATGTATACATGTACATGTAAATGACGTGTTTTCCTTACTCCTTCCAAAGGCAGTAGTCTTCAAGAATATCCAACATTCTCGTCATCTGACAGAATATGAGTACTCGTGATCCCTCGCTCTGTAGACGAGGGAGGAGCTTCTCAAGAAGACTCAACTTCCCGCAGTTGTAGACTATGTGAGAATCTGTCGTATAAGGAGGACCTGGAAGAAAAGAAATAATTATATATATACATATATATTTAATTTATTGGTCTTTTGTTTTTTTATTTGTTACCTGGTTCAGCTCCGTCAAAAAGGTAAGGATGATTGCAGCATTTCCTCAGCTGCATTAGAATGTTGAGTAGTCTGACCTTCTCCATTTTGCCTACTCCATTCACCACATCAATGTCTTTAAGCAATATACCAGTATACCTGATGAGAAAAGAGGACACATAGTTATTTTTAAATGGCCATAACTTGAAAAATTGAAGTCGGAATCAGCTCAAACTTTCTACATAGCATAAGGATATCAATATGTATTAGAAAATGTAATTAAAATTAGGGGTGATTTCGGAGCCATTTTTCAGAAAAAAGCATGGGTTATAGTACAGGGATTTTTTCAAAAATTAGCCCATTTAAAAAAATGGACATAACTTTAAAAATTGAAGTCGGAATCGATTCAAACTTTCTACATAGCTTAAGTACATTAATATGTATCAGAAAATCTAATAAAAATGAACCATTCTTTTACTTACAATTCTCGTTGCATTTTACTGAGTCCTACATATACTTTAGTTTCTTTCTTCGGTGGCAGTTTCTTCTCCACGTCTGATTTTAGTCTCCTCAAGAGGAAAGGTCTGAGAACAGTATGCAAACGATCAACAAGTTTGGAGTCTTCGAGGTTACTTTTATTAAACCAGGCATCAAAATCCTAATTAACATAACAGGAAGGAGCAAAAATTTAAAAATAATAATTTTACAAAACTTCATGTAGATGTACATGCATTATTATTAAGATTATAGTGAAAGATTAAGAAAGAAAGTGTGAAAAAGTTGGAAAAATACAAGAATCATATTAGTTACTGGCAAAAGTACATGTCATTGGTGGCATTACATCTCTCTGTCCTTACTTCTGATGAGTCAAAGAAGTCTGGTAGTAAAAAGTTAAGTAGAGCCCAAAGCTCGTGAAGATTGTTTTGAAGAGGAGTACCAGTTAGCAGGAGACGGTTAGCTGTGTTGAACTCACGAACAATCTCTGACAACTGGAAAGAGAGAGAGAGAGAGGAAAATGGTGAGAAATAGAATAGAATCATTGCTATATATTATATTATAATAAAAGCTTAGCATCAAAGTGAATAATCTCATTCCCATACTTTGGATTTTTCGTTCTTGATCCTGTGAGCCTCGTCAATCACCATATACCTCCAGCTGAACTTCTTAAAAGTCGCCTTCTCTTTCAAAACCATCTCGTACGACGTTATGACGACATTCCATTCGCCAGGCAGAATCTCTTCGCTGATAATACGAGCCTATGTGGGTGGGGTTAGACACGCCCACAAAACCACACCTACTTACCCTCTCCTCTTGTGTACCAATGAGGCAAATGGTAACAATGGATGGACACCATCTCTTGAACTCCATCATCCAGTTTGCCAGGGTACTCTTTGGTGCTATGACAATATGTGGACCGGGAACGTCTCTTAAATGTATCATGTACCCCAGCAACGCTATTGTCTGTAAAGTCTTACCCAAACCCTAAATTAATAACCATTAATAACTATTAATAAGCCACGCCTACTAATTAATTACCATTTCGTCAGCCAGTATCCCGTTGATCCCATTTTCGTAAAGTGATATCATCCAGTTGAGACCACGGACCTGATAATCTCTCATCTTCCCGTTCTTTATGACTAAAAATAGTAACGAGGATGCTAAAAATAGTAACGAGAGGGCCACTCACAAAAAGGATTCTCGGTGAAGTGAGTAATGGCCGTGTCGTTCAAATCATCTTCAAGAAAGTCGTCCTCTTCGTCGGCTTCGCTCATTCGATGTCGCCTACAAGGGGCATGGTCAACAGTTGCTATGACAATGGTTAAAACTCACGTGGATGCTCCTTCAGAGGACCGTCGCTTCCGTTTGTCCATTGGAGCCTTGAACTTGTGTGGACTTTTCGGTGACTTGCTGGTAGAGGCACTCATAAAGTGACCAAACAGTTCCGTCTGCTCCAAAAGATAGTTGAACCTCTTCACCCTGTCGTCGGCCTAAGGATGGGCATTAATTAGAATAAATAGAACGACATTGATTACAATGGGCATTAATTAGAATAATAATTAGAGATGGGTATTAATTAGAATAATTATGTAAAAAATAACGTACGAGCTTGTCGGCATATTCCTTAGCTGGGGGGCTCTTTAGAGGCGTGGTCAGTAGTCCTGAGACTGATCCCTGACGGCCACTAGAGGCACCAGCATGCATCTCCTCGGGAGGGACGTAATCAGCATCATCATCCATCACGTTGTCATCCTCTTCCTCTTCTTCCTCCTCCTCGACTGGATCCACTTGATTATCCACCTCCATTTTGAGGGACTGGCTATCAGTAAAGACGGCTGGAAAGAATAAAAGGAGGCGACAAACTCGAGGAAAAAATTAGAAAAATTAGGACCTCCTTTGGAGTTTGGGTATTTGGCGGGGTGGGTTAATTGATCACGTGATCAGGGTTATTAAAATGACGTCACATAATCAAAATTAGTTGCCATGGTAGCACAACGTGGGCGTGGACATTATGTAGTGGGTGTGGTTACAACGCACGTTGTCGACACGCCCTCTTTTAAGCCTTTCTGATCTTCGACATTCTTCGTGGATCTTTTTAGAAGATGAGTTCAAACGGTAGCTCCACTCACCATTCTCCCGAAAGAGAGGAGCTCTGCTCTTTACTGGAGAATGGGGAGAGATGCACAAATAAAGCTGGTTCTGGTGTCTTTACGAAAAAGATGAAATCCTTGGCTCAAAAGAAACAGAAGCTCTACCCTGATTCAACTGTAAGCCATCATTGCACCCAAACATACTGGGAAGCAATAACTGATATTATGCACAGTAATCTTTTTGTGAACATGTCACTTGTCTTATTTTAAAATAAAATAGCAAAGTTTAATTAATTAAGGGCACCTGTGGGTGTGTTATTAGTTATTGGAGCCACACTTATTTTAATTAACAGCTTTCGGCGGTGGGGGGAGACGCTAAGACATGACGTGATAGCCTTTTATGTTAAGCTTTGCGTAGAACTGAGCATGTGTTGAGCATGTGAATCTGTCTCACGTTTAAACTCAACGCATCTTGTTCTGTGTGTAGTTGTACTGCTTCATTTGTGTGTTATTTAATTTTGTGTGTGGTGGAAATGCTTCCTGATGTGTTACAATTACATATATCACTTGCTCTTTTGTGGAAGGCATTTTTGTACATTAGCATGTATGTAAGAATGTGTCAAGAGTCTAATGTGTAATTCCATCAGAACTGAGTGTTGTTGATAACAATAAAGATTCTATGTGTGTTACATAAAACTGGCTGTTTTGAAAATGAAAGGATAACTAGTACTAAAGAGTTATATTCTCAAGAGTATCTAAATGTTTTACAAGTTTTATATCTCTTCTCTCTCTCTCTCTTTATTTTATCCATTAGGCGAGTCATAATCGCATTTGCGATCATCATCGGACCTTTGTTCACAGTTTGAGGAACAAAAGAAAACGAAAAGACTCGGAAGAGGAAAACGATTTCTTACCAGAAGTATGTGCTATTGATGTATTACTAACTCTTAATCTTATCACAAAGTATCGTTTGTACCGATTCAACTTGCTATACTACTCTTTGTTTCTATCTCCCCCTTTCTTGTAGATTGATTTCCTTCAGTTGCAAATGAACACACTGAGAAGATACAAACGACATTATAAACTTCAATTAAAGCCAGGATCAAACAAAATACAGCTTGTAGAGGTACACAAAGGACACAGACAGAGAAATAGTCATAGAGATAGATGCTTGTTTCTTAATTCCTTCTTATTATTGTTGTTCTTTCTTTGTTTTAGGCCGTGACCAAGCATTTTAGGACTCTTCGTATCAACGAGAAAAAAGTAGTACAGCTTTTCATATCAATGGTGAAATCTCACAAGAGCAAATTGGATCATCCCAAACCTATTGACTGATTATCTTTCTCTTATTTCACCCTCCCCTTTCACACCCTCTCTCTCTCTCTCTTCACCCTCTTCTTCATACAACACTAATTATGTGCACACACATTCTTGTGTATTATATAATGAGATACCTCATTCAATGGTTTCTTATGAATGAACTCTATGGTTGTATTTTATTGTATGCGTGCATTGAATCAACTGTATAATGACACCGATTACTGTACCTGTTACACTGGTACTGAACCATTCACACTACACCATTAAGATTAGTTAACATTATGAGATTTAACATGCAAAATAAGTTAGGATGAATTTAAATATCAGCATTATGCAGTTATGCTTTAAAATGGCCACAAGAAAAGAAAGCACACGTAATTAAAAATTCTTCCATTCTGGGCATATCCGGTGTCCTGCCGGCGGTTAAGTCCCACGTGGCGTTATACGCATGCGCAGTAGCCTACCACCTTGTTATTGGTCCTTATCACAGCGTATTCATCACAGCAGTCTTTGGCGGGCCACTGTAAAGAAGTGTAGCTCTTATTTTCAAAACAAGGTTGAAGTAGGCTTTTCATTTAAGGCCATTCTTCACGGCAGAGACTAAAAGGCAGCTACAGGCGGCTAGGGCGAGTAGGAAAAAGCTTAAAGGTAAGCCTAAAAGTGGTGAAAGTGAGCCGACGGGGGAGAGAGAGGGCGTTAGGGCTGGTTGTGGTAAAGGGTCCGTAATGGCGTCTACGCCCACTACCCTCCTTCCCTTGCAGGAATTATCTACTATTTCAAGGAAAAGACCAGTTTTCTTCAATTCTAAAGGAGATGCCGAGGAAAAGCGACAAGGACCCCAACAAACCAAAAGGGAGAACGAGCGCGTATGCTTTTTTCGTGCAGGACATGAAAGAGACCCCAGAGGGAAAGAGCCTCAAGTTCACAGAGTTCTCCAAGTACTGCTCAGAGCAATGGAAGAAGATGGATGATGATGACAAGCAGAGGTTTATCGATTTAAGTCAAGAAGATAGGACGCGATACAAGAAAGAAATGGCTGTCTATCAGAAGACAGCACCTGCTGGGGGCCGGGGTGCAGGCGGTCGCAAGAAAAAGGATGCTTCTTTACCAAAAAGAAATCTGTAAGGATGTAACGTGTATATAGTTATATTTTGAATTTTTTACCATCTTGTTAGTGCTAAGTTTTCATGTACATGTACATCACAAACTTAATGGATTTAAGTGTCAAAGACTTTTCAAACTACTTTATTGGTCATCTCTTAAGAAGTGGCTTTTAGTGTGCCTGCTGGATTTTAAAAAACCAGCTGCCATTTTCAAATTTTGGTTAAAAATAAATAATAATCAGGATCAATCAGGCATAACTTTTATTTTCACCTCCAGTCTCTACATAGCAGTTAACATTAATTGATTCAAAGCCATACACATGTCTGTTTCTCAGTGAGAGAGAGAGAGGGGGGAGAGAGGGATTTTATGAAATCAACTCTTTATGGTTGAAAATAGAAGCCTGTTTATTCTACTGTTATTATAGACTTAAGTATCCTTTAAGAGTGGGTTTTAATGGATTTTATAACTTTTAAATGCTCCTACATTCATTGCCACATTCTTCCAATGCAAGCCTCTTGCATGTAAATATCTAATAGACAACAATAGTTAGGATAATAATAATAACAATAACTGTTACCTTTGTACCTCCTACTAGGTCTGCATTCATGTTCTTCTCAAATGCCAAACGGCCCAAGATCAAGTCCCAGAATCCTGAAGCCTCCATTGGCGAGATTGCCAAGCAACTAGGAGCAGCTTGGAATGTGATGACGCCCGAACAGAAGAAACCTTACGAAGAACAAGCAAAGGAAGACAAACTGCGCTACCAGGAAGAGATGGAGAGGATTAAAGAAGGCGGGAAGGTCCCATCAAAAGGAGCTGGTTCTAGGAAGTCGACAAAGAAGAGCAAAGCTGTTGTCGAGCCGGAGGACGACGAAGATGAAGAGGAGGAGGAAGAGGATGAAGACGAAGACAGCTCGGATTAGGTTTAGTAACTTTTAACTCTAGATAATATACAAGTAACAGCAAAAGTACATTAACGCTACCTCGGAAAGACATCAAACTCTTCCCGGACTTTTTGTTTCACTACTACTTCTTCGACTCTTCTTCCCTATATAGCAGTTTTAGCACATTTAGAAATATAACTCTCTCTCTCTCTCTCTCTCATTTTCATACCCCTCCTTATATTACCATGCCAGTATATCCTAAACGCATACAGACAGATAGAAAAATACATACATACACCTATCTATATATACTCAGAGTATCTCTCTTTAACTATTATTATTATAGTGATTATTATTATTATTATTATTTTAAGCAGCTGCATTCTTTACCTCCAATCACACACACGCATACGGTATTGGTGTACAACAGCACTGCTGGAGCATCCTTTACTTACTATTTTACTCTTTCTTGTATTTAAAGAAATAAAAAGTTTTAAAATTAAAAATAATTAAACTTCCAACTCTTCATAGATATTAGAGTAAATTACTCTAAATTTCAGTAAAAATTTTAGTAAATTTCATTTACTCTAATATCTATGGATGAACTCTTCAAAAGTTAGAGCCACGCCTTTAGTGGGCGGGGTTACACGTGTTAAGTTAATAATGGAGGACAAGGGGATTGATGTCAAATCACTTTCTGACGTTGAGCTGAAGGAGCAGCTGGCAAGACACGGCGTAATAGGAGCTGTCATTATGCGTACCACTCGTGGAGTTTACGAGAAAAAGCTGGCTAACTTGATAGGCGTGGGAAAAGGGAATGAAGCCGATACCGGCTGCCATGTTGCTCAGCATAATCAGAATGGATCTGTTTCGAGTGATTCTGTTGCTGTTGTGCTACCTGCATCAACCGTTCAAACATCTGTGTCATCGTCTGATTTGGTATCACGTAATACTGATTCTAACTCTGATCTGGTGTCATTAGATCGTGCTGAATCAGTAGATTCAGCATCATCTAATTCTCATCTTGTATCATCTAATGCTGATCCCATATCATCAAGTATTGATTCGGTATCAACTGGTACTGATCCCATACCATCAAATATTGATTCAGTATCAACTAGTACTGATCCCGTATCATCAAATATTGATTCGGGGTCATCCAGTGCTGATCTAGCATCATCTAATGCTGATTCCGTATCAAAACCCACTCCGTTATATTTTGCTGTCGCTACTAGTACTTCAACACCCGAAGAGACTCGTTCCTCTCTCTCTCCGTTCTATCATGATCACGAAGTCCTTAGAAAGGCCATTAAAGGGACCGTTGGAACTCGCTTTAAGAAGTTTTCCGATCAAAGCAAAGCCGAGGAATTTTCAAAAACAGTCTTCCCTGAGGAACTTGGCCCGAAATATTCTCTAGAGAGAGCCCTCAGCCCCTTACCTGGTGTCAAGAAGACTAGAGATAAGAACGTTCTTGCTAAAATAATACAAGAAGGTAACGCAGAGGAATTCTTAAAAACCGTTTGGGGTAACCCCCGCTACCTCCTTGGATCAGGGGATACCCCAGAGATCATTCATCCTGGCACTAGACGGAACGCTCTTCATTTAGCTGCACTGGAAAACCAGCTGGAGATATGCAAGCATATAATGTCCATAATTCAGAGTGATAGGTTCTGGAGTGAAGTTTATCCTGTGAGTGATGTCCTCATTGATGCTGCCATGAGTTCAAACGAAAAGAAGAGAATCGAAGGAATAGACCCGGAGGTAGTGAGGGAGGGAAAGAGAGAGAACGCTCTTCGCTTGAGGGAGGAGTCAAAGTCGAGGCTTGTCGACTTGTATCTTAATATTCAAGATGGGAATGAGAGGGCAAAGGTTAAAGTATCAGAGGTAAGACTGGCTTGAGTACATGTACATGTATGTATGAAATGTTTTTTAAAAATAAGAGAAAAAGAAGGAAGAATTTAAACCCCTAGCATTCCTCCTGGATGTGTACTAGCATAGTATGAGATTAGAAACATGATAGGGCTACTCTTATACAAGGACTATAGATAATTAGACATGGATGTACTTATATTATATTTCTGTTCATTATTATAACCACCTGCTGTACAGTATGTTAGGGTGTATCATTACTTATCATCTTCCCATTAGAAACACTATACTCCACTCCACATTGCTTCAATGTACGGGTTCGTAGACATTGTGGAATTCCTAATGTCTTTCCCTGCAACTGACACCACAAAAAAGTACCTATTACTTTTTAATTGAAATATTTTTAGCTGTTCCTTTTTGCACTTCCTTTGTCCTCCCCTTTCTTTCTCTTTTTTTTGTGTAGAGACAATCAAGGAAGGACAGCCGCTGACCTGGCCTGTACAAAATCTAAATCTAAATCCAATGAAGAGCTAAAATCAAAAATAAAACATCTAATTAACAGTAAGCATGTGCATTATAATTTATCAATACCAGTAATAGTATTTCTTGTCTCTTTTTATTATTACTGTTTAATTCTTTTAACTAAATACAAATTTATCATAATTATGATTAATTTATGTTTTATGCTCCTCCCCCTTGTCCCCTAGATCCCTCCATTTATTACGTTCCTGTCATCAGATCAATTGATAACTCTTCTCCAGCGAGTCTCGGTAGTCCTGTTGTTCTTGACGACAGTTCACTCACTGGCTCTCAGTCACTGAATGAGTCCCTCCCTCTCGTGGGCCCCCCTCAAGTTACAACCTCCCCATTAGTGGGACAGGCTTTTGCTGGACCTCTTTCTCCCGCTAAAGTACAATAATATTTATTTTCTTTTATTTTTTATTTTTTATTGTAGGCACGAGGATTGCTTAAGGAGTGGAAGTCTCCATCTTGTTCTGATTTGAAGAAGAAAGCAAGTTTAATGAAGAGATCTGATCCTGACAGAGGATTAGAAAGAATTGGAAGGTAGGGAAAATTAACAACAACAACAACAACAATAATAATAATAATAATAACAACAACAGCAACAACAACAATAATAATAATAATAAGAAACATCGAGAGGTGGTTGGAGATGTTATAAGGGTGGAACATATTCAAAAGACGATGTTGTTGGGGACTGCAAATATCATTAGACGGACTATACAATGATCACTAATTATTATCTATGTTTACTTGTTGTGAACCGATAATTGTTGTAACTTCTGGCTTGCTTTTGCAAGCTGTGTGTGTGTGTTCATAATAATAATATGCTTTCATATACATGTATATATAGTTGTATATTTTATTATTTTATTTTTAAAACAGGTTGTTAGCCCACAAAGACGGCATTGGTTGGACCGAGTACTGGGAGTTTCTCGGCTCCTTTGCCGACTTCTCAAAACCCGAGGGTCTCCGGAAACTAGACAAGCACATCTTTACCCTGTGTCACTCTGCGCCTTTGGTGACCCCATCAATTGGGTCAGTCCGTAGCTCAAGCAACAGAACTAGATCAAGATTATCTTTATTGACTAGTGGGGAGGATTCACCGAAGCAGAAGCTGTTTGCAGATGAGATTAGTAAAGACGAGGAGGAAGTGGGCGTGGTTAGTAATGGTGACCACGCCCACAGCAAACCAACAACTAATGAAAGTGAAGATCCACTTCCTCTAGTTTCGTCTATTGAGCCAGGCCCGTCATTAGAGGAGGGGCTCGAGCGCATGAATTTAAATGAGGATATTTCACCTTTGAAATCGGAACCGGACACTATTGAATATTCGTGCAAGACCCCCTCGAGGATTGATAAGAACAATGCAGTTTATATTGACGGAGGGTAATAAATTATTTTTTTAGTATTAAATAATGTTTTATATTTTTTATTATTGTTGTGTTTTAGCATGATTGTTCATTCTAATTCCACAGGTCTGTTCCTTCAAAGTTAGATCTTGATGTCTTATTAGCATTGTGTGGTGTGGAAGTTGATGTAAGAGAATACCCTCACGTCTACCAATGGAAGAGACTCATTGAGTCTTACAATGAAGAAGAGCGGAAACAGTATGTCATTTTATGTATATACATGTATATATTCATTTATAAGTTCAAACTTCCTACAAAGCATCACTAATGACTTTAGAAATGGAATTAGAATATGTACATGTACATGTACTTAGCCATTTTTGGGGGCACTGTAGTAAAAGCATTGGACAAGACTATGGCCATAACTTTAAAATTTGGAGTCGGAATCGGCTCAAACTTTCTACACAGCATAAGGACATCAATATGTATCAGAAAATGTAATAAAAATTGGGGGTGATTTCGGAGCCATTTTTTGGAAAAAACCATGGGCTATAGCCTTGGGTATTTTTTAGATTTTTGATGTTTTCTTAAAATGGCTGTAACTTGAAAAATTGAAGTCGCAATTGGCTCAAACTTTCTACATAGTATAAGGACATCAATATGTATCAGAAAATGTAATAAAAATTTGGGGTCATTTTGGAGCCATTTTTTGGAAAAAAGCATGGGCTATAGTACAGGGTAATTTTCAAAAAATGGCTCACTTCTTTAAATGGCCATAACTGGAAAAATCCACGTCAGAATTGGCTCAAACTTTCTACATAGCATAAGGACATCAATATGTATCAGAAAATGTAATTTTGTCTCTTCCTTTAGATGGGCAACCCCAAGATCTTTAAATAAGCACACACTAAGGAGAACAGAAGAGTCTCTTCGTCCATTCAGTCCACTGGTGTACTACAGCCCCCCTCCTCTTTCTCCCCTCCTCTCCAACTCTCCCTCTTCTGCTAGACGCACCCCTCTCCCTTTTAAGAACTTTCCTCTCACGCCACAGCATCGAATGCCAATAAACACACCCACAAAGACATGGTTTTAGAAAATGTTTATTGTGTATGACTATAGTAATAATGCAAATGATTATTATTATTATTATTATTTATAAGAAATATTTTTTGAAATGTAGTGTAATGTAAAGTTGTCATCGTTTCATACTTAAGATAAAAACTGTAAATTACAAAATAATGAAGTCAACTAAGCTTGTCTTTCCTTATTCCTTCAGCAACTGCTCTTTCATTAATCTTTTCCAAAGTGTTAACCAGTATCCGCCATGTTGGCTTGCCATATTTCTCGTATTCATACTGGAGTCGCAACCACTGGCTGATCCCCTCTTGGAATTGCTGTTCTACTTTTTTAGGGTGGTTATCTTCTATATTTTTAAGCTTGTCATAGAGTATTCCTAGATGAAGGCACAATGTTCCCCATTTTGTAGTTGTAAAATGATGCTTCTGCAATGCAGATATGACTTCTCCTAAGTCACGTATGGCTGAAATGAAGTGAGCGAAGAAGAAGAAAAAGTCAAACATAAAGGAAGATAGGAAAAGATGTTGTTGGTCTTACTTAGTTCGTTGTTCTGAGGTTTTGCTTTTGAGCTAACTTTTGAGTCAGTTTTTGCCGTTTCCTTCACCTTTATTTCACCACCTGGACCTCCTACTATTTCTAAATAATGTAGGGATTTTATAAAATTTACAAATTTGTTTGTAAGTGCTAACAATAGTTGTTTACACCATACACTCAGAGAACAAGGTTTGTAACAAGGAAGAAAAAAATTCCAAAAGCTGAAAAAATGATAAAACAAATCTTACCATCATAGCCTCTTTCTAAATCAGCCACTAGTTTGCTAAGTTGTCGTGTATCTTCTTCGCGCAGTATTCCCAAGAATATCTCAAATGCTTCTCCAATGTCACATTTAAGGTTTTCTTGTACCCTGTCAATAAGTTCTCCTCTTCTTTGAGCTTCCGTTTGTTTAGTGTAGCCATCAACAGCTTTGTCTCTGTCTCCTTGAGAGATTATCTTCTTTGCCTTTAGTTTATCTGCTAGTCTAGTCAAGTCCACATTTGCTGTCTCCTTGATACGACTAATGTTACAGGAGAACACCTTGTAAGCTACTTTAGCATCTTCTCGTCCACCAGAGGCCATTTCTTTATTTTCAGCTGGCTCAGCCTAGACCAACCCTCCCGTTGGAGAATTACTAGGGGTTTCCCCTTTGGCAATAAACAAGCGTAACAGGGTAAAAAATACTCCTATAATTGATTTCACCACCTTGCAAGTACAACTTGGTCATTATTAAGACTTATAGAGGCTCTCTCTACCTTATAATTCTTCTAGAGAAGTCTTTAGACAGTATCTCTATGCTCTCTTGCTGTTAGAAAGCTCTTAACTTTGTCCCATGTGTAAGCCGCCATTTTGTTTGCCGTGACCACACCCACTCACGTAAAGGAGCGTGGGCGGGTGGTCGCTAAGGCTTGTTATTTCTCCAATACAACATGTATAGAAGAAATGTAAGTGTGGACATACAAATAAATAAATATATATATATAGATAGCGCGACCGTGAAATCAATTATAGGAACGACCTGGGGGCTACGCCCCCAGGTCGTTAAAAATATTCTACTATTATAGAATAATCTCGAGAATAATACAATAGACAAAGACATGATGACAAAGTACCGTATGGAAGGAAATTTTGGAGGTAGTTAAATTTGGCGAATTTGGCGTTTTGATAGCCATTCGCCAAAATAAAAATTCGCCATTTTGAGCCATTATGCGCATGCTCAATGGCACATGGCCACAAATTAGCCAAATTAAAATTCGCCAATCATCCAAAATTTACCAATTCGCCAAAATTTAGTCCCTCCAAAATTTCCTTCTGTACGGTATCAACCATAGAACTATAGCTGAGTAATGACCAGAAATGATATCAAGAATAATTATGTTCTATTTTCTGAATTTAGGGAATAAATTATTGTGTTCATGTTTTGTTTATGCTTTAAGTTTTCAACTGAACAGCGAATCTAATTTAGTATCTAAAAGATAAGATTCAAAAAAGAAAGAAAATTTAAAAGAAAAAAAAAAAACTATAATGCATTGTTGCTAGCTTTAGTAGCTTACCCATCCACTTGAGAGCTTTTTCAGCCAATTCGTTTCCAATTTCTTTAACCCCTTCTTCTACTTCATCAAGATCAATGTCTTCAAAAATATTTCCAATCTTTTTTAACTCGGCTTTTAAATCAGATTTTAACTCTTCCAGTTCCTCCTTGAGTTCCATTATGCGATAACTGTCAGGAACATTTATGACAATAGAATTCTGTGGCTCTATGGCTGACGTCTCTTTAGAAACTGCTAATTCCGTGATAGTCTCACCGGTTGTACTATCATATGATACTCCCTCTTCAACTAAGCCTAAACAAAATATAAACCATTCAATTTCACATGCAAAGGTAAAGTTTGCTGCGCTTTTATAAACCATAGATATGTTTATACATACAATCATATTCCTTATCCAGAACATCAGCTAATTTATTGTGTGGTAACGTATCTTCTGTTCTTAATATATCAGTAAAAGTCCTGAACATTGATCCATCCGTTCTAATAGAGTCCCTTACAACAGAAATCATATCACTGATCCTTTGATCAATTGTGTGGCCAGTCATGGTGTCCTTTGCTTTTCTCCAGGTCTCATCTGGTATGATTCTTTTGGAATAAAGTTTATCAGCTAACTGGACACAGTTTGGATGGCAGCTATCTACCACTAAGGGGACGTTTCTCCTCAGAACCTCGTTAGCAATACCAGAATCATTCCTCACAATTGTTGACTCTGCCATCTTTCAAGCTGGACACACCTTTCCATGCTTGGTTTAAGTTTAGATATTCATTGATAGTTTATTTAATAGACATTGAAAGTAAACTATAATCTCAGTTGTTTGTTGCATTATTAGTTTTATGATAAGAGATCGCTTTAAACATTAAATGGCCTTCTGAGAGGAAAGAAAGGAAATGATAGTCAATACTGGCAGGGGTCTTTTTGCTGAAGCCTGGAAATGGTGTAGCTCTTCTTTCTCAGTCATCTTGGTCCTCCTGTGGGATTACTTGATGTACTTGGAGACCCTTTTCCTTTATAATTTCGTTGTACAAGAACTGTACAATGAAAACAAAGAAAACAGCAGTGATGATGGAATTGCTCTCAGTGTTGTGTACTATGTCTTCTTTCTCTCTTTCCCTCTCTTCTGTCTAATAGCTGATGTATGGATTGGAAGGCGCAGGACAATCATAATCGGTGCTTCTCTTTGCTTCTTATCCTGGATCATAGGGGGACTTCAATATCTCATAAACAGTTTCTATGCTTTGCCCAAAATACCAGTATTACTGATATCAGGAACTAGTATTCTGATAAATTTCACCGGCTATTCAATATTTAAGGCTACTATTGTTCAATACAACATTGACCAACTTGTTGGTGCTTCAGCTAGTCTTTTGGACGCTGTCATATATTGCCATTCAGCAGTTGTACCTGTTGCATATACAATACTACTTTTGCTTCGATGTACCATAAAGTATCAGTTTTATGTTCTACTGATGTTTTTTGTTTCTGGGATATTTGTTTCACTTATGCTGGTTTCTCATTCATCATTCAAACACAAACTGGAGAACATATCACTGATCAAGAATCCGGTCAAACTGATAGTTAGAGTATTGTGTTATGCCAGGAAGCACAAGTATCCTGAGAATCGTAGTGCTCTGACCTACTGGGAGGAAGAGGCTCCTTCAAGACTAGACCTGGCTAAGGAATTTTATGGTGGACCATTCACAGAGGAAGAGGTAGAAGATGTGAAGACAGTCTTTCGAATGATACCATTACTCATTTCTGTCGTTGCTCAAAATACTGCATATGAAGCATACCAGTGGATAATGACTGGAAGGAATAATGCAAACACAATCAACTCCAGCAGCTGCTTTATATCAACAGAGTTTGCAAATTTTTTAACATCTGTGGCAATTTTTATGCTCTACATGTTCCCAATTAGACTAGTTTGTCAACGATACATTCCCAACATGCTATCATTGCAAGTTATTGGGTTATTGTTGACATTAATAGAGCAACTAAGCAAAATGACAATATTCATATACTATCGGAAAGAGACCGACCCGGAAACTCAATTCATCCAACCAGTACTTATCTTTCCACAAATACTTCAAGGGCTGATGTTTGCCTTTATCGTTCCAGTATCATTGGAGTTCCTAATAGCCCAGTCTCCATCACGCATGAGAGGGATTATGGTAGGAATGTGGATGGCTTCCATTGGTATGGGTTTTCTCTTCAATATCAATTTAAAGTATCCTTTTGGATGCAACAACAAGTACATCTGTACCAGCTATTACTACTATTTGACTAAGAGTATACTAATTCTTGTCATACTGATAGTGTTTGTGATACTGGCTAAACGTTACAAGTACCGTGTGAGACAAAATGAATACTATCGCCCAATTCGTGAGGGGTTTTACGAGCAGTCTGAAGTTCCAGAGACGGAGGGTTTTTAAAGACAAAATTGAGTGTTGCTGTTGATCTGTTTCTTGTTTACATTTATTGCAATTTAGGCTAGTTTGCTTTGCATATAATTTTAGTTTGATAATTTTAGTATTCTTAGCAATCATGAGTGTTGTTGTAGCCTATAAACATTAATGTATGTTTAATACTATAAGCTGTAGTAGCAGAAAACCACTTAAGCCAATTCGTTTCCAATTTCTTTAACCCCTTCTTCTACTTCATCAAGATCAATGTCTTCAAAAACATTTCCAATCTTTTTTAACTCGGCTTTTAAATCAGATTTTAACTCTTCCAGTTCCTCCTTGAGTTCCATTATGCGATAACTGTCAGGAACATTTATGACAATAGAATTCTGTGGCTCCATGGATGACGTCTCTTTAGGAACTGCTAATTCCGTGATAGTCTCTCCAGTTGTACTATCATATGATACTCCCTCTTCAACTAAGCCTATACAAAATATAACCATTCAATTTCACATGCAAAGGTAAAGTTCGCTGTCCTTTGATATGTTTATACCTACAATCATATCAGTTCTTTATCCAGAACATCAGCTAATCTATTATGTGGCAGGGTATCTTCTGTTCTTAATATATCAGTAAAAGTCCTAAACATTGATCCGTCCGTTCTAATAGAGTCCCTTACAACAGAAATCATATCACTGATCCTTTGGTCAATTGTGTGGCCACTCATGGTGTCCTTTGCTCTCCTCCAGGCCTTATCTGGTATCATTCTTTTGGAATAAAGTTTGTCAGCTAACTGGACACAGTTGGGATGGCAGCTGTCTACTACAAGGGGCACATTTCTCCTCAGGACCTCGTTAGCAATGCCTGAGTCATTCCTCACAATTGTTGTGGACTCTGCCATGCCTGAGTTGCCTTCAAATTGGGCACACCTTTTCATGCTCTGCTATGCTAGCTTGGTTAATCTATGGTTTAATCATAATCATCGATAAAATCTACTATAATCGACTATCACAACATTAAAAGTAAACCCAGGGCCGCTATCTCTACCCAGCCTTGCCTTGAAATGATTTGAGTTGTTTGTTTGTATTATAAGACATTGCGTTGAACAGTAAATGCCCCACCGAGAGGAAAGAAAGGAAATGATTATCAGCGCTGGCAGGGATCTTTTTGCTGCAGCCTGGAAATGGTGTGGCTCTTCTTTCTCAGTCATCTTGGTTCTCCTGTGGGATTACTTGATGTACTTGCAGGCCATTTTCCTTAAGTATTTCATTGTACAGGAACTCTACGGTGAATACAAAGGAAACAGCAATGATGATGGAATTGCTCTCAGTGTTGTGTACTATGTCTTCTTTCTCTCTTTCCCTCTCTTTTGTCTAATAGCTGATGTATGGATTGGAAGACACAGGACGATCATGATCGGTGCTTCTCTTTGCTTCCTATCCTGGATCTTAGGGGGACTTCAATATCTCATAAACAGTTTCTATGCTTTGCCCAAAATATCCATACTACTGATATCAGGAACTAGTATTCTGATAAATTATGCTGGCTATGGAATATTTAAGGCTACTATTGTTCAATACAACATTGACCAACTTGTTGGTGCTTCAACTAGTCTTTTGGATGCTGTCATATATTGCCATTCAGGAGTTGTACCAGTTGGGTATACATTGCTACTGTTGCTTCGATGTACCACAAAGTATCAATTTTTCACTTTACTATCGTTTTTCGTCCCTGGGCTATTTGTTTCTCTTATGTTGGTCTCTCATTCATTATTTAAACACAAACTGGAGAACATATCACTGATCAAGAATCCGGTCAAACTGATAGCTAGAGTATTGTGTTATGCCAAGAAGCACAAGTATCCTGAGAATCGTAGTGCTCTGACCTACTGGGAAGAAAAGGCTCCTTCAAGACTAGACCTGGGTAAGGAATTTTATGGTGGACCATTCACAGAGGAAGAGGTAGAAGATGTGAAGACAGTCTTTCGAATGATACCACTACTCATTTCCCTCATTGCTCAAAGTGCTGCATATGAAGTATACCAGTGGATAATGACTGGAAGCAATAATGTGAACACAATTAACTCCAGCAGCTGCTTTATATCAACAGAATTTCCAAGTTACTTAACATCTGTGGTAATGTTTATGCTCTACATGTTCCCAATTAGATTATTTTGTCAACAATATATTCCCAACATGTTATCAATGCAAGTTATTGGGTTATTCTTGACATTAATAGAGCAACTAAGCAAAATGACGATATTTATATACTATCGGAAAGAGAACGACCCGGAAACTCAATTCATCCAACCAATACTTATCCTCCCACAAATACTTCAAGGACTGATGTTTGCTTTTATCGTTCCAGTATCACTGGAGTTCATCATAGCCCAGTCTCCATTACACATGAGGGGGACTATGGTGGGAATGTGGATCGCTTCCATTGGTATAGGTTTCCTCTTCAATATCAATTTAAAGTATCCTTTTGGATGCAACAACAAATACATCTGTACCAGCTATTACTACTATTTGGCTAAGAGTATACTAATTCTTGTCATACTGATAGTGTTTGTGATACTGGCTAAACGTTACAAGTACCGTGTGAGACAAAATGAATACTATCGCCCAATTCGTGAGGGGTTTTATGAGCAGTCTGAAGTTCCAGAAACGGGGAGTTTTTAAAGACAAGATTGAGAATTGCTGTTGATCTGTTTCTTGTTCACATTTATTGCAATTTAGGCTAGTTTGCTTTGCACATAATTTTAGTTTCATAATTTTAGTATTTTTAGCAATCATGAGTGTTGTTGTAGCCTATAAACATCAATGTATGCCGTGTAGATACCATAGATACTACATGTAGTATCTATGGTAATACTAAACTAGATTAAGCCACTGATTATCGAGCACCATCTATATATATTCGAACATCATTTCTCACAGTAGTAGTAATAGATGGTCCTCCTGGTATTGGCAAGACCACACTCTGTCGTAAACTGTTAAATATGTGGTCTAATGGACCACTTGTACACCAACAGTATGACTTGGTACTTTACTGTCCTTTAAGGAATAGCAAGATAGCTACAGCTACTACACTAGCTGACATGTTTGAATATAAAGATTATGAAGTTCCCATCGTAGCTGAATGGTTTGAGAAGAGGAATGGAGAAGGATTACTGATAATCTTTGATGGTTGGGATGAACTAAGTGAACAACTCAGACAGTCTTCATTAGCTGCTAGTATCATTCATAGAAAGCAATTAAACAAATGTTCAGTAATTGTTACCTCTCGTAGCTATGCCTCCTCTTCACTTTTGAAAATGGATACTCTCAGTAGACATGTTCAGGTGATTGGGTTTTCTGAGGAAGAAATATCAACAGTAATCATACAAACACTTCAAAAAGATACAAAACTAGCACAAGAACTCATTGATGAAAACACTAAACAAGACGAATGGCGACTAACATATGGAAAATACAAATCACATTTCACAACTACTCAAAGCAGTAAGGACT